TAAAAAATTATAAAAAACCTTGGAAAAATTATAAAAACCATGCCCTTTCAAACACTAAATGTTGTATGTCTTGATATTTCTTAACGGCTTAGACTCAACGATTAGTGATGTTTCTGCTGGTTTAAATTGTGGTTAAACTGGTAAAATGTTCTGTTCTCTTTTCGGTTATTGATAATAATAAGATACTGAGAGAGGACAACTTGAATAACTGAAGAGTGCTTTTCATAAAGGTTTTCTATTAAATTTACTATTAAAAATTCATTAAGAGTTTCAGAGAATTTCAGCTGAACATCAGGGAAGCATTTCTTCATGAGCGTAGTAATGTTTTTCTTAATGCCGAGGCTATAGTTTCTTTAAAATGGTAAAAGGAACAAGAGAAGCTGTTTATTACTGTCAAGGTCAGAGGTTTTAGTAGTAGGTTTAAACTGTATGTCGAGAAAGACACGGATTAACTTATTAATTCGTATTCAGATCATCTAAACCAATCTCTAATTCATTCATCTTTAAAGACCGCGACACTCCACTTTTGTGCTCTAACGTTATTTACAAGTTTACTTGTAGTGGCTGCAGCGCCATTTATTATGGCAAAACATCTCGAAATCTCATGATTCGATGTAGAGAGCATTTGGGAATCAACAAACATAGTCAAGGTGTTAAAACAGTTAGCCCTTTCTTCATTCACGATCATATTTCCAAAACTGGAACCCGCATTAAAATCAAATTCTTATAAAAAAGATCTATCCTTAAAAAAAGTCTTAAGATTAAACTAACTTACTAGAAGCAATTTTTATCGTTTAGATAATGAATGATTAAAAAACCCATATTGGTTTTTAGGCGCTCTGTTTTATTGCGTAAGAAAGTTATTGCGAGAATGCTTCATTCATTTGGAAATGTCATAATTTCTGTTGTTTTTCTCTCTGTAAGAGGCAAGTGCGATGCAGCAGAGAATAGAAAAAGCCACCAATGGGTCCCTCCTGTATAAGCCCCCGACAAATCAGTTCCCATGTTGTTAAGCCCCACTTGAGGCTTATCGTTGAATAATGTACATGATTTTAGCCAGTGATAAATCATGTATTAAAAAAGATCTGTTTTGATGATATTATTTTTGTTTTAAAGACGATGCAAACAGTCACTTTTCAATTCATAGCTTTTACAATTTTGATTTTTTTCAGGCAGCGCTACAAAATTTTCAAAAAAGCAAATTTGCTTTAGCCCATTACAGAAACATTTCCAATTACAAGAACCGCCCTCCTCCCCGGGCCAAATCGAGTATTAATGGTACTTGGAAAAGTAGTGCCCCCAAATCGATTTAAAAAGCTGCCACTGGGAGAGGCCAAAATAGAAAAGTGATTAATAGAGCCGTGGCGAGACAGGCCTTGTTAGGAAAGGGGGGAGGGGGGTGTTGCTTACGAAACTTCCTGAGTGAAAAAAATTCCTGCAGTAAGGAAATTTCGAAATTACTTGAAGAAGGCCTGGTTTTTCCGATTTAGTACCAACAAGAAATCTCAAAACCTTCGCGGGAATATCATTAGGGACGGATTTCAGCGGCAATGATTGGGGGGTGTTTGATTGGATATTGGTGCCACACCTTTCAGGTAACTGGAAAATGATGGAAAGGCCCATTTTAGAAATTAAACTTATCGCTTCAAGGTGAAGAAGTTTAGGAAATAAAAAAAGTAAATTGTTCAATTATTTTTTAGCTACTAACCACCAAAAATATTTTCAACCGAATCAAAACAAAATTTACCAAAGGACACAAAAATATTGAGGGGTGGCGCACCCCCTACAGCCCCGTCCTGGTAAATCTGTCCCTGAATATCATATTAACCAACGGAGTAACAATCATTGCCTCAGATTCTTTATTGATCTCTGAAGACGTAGGGGCTCTGAACTACTTACAATCTTTCTTCCATTGAACTGATTTTCCCTGAAAATTCCTATAAAACTACTATTGCGGGGCTGTGACAACCCAAACCCTACATCCTTCGATCGAGACACCCTCGGTGATGAGAAGAAGCAATAAGGCATCAATCTGAATAAGAAATCGAGCTTTAAAAACATGTCCAACTGTTCTGTAAAACATCTAGTCATGCTTCAACTCGTATTTCAATTTTCATGGAGCCTGTGAAACTAAAACCGTTGATGTCTCAGATTGGCTATTGCCTGCTGATTTTGGTGTTTCGAGAAAGAAAATTTGAACAATAAGATAAAGTGAATTTAAGAGAGGGGCTTATAATAGCATATATTTGTGATGCTTCTATATTTGAAAAATTATTTGAAACTGATAGCTCTTTAAGCCTTCATCAAATGAACCTGTATTTGCTTTTGGTAGAGGTCTACAAACCAATATCACATCTATGTTCTAGCTTCATAAAGCTAGCTTTGGTGGAAAAAATTCCTCACAATCTAACGTCTCTTGATGAACTACAATTGTCAACTTGCCTTGGAATCAATATCAAACCATTATTTTTGTAGGAAAAAGTACGAGAAACACTATAACCAGAGTTGAAAAACTCAAGACTCCCTTTAGATATTCAAAATATATATTTATAAAAGCCCATAAATGCAAAGCTTGCAAAAGCAGATAGTGTAAGATATTTTATTCAAATTTTGGTTTTTTTATTGTAACAAGTATTTCACTAATTTTATGTTTTTAATAGTAAATTTTATATTTTTGTAAGTGATTGGTAAGCATCTTCAGCCTTATTTATTTGCAAACCTTAATATATTACTGAAAATAGAGATGTGGAGGATGTAAATCAACTTTAACTGGTTTACTTTTTTAATCAGAATGGTAGGAATTCTATACTATCTGTGATTTATTCGAAATTGCCCAGAATTTGATTCCTTGACCTGTGTAACAAGTTTATCTGGTTCTTTAGCCAAAAGAATAGTCGTAAATCAGCAACTAATTTTATATCGTTGGCTTTGAATTATGGGAATCATTTTGAAGGAAGCTCTTTGTGTAAATCTGCATAATTTTATTCGTATAACGCATGATTATATCACATATTCTTAGCTTTATATTAACTAGTTGCTGTTTTCTAACTTACAAGTCTAAATATGTTTTTAAAGTTTTGTGGCGATGGATCATTTCACAAACCTTTATTAAAAGTTGTCAGAAAACGCACATCCGTTGAAACACATTTGTGTCCTGTCTAACGCATATGCGCTTCACGCCATTCACAGCTAGGCCCTGCATGTCCGCCATTACACTGTAACACTTGAAACGCATATGCGTCTCGGCCCATGCAGAAACGCATGCCCATGCAGAAACGCATAGTACACCGGCACTAGTTCGATGGTACCTTGGAGTATGTATATACAAAATACACAGTCACTCATTCATAAAATGGCTTTTATAGCAAGCTGAATGTTAGGGATCCAGATACTTATTTACCGATAATATTTCTTTTCAAACTGCATATCTTTCATTAAGTCAGTCATTTTTATTCCTAATGTATTAAAGTTTAAACTTAAACAAAGTTAGGTAATTATGCGATAGAGCCTGTTGTTTAGGGCGAATTTCAAAGTTCATTTCTCGAAGTGGACTCACTCACTGTGCTCTCTCTCTCTCTATTACCCTATATTTTTGATGGTCACAGGTGGAATTTTGATGCATAAGGTAAGCCTGGGCCCGTTTTGGTAAGCCGTGACCTTCTTTGATTCAACGTATGAAATTGTCCTTCTTTTCTGTACGCGTAAAGTTTGCGTAGACCCAAAAGATTCTTGTTTCTGTTATCAATTAGGCTAATAAGTTTTTGCTATTCTAGTGTTGCCTAGTTTGCACCTTTGTCGTATTTCAATGCAATGTAACATTGCTAAAACCAACCTATTTTTTAAAGGAGACCAGCTTATTGTTAAGATATTTTCTTCTTACTTTTTGAGTCTTTTGTTCAGTTCTTTATTGTATCTTCAAAAATTTTACCTTCATCCAAGGATTCTGTTGCTTTAAAACCATAAAGATCCTATTGAAGCAATAAGGAATTACGCCGTAGGTATTTTTTCATGAAAATAAGATGCCAAGAAACCCATTTCCAGCTTTGTCTACCCACAAAGTCTTATCAAAACAAATCCTGACGGAAAATGGCAGCATTCGGAGTATTCTGCTTGCTTTCGTCAATTGGCGGAATTTTGACAGAAAGCTATAAGTCAATCTTGTTTACCAGAACCAAGGGTTGCATGAATTGCGGTCGATTTGTATATATATTGAACAACGCTGCTTTTGTCGGCCTTTCCGTCATCCCCTTTCTTCATTCTTACTCACCCTGTTTGTAATCTGGATTGAGAAATCAAGCTGGCTTTTGTTCAGAACCACTTTAAAACATCAATATTGTCTGAAGTTGGAAGTCATAGTTGGTTGTTTGGTTGGAACAGTCTGCCCAGTCACCAAATAACTTCCATTTCAGGTTACTATTAGTGGTGATCTTTTCTTTTGCAACAGATTTCATACAAATAGCTGCTCATGTCAAATCTTTACAAATTAAGATGTTTAGCAGGGTGAAGTGCTATAACACTGTGGCTATAAAGAACAAGGGGGTAAAAACATTTCTTTCCTGAAAAATGATAGCAAAAGTAGAAATTGACGACTGATCAGTATAAACAACTGGGATTAACATCAGCCTCACCCTCTCCTGAGCCTCCTTGAGCCCCTAGCACTTAACCCCAAAATTATGGCATGAAAATTATGAAAAATTATCAGATAATTAGATATTCCCGTCAGCTGTTAGCATTCTAAGGTTTTTGCATTATGTCTATCATTCAGAAGTATAATATGCTTCGTATTGCTTTAACCTTATTTGAAATTGATTAATTGTTGTATAGCTGTTTCAACACTTTATCGAACCGGAGATTTGAATCCAGATAAATTTTAATGTTTCAAGGCGGTGATAAGTTTCTTAGTGGACGTCATTTTCAGCTTAAGTTACACTTGAAAGATTGTTTGATATATAATAGCTTGATAATTCTACACGTGTAACCAATTCCACTAGAAGCTTTTTTAACCAAAAAGTCAAATCTGTTTATTTTGAATAAAGTAACGCCCAGACACGCAAGTAGGGCAAGGGGAGCAAAGCGCCAAGAAAAGGACAAAACAATAAGAGAATAATAAACATTGCTAAATTTTGAAGTGGCAAGGGGGTGCCTCCGTGCTCCTGTTTCCATAGTTACGCCAAAACTTCATTACGGAAGAAGAGCTGAAATTTGCAAGAGACAAGAATATCAAAAGGATTGTAACATTCTTATGTCATGCCTAGTGCCGCTCTGACGAGTTTATGGCTGTTTATACTTGATATGATGTCTGTGCTGTTGTGTTACTGAAAGCTTTTCCTATTGGTGTCGTAGCCAAGCGTTGACAACGTAAGCTATGTGTAATTGCTTAGACTGCCTGTTGTCAAAATGTTTTTCTTTCTGAATTGGTTCTTTCTTCAGCCACCTTGTAAAAATGCACCTGTTCTTTTCGTCAATGTTTGTCATTTGTCTTTTTTAAATTCTGCTGTCTTCAGTAATCAATATTCGTTTTTAATTGCGAGCAAAATAGATGTCAAATATAGTGAGTCTTACCTGGAGGTTTGCTTGTTTAACGAGTGCCTTTTAAAATTTGTGATCAACTTTTAAACTTGCGTTCAATTGGAAAACAATAGGATCATTTTCTGACCGAAGATTGTCATTGTGGAATGAGAGAGTAGTTTTTTTCTACTTAGTTTGTGGAGATCCCAAATGTTGGTGTCTTCCTGAACATCTCTATGGCTTTGTGTTTTGTTCGTTTTCTTGTGTCGCCTCTGCTTGAAAAATGTTTTGAGGCAATAAACTGTATCAGCAAGTAAGCATTTAGTAATCGTTTAGAAGCCATCTTCTATAGTTCAAGCACAGTGATATTACAGTACAGCTAAACTTCCATTAGCATGCACATTTGGACACCTGGACACCCCCAAAAAAGGCAGTCAAAATCTTTTACAAAGTTCCCAAATGACGGAGAATATCTCTGTCCCTACCGGTATTCGCTATAAGGAGGTTCCGCTGTAGCTATCGTCCTATGTCATGAACTTCTCTATCTGATTCAGCAATTTTATTTAGCAATCACAAGACAACTGGCTGCTCAAAATTTTAATCATAGCGTGAACAATCTTCTTTCTTCATACCTCTTCTTTGTTTCCTAACCCCATCACAGTGTGCAAGTGTTGCATTTGCCATACTTTCAAAATAGCAACCACAGTAGCCTGTCAAATTAGCTCGCTGTATGGAAATACTTGTCCCATTTACTTGAATGCTTTTCTGAAACCCCCAGTGATCAAAATTGACGCTCCTTTTTTCTCTAGACCTCTTACGGTGAACTAGATTTTTGATACTCGTTCTTGTTATATATTAAACTTTTGGATTCCTAAGCATGCATTTGACGCATTTTTTGATCGAGGCAATGATTGTATGTAAAAAGGTTTTTTCGACATTTTAAAGGAACAAAATTTGAACGAGGCTTTCGGTTGTTCACTTATGAAATTTTCTAGCGCTTTTTGAATGGTCTTAGCGAACGCTGTCCGTAAATAATTACTGCATTTGTCGCCAGTGGCTGGCAATTAGAGGCCAACCTTGCGCCTTTAACACGTGCTCCGTAAAAGTGACCGACAGCTGCCACTTTAACATAGCACTAAAGCGATTGTATTGTTTGCTCAAGCACTAGAACTTGGTTTGAGGTAGAAGATCATAAAACCATTATTAAAACGAGTTCTACGGCTTCTGTGGCGCTTGCGGAATCACGTTGATTCTTGATATAGCTGAATATTTTAAAGTGGAGCGCATGTAAGTCACTACAATATTAGTCTGTCTATTTTGGTACAACCTGACCTGTTTATTGCAAGACTTAGCGTGATCTAGTACAATTTGTAGTTGTAGCAGGAATCACATACTGTGTACTGTTACATGCCATTCAATAACACATAATTGATTCAGCATTTGTCAGAATCATCAGAGTAGGAGCTTCAGTAGTCTTTCTACTTGCACTTATTACAGACTATATTATGTGCCCTATCTTGTAGACACAGAAATTACTGCGCCAAAAATTTTATTTGTAAGTTCAGTAAAGGTTGGTTAACCCTTAAGCTTAAATTTAAATATCCATTATTGTTTATTCAAAGTTATTTTACGTCGTTTTGAGTAATGGTTGATCTTTCAAAATGCTGGTTTACCAAAGCTACATAGTTCCGCTTTGAGTTGCCACTAGCTGTGTATATAATTTTTCAGGCCTGTTGAACCTAGCACAAACACATAGTTTTGTTCACATTACCAACCCCTTCACCACATCCACAAATTCGCTAATACTCCGTTTTTAGTGGAATGATTATTGTTTGATCCACTTTCTTCCCGTGTAAAAAGAAATATAATGTTTTTCTATGATAGCCAATAACGAAGATTAATTGACCGCTAAGTACCCAAAGGAAGGATAAACAACGAAACAACGTACTATATCGGTGAATGATGCAAACAATTCCACAATGATCCTCATCTACGTCTTGTAACTTACGTTTTATTGTTAAAAAACGTTTCATGGATGGAATCCTCAAAGATTAGAAAGGGGACTTTTCTGTTGTTAAAAGTAAACCACAATAAAAGTGGTTTTGCCTATAGCATAAAAGCAACAACAATATTTTCATTTTATAATAACATTGATAAAAGAACCATTTTCATCACTTTTCTTTCTCTTGTTAAGTAACCCTCTGGCTTTACAGTCACGGTGTATGAAAAATATATGTTCCTCTCTGGTTGGCTGAAATAAATACCGTTCTACAGGCACTAGTAGCTCCTCTTGTCGGCCATCACATTGCTTGCAAGATATAAAAATTCATTCCTTGCAAATAGTCCTTGAATCTGTATTTTTTTGTCTCAACATATTTACATTCTTAATAACAAAACCAAACATCACATGCTGGATATTTGTTTTTTTATCGTTCGAAGCGAAAAGTCTTCTCAGTTGCTTCTTACAAGAATCGTTAGTGTACACTTCACTTTGCTTCTCAGGAGTGGTTTTAGCTATTGCTTAAAGAGTTGATTGATGACGTAACTGTTTCCCAGTCTCCTTCGTCATTTATCATGGTGTTGAACACATAGAGATAATAGATTATCCTATATCTGTGGTTCGAACAGAACGTTAAGTAACTCACTCGCCAATCCCCTTAATGATCAATATGTAAGTTGCGTGCCTTCACAATTAATTCGTAGGAATGCTTCATCCCATTTGTTATAAAACCCATGAGGTAGTCCCCACCACGCTATTATCTTGCCCTGCAACCAGTTGTTCTATGCTATTAAGATCGACGTGATTTTATAATCTGCTCAATTCAAGATGTGACTTATTTATGAACTGTTTGCTGGACGTTGCATATGCAAGGCATCCAGGCTGGACCGGTGAAACCATAAAGGAATGGGCGTTGTTTCAAACACAATGCGCATTATCTACTCTGCGTGGCTTATCATACCAATAAACTGCTGTTGTATGTTATTGCCTTTTTGTCAGCTCCAACTTGCGAGCAACTTATGAGGATCCGCTATTTTTGAGAGCTTCGTAAGGTAAGCGCCAAAGTTTTCTTTCTCCGTTTTACTGTGAAGTTTCCTTCGTAGTATGGGAAGGCCTTGTAGAAGCTTTTTGCCAAATTTAGTCAAGTTGTCCAAGCTTAATAACTGTATGAGCTGTTGGCCCTATGTTGTTACAGCTAGACAAAGGAAGTAAAATATTCAAATAAAATAGGAAGTTTGGTCCTATTTTACTTCCTTAAAAGTTATTTTTTCTCCTGTCGATTCCATGTATTATTTGAATGGTAAATAGAGTGCCTAAAAGCTCTTTGAAATCTAAACGTGCCTGTTCCTCGAATATACATCCTTAAAAATAAATGCAGTTTATTCCATACCTCTTGTAGTCTATGATCATATGAAAGTTTTGATGAAATATTTTAGAAACTCTTACCAGTTACTGGACGAGATAGGATAACGTTTGTATTCGCTGAAGAGGCCTTACCATACAACATGCAACATTTCCTTGAAAATTAGCGCTCTCTCCTCTAAATTTCCGGGTCTCCATCTTCTTATGCCGAGAGTTCATTTCTACCAGAAGTCATTTAGGGACGGGACGTACGCCATTTTGGTTCTAAGTTTTAAAGCATCGGTGAAGTTTGCATTCCAGAAAATTTTCTTATCGGGTAACAACAATCGGTGATGATACCCCCAGTGATACTTGAATTGGTGATCCTGCTGCCAGTAGAAATCTTAGACGACTTCCGCCAGGAAAATTATTTCTAGTTTTGAGAACGTTGTATGTTATCATTTTTATCCCTTTCGATTCGACTGATAAAATGTTTATTCTGCATAGAAACAGTGGAACACAATTAAGACCACAATGTGATCCTTTGTAATGATGTTGCAATATTTTAGCATTTGTCGCGGTGGTTCGTACTAGAAACAACTACTCAAAATTAGCAACTAGCATCCTTTTTATCTTGTTTTAAACCAAAATGAGGAGACAGTGGTTAATATCAATTTCTTGAGGCTTTTTGGGATCAGTTTTAGAAGCTGAAGAATTTCAAATGTGTCTTGTTCTCTTGCCTATGACATGTCGATCTTTTTATTGTTGAATTATCTATAGGAAATGCGAAAATTGAAGCTAAAAGAAATTAAGATAATCGATATGCATAAAACGCGTTCTAGTCTATGTAAAAGCAGGGCGCAAGGAAACGAACCAACGTAAAAAAGGGTGTCTGGGCTTATTAGAAGTTGGAACCACTCTTTGGTTTGCATAGCTCGGCTCACTCAATTAATGGTTCATCGCGGACATATTTTAGATGTTAGACTTAATTCATTGACAAAAGTGATGATAGTAAAGTACTTTAAACAGAGATGTGGTTAAGTTCGTTTTCTCCTACTCTTGCCATTTAATACAAGTTCTGACAAAGTTGTTTCTATTTTTAGGATTTCCCAAACCTAACTATCAAGATGAAAAGTTTCGTGCTTCCTGTAAGCATGTCGTCGGCGCTGGCCGTCGTCTTAACGGTTTTGGCAATAGTGTTGTTTATGTTTTACCGAAAAAGACGATTGAGCAAGTCCATGACTGAAGTGCTTGAGCCGATGACGCGGGCGACGAGCGGCAACGGCAGTTTCAAACGCAGCAGCTCTAAAAGAAGTCGCAAGAACAACGCTGTTGCCGAGAAACAGGTTTGTGACCGACTATGTCGCATTATTGATAAAGGCACAAGGAGCAGAATACATCTAGTGTCATCTTTCTTACAGAGCTTACCCTGACCTTAGTCGATCACTGATTCGTGTATTTCATTCAACGAGCTCTCTTGAATGTCTGACTGGGATGCTAGGCAAGCTGCTGAGCTGGGATGCTAGGTATCACTCAATGGGGTTTAATGCTTTGAAAATAAAAGGGGGCCTTGCCAAGTGTTTCTCAAAAAGCAATGCCAGGAAGTAGAAAGGGCTGCTGTTGGCATTAACACGGGTCTCAGCTCCCCTGAATGGCCCCAGGTCTACGCCCTTCGGCAAAAGCTTTCTTTTTCAGTGGGTTTTGACGTTTTTAGTGCAAATGACACCCTAGCTGAGTTTTGCAATAAATATTAAAGCAAAATAATTTTTCTGCTTCGAATTAAAAGTCCAAGACACGACATTTTTTCGCGATCAATAGACTGCTTCACTTGCTACTATTTCAATAAATTAAGATTTCGAAATCGACAATAATGATTATCTAAGTAAGAATTATATAAGTGATTAAACATTGAATTGACATGACAAGGAAGAATATGTTTTGTCTCCTAATTATAGAATTTATGAAATTAACTCTTCCTGCTAGTTCATCTCCAATTATGTATTGTTTTCCATTAATGAACCTGATTGGTTCAAATGTTCTGGTTAATTCTGTGAAAGCAGTTTAAGATATTTTTATTATTCTAATGTTTACAAACAATCACAAATTAAAAGGCAATTATTGCCATCAATATCGCAAGATAATGATGAACTTAATTGGTTCTGGTAATCTGTTTATAATAATTCATATTATTTTTCTTGCACAAAGACAAACAATGAAATTCAAAAGGTAATTATTTCCAAAGATGTCACAATCATTTAAGGGACTTTTTTGTTTTACTGATCCTATTAACTTGATTCTAATGGCAAACATTATAATTCACGTTTCTATTCCTCTACTCTTGATAAACAATGCCAAATCAAATACCTATTTTGTCCAAAAATAATTTTCAGAATCCGTTTTGATTTGAATGCTATTTATATATCGTTTTTCATTTTTTTGTTCATGCTTAAGCAGCTGTACGTTCTGAATCTCAAATTTAATTCCTACGTTTTGAAGTGCAAGCTCCAGGTTTGAAAGAGAAAGGTTGTGTATTCACGATACGGCGAACTGCCCATATATTGAACTTGCCGATCAACGAATTGAACTTTCCTCCTAAATTCTGCTAAACAATTCCTTTCTAAATAATCTCGATCTATCATTTCCTCAGTTTAGCGATTTACGACATTACTTATCACATTTTTTTGTGTCGTAACCCTTAAAATCTTGGATATAATAATCTTATTTTTTCAGAAAAAGTTCCTCCTCGTAAGACCCTTTTTCCTCTGTCTCTCTCCTCGTAAGTTGTTTTAGAATGAAACACATCTTCCGTCCTCTGTACTTTTTCCTTGTGGCTTTTCCCACTAGCTGCTACTGCATCTGACCAGGACAGCCTGACTCTGTTATAATCTGTCTACCTCTCGTTGAAACACTTGAATAAAGGTGTTTGTGCCAGTAATTAGTTTTGAATGGGGTATCTACTTCGTCTAAACCAATCAAGATACAAGTAGCTTGGCCTAAGTCAATCAAATCACAAGCCGGCTGAATTCATGTCAGCATAAGCATTTTTAACAATCATGAGTGCAGCTGTTATCTATATAGACACACCTTAAACCTTAAACCTTAAAACTTTTTCTCTCCCTCTCATTTCTATCTCACGATAATCCACCTTCAATAGCAACCCAAGTCATCTTATTTAAGTTCCTACAATAGAATTAAAATAATATCATTCCCCATTTGAAGGGTTTTCATTCTCATCATTTCACTCTGTCGACAAAACTCTTTATTTTTTTACTAACTACTGTATATAGAGAACGATAAGGAAATATGGCTGCCCTACGGTGGTGAGCAGGCACCTACAGTCACACACTGCACCAGCTTCCTCTGTCCTTTCCTGAGGAATCTTTTGTACCGTATCTTTATTATTTTCAATATTTCTTTGGTTATAGTATAATCAATTATTTGCTATCGCGGCAAGTTATCTACACATGATTGTGTTTTTCATTAGCGTTTCCTATTTATGTACGCTTCTATCTGCGGTCTTCTAAAGATTTGCATTGTCCATACTTCCTCTAGAAACATGGCACGAATCTCAGTTACTCTTTTATACCAAGGTTTGTTTTTGTTTTCTGCCCGCATAAACATGCACTTAATCCCATTCTTAAAGAGTGTAGGCGGTCTGATGATGCTTTGAAACAATGTCTCTGCTTCTGCTCCCTACTTGTTTTTCTCCCGTTTTTCTCTGATTCATGGTCGCCTGACTAGCGACGGAATACACATTAGCCGCCCAATTAAATCTGGCTGCCGACCTATAAAACTTGTGAACCCCTAGCAAAATACTTTTTACAAGGAATTTGATGATGATTCATTAAAAATATATGAAAATCCTATATTTTTAAGATAGAATCACCCCCTGTTGCCGGTAAAAGTTCTCTCTGAATCGGAAAGCACGCGTTTCTCTCTTTGTTTCCCGTTTGCTGGAGAAGTTTTATGAGTTGTATAAAACAAAATCTACTTTTGTTTCACCCTATATTTATTTGATATTTTAACCTATTTCTTTCTTACCTTGATTCTTTTATTCCAAGAATCTTATCTTTTCTGGCGTCAGATATCTTTACTTGAGAACTAAGATCCTTTAATTTTTTGTTTACTAACTTTAATGTTTGCTAATGATGACGTCATTTAGAGAAATTTATTCCGTTACTTTGTTGCCCGTTTGAAGAAGGTTTCGCTTATATATGAATATTTTGCAAAATGTGTACCTGCCAATTTTAGGTTCCGATTTTGCAAGACTCTCAATTCTGGGTACCTGAAGTGTACTCATCAATTATACAACCAAACCAAACCCCGCCGAGAAAAGTGAGCAGAATGCAGTCGACCCTAGACCGTGAGATTTATTCAAGGACCCAAGATACCTCCTACCTACAGGCAGCAGAAACTGATGTAAGTAGTTATTGATTTAACAGGCTTGAAGAACCTTTCGTCTATACTGCAGCGTGAAGAAACTGTCATTTTCAAGGGGCAGTTTACTCTTGTGAATAGCGTACGGGACTCCAATGAAACCAAATAATTCCCAGGGATTTTCAGATGAAAAAGTAGGATTTCCACCAAAGGTGTACGATATTTTTTGAAGTATTTTGCCTCTCAGCCATTTTCTCTTATGAGTAGCTGTTTTTTTCTCAGTACAGAAATTTTTCTAAGTCCCTTTGTCTCTGTACTTTTCATCGTCCCTTGACATTGTGATCCAGGTGATTATCTATGATATATCATGATTCGTTCCTATCAAATGAGAAGTATTACAAACATTCCTTTCAGACGAACCTCATTCAGCATTAGCTTCTCCTTTCTGCAGTATATCACAGTTTCTATCCCTAAGTTACGATTTGTAAAACTTTTTTCGTTCTCTCGTATAATGTCTTTATACTGTCGACCCCGACGATATTCAAAACAGGCGTTGTTTTAAACGATGGTAGTATATATGTATTTTTATATCCAGTTTTATTTAATTGTTTGTCTTTATAGTTTTGTATATCGGTATCCGTTGGTTTGCCTGTTATTGGAGTGACTATGGCAGGACATTATTGTTTGAAAAAGATTTAATGCAGAACTATTTCAAGAGGCAATTTAATTTTTTTCAAACAGAGAACAAACTAAATTTTAGCAAGTTAGTAAATTTCAAACATGTTAGATTTTGTGTACATTGCTTTTGCAATCAAGATGGACATATTTTAAGCAACCAGAGTATTTTTCCATATGTTTCTGACATTGCCAAAGGGGGCTTTATTTCGTCATAATAAGTTCTTTTACTGCCTATCATGTGTATCTCAAATTAATAATATGAGGTCTTCTTAATTTTCAACCAGTTGCTATACTGAGATTATTTGCATCCTCTTTGAAAAGTAGAAAAAGTCACAAAACCTATTTTCAATACTGAAGTTTCCACATGCTATGCTCCTCAAAATCCATTCAAAGCTTGTTTTTCAATATTATCTTTTTTTTATCCTTCTTTTTGTCTAGTAACAGCATCCTCTTACATAGTTATTCCATGGTTGCTAAGGATTTTCTCGTTTATAATCGTTTGGAAGGATTTCTCTTTGGGATTTTTCTCTTGCTTATTTAAAGTTCCTGTGCTCCTTTTATAAGCCATTTTCATCAACAACGTTGGGAATTTGAGTTCCTTTGATCCCCCGTGTTATGGTAAAACTGCGTTTTAGTGCCGTAATGTATTGTTCAGTTGCATTTAGAATTAACCAAACTGCGTTATTTTAAGATTTAATTATTCAGAAGAAGATTATTTAATCTTCTTCTCTTTCTCCAAATGTCATTGATAGAGTTAATCAGTTACAATTGTAGCTTTTTTACGTCATGGGTGTAAGTGGCGAAAAACAGACCCTTGAATGCTAGGCCAATTATGTAGGCAAATTATATTCAAAAAGTAGACTGTCTTGGCTGCTCTGCTCCCATCCGACATGTACCGCTTCTCTAAAATAACTGCACTCAAGAAAACGCAAAGTGCACATTGCCTTTTGTTATTGATAAGGTTTTACTTCTAATAAGTTACTGAAAGGAGATAATTCACTACCAATTTGGCACTGTATCTAACGATACCAGTTTTCGATCTCTAAGAAAATCCAGGACAGCCCTCCTTGTGCTAGATCACTAGGCCAAGCAAACTTGCTTTTATTTTTGATATGGTTTGCACCAAGCTTGGCTGTTTTTCCATAAAAGATGTGACAACTAAAACTTTTCTATTCCAATCTGTGTAGTATTTTTTTAATTGAACAAATTTCTTTTCTCTTAAGATAATTGTATGGCATTTTATGCAAAGAGATTGGCCTTATCAGTTCCCCCGTAAATGAGAATTTGCTAGAAGATTTATATAATGTTAAATTAACCTTTATTCACTTTTTGCAGGTGTTCGAGAGTGAGTCGACTGGAAGACGGCGATCAAGTCTGCAGAATCGTTATACAGGGATCCAAAAAGCGAGACTGATGAGTGATGACTATCGTGGGATGTTGAACTTTTCTCTGCAATATCGACAGGACAGGTATGCTGCGAATTACTGGTATTCGTAATTAAGATAGGATTAATAATGAGATTTATCAGGATTGATCTTGATTGATAAGGATTCGAAAGGATTGATCGTGACACGGGAAGGATTGGTAAGGATTGACACGGAAAGGATAGGCAAGGACCGATGGCTTTATACTCCAGTTCTGCTTCAAAGTTTGAAAGTATTTGTGACAACTTGTAATCTACGACAAGCAAACTTGACAGGTCAACGTGTTGTAAATCTCCTGAATCAGTTTCTGACTTCTGAAAACGTTTCTCGTGTTATGGCATAAATGATTTTATACAAAAACCAATCAATGACGCTGTTTCATAAAATTTCTTATCACGCAGTAAATATTTTCGCTGATCGTTTCAAACGCTGCCAAAACTAGACATAAACATGCTACAAAACTACGGTATTTTGACGGTTTGCTTTCAAACATATAATCTCGTAGATAATTTAATTCTTTATGGCTAAGAATGAATGGGAATGCTCGTCATGCCCTGGTTCGTGATTTTGATCTTATTCGTTCACGTTAAGCGTAAAATTACGCGTTAGATTGCCTTTATAAGTTATTTAAAGAACTGCGTGGATTCACCGTTATAAAAATTGCATACTTTTGTCTCAATATTATTTTAAACTATGATGTTATCATGTTCAATCGGATTATTCCAGGGCACTGTTAATGGTCACAGTGATCAAAGCTGAAAATCTGCCCCCGAGGAAAGATGGAGAATGCGTTGATCCGTTTGTTGATATTCAGCTGCTTCCATACTATAAAAGAAAGAATCACTCAGAAGTTCACCAAAAGACATTAAACCCTATATTTAACCAAATGTTTGAATTCGAGGTTCCACCGTATGAAATACGAGGCCAGCAAATTCAGTTTACAGTTTTGGATTTTAGTCAACAATTAAACCACAACACAATTGGTACTGTTTTATATGATGTAGGAAATTTGGACAGCGATGCTTTAAAAGCGTCTAAAGAATTCATTTTATGGCAGAGGATTGTCAAGGTAGGTCGAGTTGAATATTTTCCTTCTACTCTAATGGGCCTAAAATTAGCTTGCTTTCAATTTACTCTTAAATTCTGCAGTTGTTTTTGTGGCCCTTGAATATATGCTTAGACAACTTTAAGTTATTATGAAGAATGAGGAAACTTCACTGGCAGAAACCGTGATTTGAAAGCTCTTTCTAGATCTGTGGAATGATTTTTGTTTTGACATTCTCCTGCTGCTACAAAAATGACATTCTCCTTTTGTCTTGACAGAGAAGTCTCCTCTTGCTACAAAAGATTTATTGACTATATAAATGATTGAGTTTTGCAAAATGTCTTTTTCCTTTTTACATTAAATTTGCTATCGCCATGCTTTCTGCATAAGAATTTCAACTGACTGTGGATATGGTGCAATTATAGGCTTTGATGGATTATTTTTTAGCCGGAGCAGCTTGAGAGAAAACTTGCCTTGAAAGTAACTTTATCGAAAGAAAAGGAAAAAAACATGGTGGATGATAACTCCATGCTTATATTGCTATCACTGACGTACTTGAAAGCTGCAGAGAAGCTGACTGTGACCATAAACAGAGCGCGAAATCTTCCTCTTGCTGACAGAAAAGGCAGGCTCGGTACGTTTCAACACTGTTCACCTTTCTGGTTATGTTGTTCTGATTATAATAGGGAGAGAAGGTGCATTTTTGATTCAATTATATGCATTTCATGTAGAGTTCGCTTGCTTAGGTTTAGCCATCTAGAACTGCCATTCAAATTTGCTTTGAGTTGTAGCAAGGTAAAAAGTTGCAATCGACTAAAAAACTCCATCAGAAGATTAGATGATAAGTAAAGATACAGATTAAAGGTACTGGAGAATTTGTGGTGAAAATCATCTTAAGTCAAGTGAGCAACACTGCTTACAAATTTCCATTCAACCCACAAATACAAATATTACAAATAACCTCATTTATTTGAGATAAGAATTTCAAATTATTGGTGCTTACCTATTATCTTATCCTACTTGTAGAAATGATGCAGAAAAACGGTATCAATTAAGCTTCTTCTCTGCATTCATTTTTATTTGTCTTTAAATGTAGATCACCATTATGTTTCAATCTCGTTGCGAAGACAAGGCAAAAATCTCAAAAAGCAAAGGACATCAGTAGTTAAACACGATCCAAACCCAACGTTTGGCAAAAGCCTTGTGTTTGATGTATCGAACAGCGAAATTGAACTTTGCACCCTGGTTATCAAAGTCCGACACCACAGTGACATCAATAGAGACCGGACGTTTGCAATACTTTGTGTCGGTCATAATGCGCAGGGGAGCGAGGCTGCACATTGGAACGATATGGTCGAGCTTGGTGAGTGTGTTACGCGATGGCATCGCATGGTCCGGATAGAGCCTGCAGACAACAGTGGTCACGAGTAACGTTGCTGGCCCGATTAAGAGTTATATCGACTTGTGGAAACTGGGTTGGTCCGAATGCTGTTATAAAAGCTGTAAAGATGGCTGGTTGCGGAAAGAGGGATCTTTTCGTTGGCATTTCGGAAAGCCCGATCGTCCATTAAAAAATCTTGCATCAGTAGCAAACCGAAATTTTTGGTCTCTAGGTATTAGACTGGGTTCCTTCAACCAATGGTTGATTGCATTCTGAATGGAAGTAATTTAACTTATAGGCTTGACTTTACCAGTTGAAATTTTCTTGTTCGGTCACTCTAAAGAAAACCATTCACCGTTATATATGAATCTCCCGAACATCATTTGGTAAATATGCAAGCCAACTATTTGCTTATGTAAACTTTTCCTTATTGAAATTATTCGTGGCTTGATTTACTCTTTACATTAATTTGTCAACTCATTCATTGAAAGTAAGGATAGAATTCTCTATAATTTACTCCTTCATCATCGTGAGAAGATTTTTAAACATTCCTTCCGCGGTATCTAGTATATAGAATTACATTTCTTTAAACTGAACATAGAAGTGGTACTGTCAACAGACTGGTTGAGTTAAAAAAGTCATGGTTGAGATTACTGAAGTACATTTACTTCTGCAGTCCGCTCTTGTTGGCTTGTAGAGGAACCTGGAATGCCCTACACCCATGCTTGTACCTTTCTTAATTAACTGCCGGATAACACAATCAAGGCGTCATCATCCTGAACAAAAAACCCAAGAACTGGACATCCGTATAGAGTATGTACCCCCACCCATTTTTCCACCCTGTTTAGGGATAATTTTTTTAAAAAGAAGAAGTAGCGTATGTGATCCAATCAAGGGAAAGAGAAATGGTCGCAAAATAGCGCTCATCGATGCATGCTTTTTGAGAAAACATAGGCATGAGTTATGAATCACCCTCAATGGTCACGATATTGAAATGATGGGCCTAAGTTGAAAACGGCTGGACTCAGTAATAACCAATACGAAGTAAATAACAACAATTTCTCCCTTTTATAGAAATAACGGAAATAAAATAGTTGGGGGGGGGGGGGTGTTCGACATATATGTAAAATGAAATTTGACATTCCAAAACATGAAAATTGAATGATAGCAGACTAAAACTCATTTCGAGGGCATTTTACTGACAGTGAGTAATATTGGATTGATCACGTTGATGTATTTTTGACTGTTGTAACGTGGCAAAGCGCACTCTTTGTCTTTTAATACCAAAATATATAAAATGCAAATCCTGAGCCAAAGTGGCTCCGTTTGCTGACTTAGAGCCAATTGTCTGAATCAGAATATTTTAGTATTGTAAATACATTAATATTCATTATTTTGCAATAATATTTATATATTCAATAAGAATTTTTTAAATTTGTTGCAGTTAGCATTTAGAGTAGGATTTAGAATGCCATAATTATTTCTATGTAATTATCATAATTAATAATATGATGATTATAATTTGCATAAATTATTACCAATGTATAATTATTACTTGAAATTATTGCCATTGAAGTTAGGTACCAGCTTCTTGCCAAACATGTCCATTTTTATCGCGTCTTATGTATCTTATGTGGCCCCCCTGCTAGCTCTTTCTCTTCACGAAAGTGTATTCAGTTTACATCAATTTCTCTCTACATTCATTTCCCGTTGTGAATTTTAAACCCTTTACATCTTGCTGACTTTATGTTCTTAATACGAGAGCCAATCCTGGTTCGAGAGCCAAACGAGAGCTTCAATGAGATTTGGAATCTAGTGTGTCAATATACCAGTCAACTTATCACCCCTAGTCAAGTTTATTAAAATGTCTTTTTGTGTATGCAACTGGGTTAGAACATTTTCTCAATGAGATAAACATTGACGGTAGCTACAAAAAATCCTATTAGGCATTCATCCCTTGATGCTTAAGGTGCGAGGGGCTAACACTCTAAGGTATAGGTAGTCATCTAATAAATTTTTTATTATCTTCATTTTAATACAACAATGTATGCCATAAAGTAATTGCATCTTTTCCATGCTGTATGCTTTGAAAAGATATTTTTTGTACGGGTAGCTAACTGTATTTCGCAATAGGACTCTTTATGGATTACCTCGCCCTGTTGATACCTTTCCCCTTTTCACAATGTTTCCTTAAACCAAGCCCTACCTCCTTCAAAATCTCTGCAAGAAAGTCATGTGTTTTAGTGGTTGGAGAACCCGATTTCACCACGAAACCAATTCCCATAAAGTTACCAGGCACGAGTGCGTTTTGAGCATGAAAGGAATCTATCTTCCCCATTCATGATTGTTTTTCTCCAGATAGACAGTGTTTTGTTGTTTTATTACTACCCCTGGGACGGTCGAGAATTCTCCATTTCATGCACTTCGTTTTATTACAAATACACGTTTTTAGTTATCCTCCCTTCCCAAGGCAATTCGCTGCTTTCTACTTTCTTCAAACGCACGTGAATTTCATGGTTATGCATGTATTTATACACCATGTACTTATGCTCAGAACAGCTACTCGTTGAGTGTCGTTGCCGAGGATAGGCCATTTGGAAGCTGGAAGGTTTCCAGGTTATCCAGGTTATTCGGGACATAATGCATCCCGCAACCTTTCTTAAGAATGCCTTCCACGTATAAAACGCTTCGGTAAGTGCAAGATTCAACTGCTGCCTGCGCACTTTTTTATTTAAATAAATATGTTCGAAGAGAGGCATTGATAAGCATGTTTTGATTGTGGGGGAGGAGCACAATCTCTTTTTTGGCATAGTGTGTGCTGTATGATATTGGCTATACTCCTGAAGGGTTCGTGTTAAGAAATTAATGCTACCTCCTGCTAAAATAGGTCCAAAGTAAAACATCCCTTTCAAATCGAATGCGGTGCGAAAGCTCATTGCCTTGTTATCATTATATTTGAACACGATCAGAATGTTCTTGAGCTAGGAATATCACTGGACCTGACTGAATTTGGTCACTGACTTGAGTCGGAGAGCGAGCCTGATATCGATAATGTTTTAGGGCTTCACTCCTGAAGCTTCTTAATTGAGTCCTTCCCATTCTGTTTAGGTGTGGGGTTTAAATGGTCAGTTTATGCGGCTTGCCATGCATTTTTTTGGGGCTGACAGCATCTGCTACTAGGGTGCCGTTACAACATCACAATCAACAGCCCGCTCCCCCTCGCTTACTTGACGCAAGATGCAGTTTCTCAAGAGTGACACAAAGTGACAAGTTTTATTATGGGTTATTTTTATTGCAAAAATATTATATTCGTCAATTAATTAATCAACATGTCACGAACTAATAATCAAACCAATAATCCCAATAATTTTAACAATTTACAAGATTAAAAGTGCAATAAATTGAAAAAATTGATAAACGTTGTGGAACCGAGATTTCCCATTCAGAAAGATAAGAGCTGATGAATGAAATACTGTATAAATGAAAACGAATGTTAGCTCGTTTTTTGAAATGAACTAGATTTATGGAACATTCATTGCTCCTAAAATACGGCGAACTTGGGAGATCTATGGAAGACGATGATTTCTAATCTAACATTTGAGTAAGTAAGAAAATATGAAGAGACTTCATTTGTTTCATTTATGTATGCCAATCAGCAAAAAATGCGCAAAGGTGAAGGCCACAAAAAAGGGGGAAAGTACTTGAGAATAGTTATGTGTCTCTGGAGCGACTTGCGCAAATGGTACCCTTTTGCAGGAAGGTGCAATTGCAAATGGATACCTTGTGGGAGTTTTGCCTCCGCATTTAATCTATACAGGTAGTGTGGATGAGAAATGTCAGTGTAATTGATTGACAGTATTGCATCAGAAGCTAAATATACTGGCAAAAATCCTTCTTGTCTATAATAAACTACACATTGAACTTCGATTCCTTGGCTTTGATTTCTTGTCCTTGTCCTCAGCTTGTTTTCCTTTCTTATTCTCCTCATCTTCGCTCGAGGAACCATCAGAGCTTGAACTGCTCGAGTTCGAGTCTCGCCTCTTTGGTTCTTCCTTGACAACTGGCGTGACGAAAGCAACAGACTTTTGGGGAGGGCCAGCTTCAGTTGCACCTGACGGCTTTTCCGTAATGTTATTGTTTGGGGGCTTTTCTGCAGCAGGTTGAGTTGGTTGTTGTGCATTGTTAGTGTTTATTCCTAATATCCGACGAACATCAGCGATCTTGAAGTGAACATATTTTTATCATCAGAAAGTGCCTTCTCACAAAAAGGTCCAAGAAAACTGTTTTAAAAATCAGTTTTCATTACGAAATCTTTAAGAAGGGACAAAAGAGTTAAAATTGGATGCATGTTGAATTTATTGGGAAAAGTGTTGAAGATGTTATTTGCGGAGAGTTTGAGCTGTCTATTTCTTTAAAGATAGAAAGGCTTTCACAGTGACCTGCATGGTGTAGAAACTACAAGGCAGCTCGATAAACTAGATGCAACTCATTCGTTATTTAGGAAAAGTAACAGATTTTCAGGGAAAGTTGCTCTTCAGTCTATCTTTGTATCTCTACAGCAATGTTTACGTCATATGGAATATTCATTGGGCATCAATGTCATTCCATTGCAGGTAATTTTTGCATTATCAAATACACAAGTGGCTCCACAAATTGGTCCCACGGTCACCACAAGGTAAAAGTAGTATGCAATCTTATTCAAAGTCAATCGCTGCTCCAGTAGCTATCTAATGTAATGCAAGCAGGACCGTCCATCGTTATCTTAGTGGCAATTTTCCTTGCAGATATTCTAGCACTTTTATGGTATTCTAGGTCTTCGCAGGAACTCAAATCATAACACTACTAACAAATTTCAGGAAAAATAGTCGAGAGTAACTAAAAGCGCTTCTCATCCTAAGTATAATTTAGGTATAGTTAATCTTGCTTTAAAATAAAATTACTTACATATTTACATTGAGCTTGTTTCCCTGCTACTTAAGTCCAACAAGCAAATTGTTTATCTGTAATCAAAAAATATTTCAGGCTCAGAATCACGGTTTTCTGGTATAAAAATATTTCAATTTATTGATTTTGAAAGTCACCAAAACTATTTTATAATTTAGCAGGGAAACAAACTAAGCAAAAACGAATAACTCTTTTTTGCAGAATTTACCTTAGTTATTGATATATATGAAGCATTTTCATAAAGGCAAAAACATGTTGGCAGAAATTGACTTATATTTGTTGCTTTTGAAGTTCCAAAAAAGCTTATTGTGGCAGAAAAATTAAATGCCTCCTACCGAAACTGTAGTTCCACCATCCTTTTCTGCTTTGTCACAAAGCTCCTTGATTTGATTCTAAATAAATTGTACAATACAACTATCAGCCGATTGAGCATATAACATAAAATTACCAGCTACCAATATATGTCAGTTATTTGTGGCTTTACTAGTGGTATTTACTGTACCAGGTAAAATTAGGCTTACCCACATACTGTGTCTCAAAATCAATAAAGATAATCAGACTGTGCCAAAGTGTTTGACAGCCAGTTGTTAGTCCTAGATATGCAGGGCATGAGCAGTGGGGATGAGGTGTGGGAGGCCTCTTTGAACATATGCCTTGTTTAAAATGTTCTGTCTCAATCTGCTTTGTAGTTGTATGTAGCTGTCACAGTTTAGTCAAAATGTTTTGTCTGCAGGCATAAATCAATCGTTACAACTTTCCTAGTTTTATGTCAGGATGTCTGTGTTAAATTCTCATCACAATGTAATTTAAAAACGAGCAAGTCACTCACCAGCCTGGACTGAAGCTTTTCGAGTTGTCTTTTCATCAGCATATTTTCAGCGACTCGCTTTGCTGAGTCAGGGCCATGCACAGGCTACAAGAAACCAGTATAACATTTATATCTTTAGTATGAAGTAAGTATCTCCGCTATGAAGATGAGTGATGACCAGTCTGTTACAAAGTGCTTGATACTGTATAGACCGTTGAGTTTCGGTGCTGATTCCTTTCTAAAAAACAGAAAACAGGTCTTACCTTCGTTGACTGTGTTTGTGCCAAAAAGCCTTTCTTTAGAATCCTTGCAGCCATGATCTCTTTAGTCGTTTGTCCTTCTTTCGCGGCCTTGTTAACGGGTTTTTTGCATTCAGATTTTTGCTTGCCCCAAATTTGTACAATGACAGGTTTCTCGGCAAGAAAATCAAGCACCTAAAATAAAATTTAGTCTGTAATTTTGAATATGAAGAAAGTATGTTATCATTTACCTGATTCTTTGTCTCCATTGAGCGGCCTTGATACTTTATCGACTTGATATAATTAAATTACAGAGGTGGAATATAGTAAAAAGCTAGTTTAGAGAAAAAAATCATATTTCTAGAATGAACGTCAAATAAAGAGCAACTCAGTCAGTTAGAAGAACTAACAAACCCTAAACCTAGTGCTGCCATTAAATACCAATTAAATGGTTTTGTGATGTAAAATTTAAATATGAAAAATTAGTTCAACATCGAGCTATAAAGTAGTTTGACTATTTACAAATTAGTAAATGAACTTTAAACAAAAACTTAACAAACCTTTTTGGAGCATTTATCAATTGTTATCTGTTTTGAGAATTTGAATTCCGGGTTTCGACTCCCAGAAAAGGCCTCGCTCTTCACATTCTCGTATGTAAACACGTCATACTTGCAATAAACCTCCTAAAATAAAAATGAGTAAAAGAGATTCAGTGATATTCCTTTAGCTTACAATACAAGATAATATCGTTTATAAAGCTTGGTCAGACATGAGACAATAAAAACAAATGGAAACACTTTTAAGGTAGCATAAAAAATCCATGTTAAAAGCTAGCATTTTCCCTAAATGATGCTATCCAACAAAGCATTCACATAGCCATAAGCTCTCAAAATAGAGTACAACGGAGCAAACTATGATACCTCATTCTAGCTAGTTAACAGCTCCTTTTGATCATGCAAATGACAGTAAAAAGCTACAGTAAACAAAAGGGTTGGGCTCGGTTTGCCAAATATGAATTTTATCTGTATTTTATACTACCCGGCTTACTAAGGCTATTTTTTAGAACATGGAGAGGTTCTGTTTCTCGAGAAGTATTTTGATCCACCCTCTCAATGTGGTCGCATCTCGTGATTCCTACGCCTAGAATTACAGAGAGCTGGCAACTCTCGTGGAACCTTATATTCGTGGACACTTTGAGTTTACGAAAGCAGCTTAAATTTACTGACATTTCAAATAAATGTCAAGTCCCTTTTTAAAAGTAGCCTAGTGTCTTGTTCCCCTTGTTAGCAGTTATTTTAAGCTCCAGAATGAATTCCTTGACTTACATTGAATCTTTTGGGTAACCCAACAGCACTTTCAATATCAATCTTGAAGTCGATTCTCTTTCCCTCCTACAATGGAAAATGTCTTAAAATCAAATATCCAAACTATCAAATGATAAATGCTAAAACTGTTTGAAATCAATAAAGAAATAAAAAATGCCTCTAGATAGTTAAGCAAATTTCGAATAAATAACTCCTGGAACCAAAACTGAGTCGCCTATAGTATCAATAGCAAAACTCTTAGGAAATATTCCAAGCAACTTCTTCACTTATAAACAAAAGAGACCAACCATAATGAGCCAATTAATATCACTGACACAAAATTCTTATAATTTAATGTGGTTCACTGTAGAAGTCTTATATTTTCTATTTATTAGTTGTAATGGTAATATACTTAACAAATATCTTTCATCACCTTTTATATACATGAAAAGACGGAGATATCATATCGATTTATTGGTTGAACAAATAGTTGAATAAATAATAGACAAACAAAAAGACAATTACCAATTGATCTGGCGTTTCAACGTAGCAAGCGTCCTCGGGTACTGGGCCTCCATCTTTGTCAACTGGAATAACAGAGACCTAGAAAAGAGTGATAAGATCTTTAGGGCAACCCTCTTCACATAAAGCTAATAACATATAACAATGAAATTGTTAACTAATGTGCAACAGGTAAAATTTAAAGTCAATTTATGTGATTAACATATGGCTTAGAATTATCTATTCCTCCAATTAGTTGCAGAACGTCTGCTTAAATTTGTTATAAAAAGTGAATTCAAGCTAAATACAACATCAAGGTAGCGGTGTTGTAAAGTCTAGGTCGGAGCATAGAGAAAATCAATTTGTGAGATTATGTATGTGATTTTCGTAACAAAAACGTGCTTACTACACACTCAGCCACAATAGCCAACTAACTAACCCTTGAGGTCATGTGCCGAAGCGATTTATCACGAAAGACATGTCAACGCAGTGGTCGACGGGAGAAAGACTGGGCACCACCCTATTCCCAGGACTCGATCGCTCCAACAAGCTGCAAGCCAAACTCATCAAACCATCAATTCAATAACCAGGTACTCACGTTCAGATGGCCGGCTTCAGCTCCTTGATAATCCACAACATTCAGTTGCTCTTCCAGTTCAATCTACAATAAAACAACAAATTAATTGTTTCTTCCAACCAAAACTTTTATCACTAGCAGAAAGTCTAAATTAAATATTATGCCTTCAGCATTATATAAAAAAAGATTGTTGCATAAAAATGAAAGGAAATTAAAATAACAGCAAAAAATATAAGGTACTAATCATTGACTACGCCAAAGTTGATGTTTCAAGACAACCGTTCTTCATCTTACGGTAATACATATAGGTTGAAGAAGAGATTTAAACATTGTAGTTGTTAAAATTATCTAGCTAACTTACTTTTGTAGTTATTTCGCCATTATAAATGTATTACAAGTAGCATCCACGGGTAATAAAAATATGGATTAAAAGCCTAAAAGCTGAATTTTTGGAAGTAGACCCTAATTTGTCAAGACCCGATACAGACTGCAAGTCAAATGTTTGCAATTTACTTAAAATTATGAAGCAAAAACTCTCTTGATATTATGTTCAGATTTCTTTTAGATTTAGTCCTATAAATTTTTGCTGAAAACTTTCAAAAATGTTGATCCAAGTAAATCGATTATTTACATCAAATAAATACACAATGGCTCAAAACTTGGAAGATAATGAGTGCCAATTTAAAAACTTAAAAAGCCTCATACATTCCATTCAACCTTAATTATACAAGAACCCATTCAGAGTGAAGAGAGAAAAAGTGTGTAGCCATATGTGGGTTTTGAGTTTCTTGCACTAGTGTCAGATGGCTCAAGTCATATAGCAGTTTGCTAAGCATTATCTTACCATGTAGGCCACGCATTTCAAGTAAACCTCGGCAGTGCCAATCAAACACTCTGTTTCTGGTGATTCAACAAAGGGGTCTCTCTCCGCAGGCACATCCCATGATTCACCACCTTCGAAATCTTCATACATTTCTTGCATGACGTATTTTCGATTGATGAATTTCTGTCTCGTCCAAAACCATTCATAGCCACTGTCAAGTTGCTTCACCTTTACAAAAACCTGTAAAGAGATACGCAGAGTTTTCCACATTAATAGTGCTTCTTCTACATCGGTTTAACGAATTTTCTGTAGAGAAAGATATCAAGTTTGCTGCATTGCAAACGTCATCAGAATGCTGTTGAAGAGCCATTATTTAGATCCTTGTTTACATTTGAGTTTAATTTACTGCCCTTGAAGTGACATCAATTCTATTCGAAGGGGTGATCGGTGCATTCCTAGGTAACATACACAGTAGAACTAAATGTAGTCAACTTATCACCAGATGAGTATATAAATACTACCTCTTTATTTCCTGAATGCTTGCCTCTTGCTTGGGCCGAAAGAATTACCAGTTCAAATTCTACCTAAAATGCACAAAATAACAGCAATAATTACACAGCAGAACATGAAAGGTATATCCAATAATAAAGGAAGGAACTAATTTCAATGATTCTGGTGTTAACGTGTAAAAGATTCCTTAAAAATGTGCAGGAAAAGTTTATGAACTAGATTGATTTAAAGCGCTTCACAAAGTCACTGACGTATTGGACACATCCTAACGACTATTCGACTTATTTCCCTCTGTTCATAGCATGGTGAACATCGAAACTTTGGCATCACTGATCGATTTCCGTCAATTTTTTGTATTTATACCGTCTATTTGATGCTGCAAACATTTCTATCAAGTTCTAAAACATGGCTTCAAAACTGCAATACCTTCTTATCGAGCTCTTGGCTAATATCATTCGCTTGCTCCACATGCGGAAGTAGATCTGCCAAGTCCTCTTGAACGAGCAGATCCTCTGCAAACACAAATAAGATAACCAGTTTAAATTGACTAGGGTAAAATGTAATACTTTTAGTGTTTAATAGGCTAGAAAATACCAGTAAATCCTCGATATTAGGTAATTATAAACTTTTCATCCTGCTTATGTTTTTTTCTTTCTGCTAAGGCTTTTTTCATGATTTTTCTTCTGTAAACGTGTTTTCTACTGTTAAGGTTCACCATACTTTAACATTCACATACCTATCTAGCAACTTCTAGAAACATCACCTTACCGTTTTACCTTGGGACATCAAATATAATTTCCCTTAAATATAAACTTGCTTATTCTAAACAATTTTCAGCAACCTGCCTTACTGAGGCGGTAGACCTTACCAAATCAAATTAGCGCCTAAAAGCTATTTCAGGATAGGAAAGTGGGAGAAGACCTGCTTTGGCATTCTGAAGTGAGACATGCTTTCTATATAGCATATATAAACATAAACTATATACATAAATAACTTATTACGATAAGCGCGAAAAAATGCAAGTTAAGGCTGTATATATGTACCGTTGGATTGTTCCTTCTTTTTCATATTAAATCCAGCGTTCTTTGCGATTTCCTCTTGGGCCATTTCGTAGGAAATTTCAATCAGCTTTCCTTGCTCTTTCAGGGTTTTTGCTTCAGCAGGGTGATAGAAAACATACAAATGGCTGGATCCAATCATTATCCTGGAATTCGTGAGAAATGTTTGATTAAATGTGCATACTTAAAGAAAACCTGAAAAGTTTATTGGCAGGTGTGTTTCGTTGCTTTTTAACTTTATAAGCACGGTTATAATTGCTCTTTTTTCATTTGACATACATAAAAAATTTTCCATCAAGATTGCGAAAATATGTTCACTCCTTACATGTTCTTGAAGTAAAAGCTATCAAGGCAAAGCTTTTAGCTAATATATTGACAGCTTTATGGAAATGAAACTATTATAGACTATTTATAGATAATTTAATGTTCTCTCCACTCTGCATCCTCATTCTTGTTGAATGTACAATGCTACAAATAGTAAAAAGGGATGTTTTGTACCTGTCTTGATGATGTAGGACATTTTGTCCGAGAACTGGCTCTCCATTGACTAAGACCCTGGAGTTGGCACAAACTGAAACAGTGCAGCTACCATCTTTTATCTGCAGTGACGCGTGCTCTTCTCTTATGCTGTAAAAAACCATAAATTCTTTGACTACGTGAAAAATACAAGTATAATTACAGGCGAGGAAAACTTCTTACAATTTTTAAAACTTTTAATGTTGCTCATATAAAATTTCTAATCAATGCTAATATCAAGATTCCTAAATGGTAACACTACTCATTAAAAAATGTTACTCACTTGAGTCCAACTAGAGGAATATCTGGAGGATTTTCTTGCTTTGCTTTCCCAATCTTGTTATCACCTAAAATGATGTAACTTCTATAATATATGGCATAGAAATTTTTGAAGACTAAGTCAACCTTCTTCTTTCAAAAAATCGTTTTAATTCTACAACAGAAGGTATTTTCTTCTACAAAGTATAACTGCCAAGGCTAACTGCCAAGGTTAACTGCCACAAGCTACTTGGTTTTTCTAGTTAAAACGATGTTTCCCCCTCCAATGCAACAATTTTGTGAGCTTCCATAATTGAAAAGATTACAAAACTTCTAAGAAACATTGCATGCATCTTGAAAGATTTGTCACGCTCTCCCAACAAGATATTATTCTTACTATTACAAAAATACACGAACAAACTGTTTGGGTGCTAACTCGCTACGCTGAATTATTGATGAAATCTAGCATTTGAAACACAAACCTTCTTTAAGCAAATGAACAATCATCCCAGATAGCATCGGATCTGGATTCAGGTTGTAAATATGTGGTGTTGACATTTTTTCTTCCCCTTTCTTCTTTTCAGCTTCATCTCTTTCCTAAAAGTTAAATCAAATTCACAAATATATTTCCTCCTATAAAAATAACAAAACTACCTATTGCTAGCTAATTTCTCTCTTAAGAGTCCTCTTATGTCTTTAGGAGCCTCACAAATTTAACTTCATTTTTCTTCCTAAACGGGAAGATGCATCTAGACATTAGATAGGACACTTAGTAAATGCAAAAAAAAGCTATGAATACAAAGCTAAGAGAATATAGAATCAACATTTGTAATTTAGTATCATTCGTAGGTAAATCACCTTATTCTTTGCTTCAGCTGCAGCAAGTCTGTCAGCCCATTGCTGTTCCATCTCGTCCATGGATTTAGCATTTTCTGCCATCTAGATAAGAAAGAATTTGTAAAAAAACTGTAGACAGTTAAAACAACAGAAAAAACGTCGACCAGAGTTCAGTCTTGGGGACTAAGACATGGCTGTCAGAGAAAAGAGCAGAGCAATAGGGCTTCAGCTCCACCCTAGTAAATTTCTTCTGAAAAGTAATTGAAGGTAGTAATATCTTTTCCCTTGATACTCCTAAAAATTTCGTCAGGAAAAGCAAATAAGAAGAAAAATACAATTAGTTTCAAATTAACGAATTCAATTGAAATTCATTAGGTACAATTAGAAGAGTATCAGGATCTTAAATACATGAGGTGAGATGCCATTTGGTTAATGATTTCTTCACAACATAGCAAAACAAATAACTTACTCTGGCTTGCAATTCTTCCTCGACCCTCTTTTTAACCTCTGTAATATAAAACGTATCAAATTGAATTTTCAAAACCTTAAAGGATAGTGCAAATACATGTGAGTAGATACAAAAAAGAGTTTAGTTTTGACCGCAGTTAAAAAAAAGCTTTCGTAACTAAACTTCTTAGGATTATCATTCAAAAATGATAAAGATTGAGTATTCAGGTAATAGATACCTTCTTCAGATAATCCTTCATCATCATCATCATCATCATCATCATCTTTCTCATCAATTCTCCCAATCTTTTCTCCTGCGCTGGCCTTTTCAAGCAGTTCTTTCAACTTCTCGTTTTCTTCTTTAAGATTTCGAATCAATTTTTCTGTTGGATCTTCATTAACAGTTGCTTTTGTCTTTATCTGTTTGGCTCGATCAGCTGAAGAAAAAATCAATCACTCTTATTTGCCTTGAAAATTGAATTAAAAATTAAAAAAAAATCCTTTTTTGGCTCAGGCAAAGGAGTGGATGAATATGGAAAAGATGACGGAGGAGCTTGAATCTGTCAAGTGATAGGCAACTCCAATTTTAAGAACTCGGTGCAACCGTGATTCCGGGATTCTAGTATACTTAGTGTGGCAATATTTTCCTTATTAACCAGAAACGCTATATGCTGTTATAGATTATCAACGTGCATGGAAAAGACTTCTCAAGAAAAATTGCTCACCATATCTCAATGTTGAAAGTGTCTCCTCGTAGTTTATATCTGCAGGACTCAATGCAGCAATCTAAATAAAACACGAAAATAACAATTTACTAACGTTACGATCACAAGGCTACAATAAAAAGGTATTCCATACGATTGAGATCTATCCATAACGGAACAAACTCTTCGAGTTAGACAGCAGTATTATTTCAGAAAACTAGCATCACGATAGCATGAAAACGCAGAACAATTTCTTTGCATACAAATCAATATCAAATAGATATATGGCGTTGGACCACGCTATACAATATAATTGCTCTACTTTTTTCGAGCTAAACTGAAAGTCTGCAGCACTGAATATCGTCTAACTTACCATGATCGTCTTGCTGTTGCCCCCAAGAGCATTCTTTAGCAACATCGTGAGGACCGAATTTCTGTATGGAACTGAGGGAATAGATATGGAGTAAATGCAGGGGGAAAGCAAAATTTTTCATTAACAGCAACATCAAGCAACATTGCAAAGCATTCTGTATAATTTATTTAAGGAAGGATAGAAGTTAGAAAACATCATCCAGTGCCTCCAGTGTAACATCGATCAGTTACCCATGAGTCCGACGTTCAATCACTATAAAACCAAGATCGTAAAACTACGTAATAACTCCAGACTTAACTGAAATAAATTGTGATACATTTATTAGCTAAGCAAACTTTTAAGTTGTTAATTCGATATTTAGTAGTTACCTCTGACGTTTTTTCCACCGGCTCGATCTGCAAGAGCTGAAGGAAGAATAGGAAATCCAGACGTTAGAATGTTTGATACTTCAACTCTTGAATACGTTTTACTACTGTACTTATATATTTGTTTTGATACAGCGAGGCTCATTAGGGTCATTTGAGGTAAACTAGATCGATTAACAATTTGTAAAAAAACTACAACCATCTGATGAGCAATGGTTAATAAGCAATTGAACTAATTAGCAGTCTTAGGTTGAAAAGCAACCTCGATACTGGAAATGTAAAGAGTGTGTAGTGCTGGTTTCAAGTTGATAATGTGAAAACAGTTTCAATGCACAACTGTTATGTGTTTGTTCAATGCTAATAAAACAAAATGCAATTATTTGACACTCCTGAGACTTTTCAGACCCCTCGTTCCGTAATATGTTTGGTTCCGTTCCGTAATATGTTTGGTTCGGTAATACGTTCCATTGATTTCAAGTTCATGCAGGCTCTGATTGGACACTATTGATGGACAGCGCTTATTTCCTTCAGAACATCGACGTTTTTGACAATTTGACTACATTTCACATGATTTCAAGAAAACTAACCAGCAATGCAGTTTCCCAATGACGAAAGTGATTGGTTAATTGCTGCTCCTTCCTTGAGTCTATCCCCAGTGGCTCCAGTGGATTCTGCTCGTTCACTAGAAAATAAAACACCAGTCAGTCAGAACAAGGATTAAAAAATGGTTGCTTTATGTCAGACCCTCACATACAAATACAAATGAGGCTGTGCCACATAAGAACACATTTTTATGATAACCAGAGGATGGAAGACACTTGGTTTGAACACTATAATTACAAAACAGCGTTTACATTTTCTATAAGTAGTAGCCCTTTTGCTAAAAAGATCTCTTCATCCGAGGAAATCTTGTCTATCACTTTGCTCATTCATGCTGCAGAAAGAGGAATAATACAAAAATTGGTAGAAATCTTCACAAACCTTCCAGCCAGATCTACAAGATTGACAACTGACTTTTTAGCTGTCTCCTGTCCTGCTTCATTCTTTGATTTCTGAGTAAATGTTATTCCCACTATTGTGTGGGCACGACTGTAGAAGAAGAAAATATGTTATTTGCTATTGCCAAATTGCTGAAGCACAAAATAAACAAATTCACAACTTAGTGTTTCTGCCACTGTCCTGTCGCTATTAAGTTTGAGACATCAATTTTTATCTATATTCATGTGGTTACCTGCTGGTTGCATTCATGTTGGTAGAGGCAACTGTTCTGTTCTTTGTTCCTTCTTCCATCCTCATTTCTATGTCTTGATAATTCTTTACTGGTTGAACACTGAGACCCTCAGCATAAAACCCCTTCTTAGGGTGATTTCGTACTTTCAGACCTCCTTTACCAGTAGATGGATTCAGCAAGTCTCGTACTTTCTCATTGTAAATCTCTAGCATACTGAACAGAACCTAAGTGGAATGATATGATATTCATTCTTACTGAACAAGACACCAAAATCATGTAAGTAGAAGGCCCACTACAAATATTTTTATATGTAATAATCAAATTTTGGAACTGGAACTTGGCAGATATTCAAAGAAAAATAAAAAGATATAAAAGGTATTAGAAAGATTTGCCTCAAGTTTGGAATATATAGTATGGAATAGATAGATTCTGAAGAGAAAGGAAAAATTGAAACCCTAAATCAAAAGCTTTCAAAAAAATTAACATTTAGACCTCACAATAGATGCCTTGGAGTTGTACAATAAGGACATTTACTGATTCTTTACAAATTTGAATGAATATTTCATTAATCATTGATGAAATCCTTACCTCAAATTCTGCATTGCTTCCTTCATCTCTCTTCTTTTGTATTCCATTAAAAATTTCTTCACAAAACATAGGGACAATGCCTACAATAGAATATTTAATACATTATGAGTTTTATTGACATCTAAAAACAATACTAGATTTTTATATTCAATTTTTAACTAAGATATAGTTACTACTTTCAATGTAAGTGGAGCTCACAACTTTTGAAAAGATACTCAGCTCATCATATACTAGTTTTACAAGCTTATTTTGTTCCTTACTGTTTTTGTGGTTCATGCAATGCAGTTTACCTTTATTTGCTCCATATCCAACAACAGACCATGATTTTCCAGAGCCAGTTTGACCATAGGCAAACAAGGATGTATTATATCCTGACCAGGCATTATCAAGAACACCAGCTCCAACATCACTGAAGAGCTCTTTCTAAAATTGATGAAGATTTCCAAATGAGGGTAAAAATCTGGCAAGATAATCATAATTACAATTGGAAAAGTCTCTTTATCACATTTTCTTTTTCCCAATCAATCATATTCTGGGCATCTTTTTAAAAAAATTCGCTTTTGCTTTGAAGCCCAACAAGACCTGGAAGCCCCCCAGGTCAGATGAGCAAAACTACAAACTCAAGGGGCAAGAGAAAAATAGAGAATCTGATCACTTTATCCATTCAAAGGAAAATGGCTGTTCCCCTCACTGACAATGTGCCTTTCTCTAGTACTCTACTTCTATGAAGTTTATATGCTACAATTTTTGAAAAAATCCCCATTTAATAATCAAATGTTAACTAAAAAGTACAGAAATTTGCACAAACCTGTCCAATATATTTAGAGTTTGGTCCATCTGGACCAAAATACCCATTTTCAAGCTCCTTTGATCCATCATGAGACCAATAGCTATAGTCAAATGTGAATTCTTTTAAGTCGTCTGGATTTTGTGGATCAAAGATTGTAGTTGTTGCTCCTTTCATGTCAATGATCAGTTTTGCATTCCTGCCTCGCTCTCTCTTATTCTATTTGATGCGTCAAGGTGAAAGATTCTGATATGGACTATTAGTTTAATATTTTTTTATTTTCACATAGTAATCCTATATCTTTTAAACAGGGGCGTATTTAAGCAACATAGGTTGGCGGGTTGTTAGACAATAATCTTGGTGAACCCCCCATCAGGTCACTGGTAAATAATGGAAACGCCCATTTTAAAATTTGGTTTTTAGCTTTAAGGTAAAGATGATATGAAGCAGTGGCGTAGCCAGGGTTGGAAGATTGGTGTAGCAAAGAGGAGAAAATTTTTGCTAACCAGACCGCTAAGAAATTGGGGAAAACACCCATTTTGTAAATGCGTTTGGAAAAGCTATGGCATTTTTACGTGGCAATTTCTTTTTATACAAAGTCATATGTAGCATTTTGTGGCTGACCATATTCAACAGCTGTCTATATCCTTCACTATTCCACTAATGTTTATATCGAACTGTTTCAGGGGGGGGGGGGGGGGAAGCACTACATGAAACAAGTAATTTTCCAAAGTTGTAATCAAATATCTAAAAATAATAAACAGTATTCAAAAGTTTTAAACCAAGTCCTTTCTCCTTGAGCAAAATCCACGACAAGCATTTTAGAATCCAGTTTTTTTCAATGATTGAACTGCTTTAGCATTTTAGTTGTTATTTTTTCGGGGCTGTCTCAACAACGTGAAGGACGTTTGCAAGCCCAAAAACGAGGGAGATTGTTGAACATCCTTTAGAGATATACAGGAGGGTCTCAATAGAGGAGGCAGAAATTTTTTGCAAGGACACCCTTGAGATTAGCTTAAAATCGTTTCAGAATATTCCTCCCCACCACTATGCTGCTGATAAAAAGATAAATTCTGATAAAAAAATAAATAAAGTAAAATATTGGTGGTACCTTGATACTACTGTGTGCCAATAAATGATTTTTACCAAATGAATTAAAATTTACCGAAGGACACAGAAATATTAGGGGGTGTCGCACCCCCTACACACCCTGCTAAATCTGTCCCTGCTTTTAAAAGTATCCTTGAAAGACCGGCTGATATCAATAATGCCCTGAGTGATATAGAAAGTGAGGCAAAACTTGTTATAGGCAACTAATACAAATTGTAGCATTGCATTCAGCACATAACACAAACCTTACAAATATTGTTTTTTTATCATTTTTCCTCAACATATAATCAATAGTTGATTTCTTATATTGAGACTATAAACACAAATCTTTAGCTGATGTCCTTGAATTGACATTAAAGTAATTGTTTGGAAGGTGCAAGATGCAATTTTTACTTTGCATACTTCAATCAAGTTAAAGTACTAAAGGGATGTCATAATTTTGTTTAATTTTCAAAACACATAAATCTGCCTGAGGAGCCAAATTTGTAAATTTTCTTTACAAAATTTGCTACTTACGAAACTTGATTCCATATAGAAATTCGATGGATGGCAAATATATTAATAAACACGATGAAATCGTAATTTAGTGCAATATTTTTGCCTTAAATCAAATCATCTAGTTTGTAGCAGCATGTTGTTTATAATATGAAATTCAATGGCGATCATGCGATTTGAAGGATACAAAAGGGCGAACCCTTACTGCTACTTTCACACTTTCTTCTGACATACTTGAATCTATCTGCTTGCTTTAACAACTCGTCCACTTGTAAACAAATAAATGTTACCCAATTCTTGGAAGTCTCTTGCGCGAACGAAGTTAGACAATTTGATTGTCTGGCAGGTCGTCCAGTTTTAAAGTTAAAGTATTTGTCTTTTGCCGCTAAAAATCAATCAAGATTAAAAGTCTGGAGAGAAGTCCTAATCTTCTTAGCTTTCAATCATAAACCAGCGAATTAGAAACAGTAATTTAAAGCCCAGCGAGAACTTCAAGATGTCCTCCTCTGTCTATGTTGTTGTTGCCGTGGCACTGTGGTCCGACAACAAACACTACAAGCCAATCAAATCGCATCGGTTTGTCGAAGCTATTAACTGGGCAACCATGACAACTAGAAACATAAACAGTAGCGGGGAAAATGTTGTCAAAGGGAAAGCTGTTGCCTGCAGTGATAAAAATAGGAATTTGAACGGCGGATATTTCAATACAACTAAATCTTTGAATATCTGGAGCTTGGATGCCAGGTTGTATGTAATGTGGAAATATATATGGCCGTTTATAACTGTCGAATTTCATATGGTCAGTCATTCCAAGAATTTATGGGTTCATTGTCCAATAAAATTATCACATTCATCAAATTGTGTAATTGTGTAATAAAATGAAACCTCTCTAAGTTCTTATAATAAGAAAAAACTGTTTGAAGCTGACAAGCTTGCTCTAAAACACCCCAAACTATAACATTTTAATATCTACACAGTCATAGAAAAAATTAGGAAAATTATCAATAGACCCATTTAAGAAATGATAAAACTCCGTGGAAGGGTTAAATAATGGAATACTGATGGTGTTAAGAGCAATGTTCTTTAATAAGATGATATACATGTAGATTGGTATGCCGATGTGTCCCTGGCAAAAATTCAGGACCAAGCTCTTTGAAAACCAGGAGAACAGTCTTTTAAACCCAGCAGAACTTTCATGAAGTTAACATGCAAAAGTACTGTTATGAATAGGGATCAAATTCTTCTATTTCATATTTCTTAGAAACCGTTCAACCTCGTTCTGCCAGTCTTAGAAGGGGAGATATTGTAAATTTTTATAAGCAGTCACACCCCTTCAAATATTTCCTGGTTTAGTCACTGTTAGGTCCTATAGGATTACATCGATTAAAACAATTTTTCACTCTTCTATGTATATTATGATTACGTATCCAGCTTATGGACTGCACAAGACCAGTTCAGTTAACATAAACTCCAATGGCTACTTCAGTCTAAATATACAGCAAAAGGCTATCTAATGCGTCGACCATTGCTTCTGGAGACATCACTTGAAGTATCTGCTGGTTATGTATGTAAGGCAGAAGAGTATCTAAAACTTCTATGGTACAAGCTTTTTCACTCATAAAGCCTACTGCTGATTCTTCACTTAGATCTTTAAAGCCATCACATAACAAGCAACTGTTGGTACAAGAGAACGTTGTGCTCTGTTTCTCATTTTCTTGGTCCTATGTTTCTTTAAAGCAATTCATTATTGGGATTACTAAGTTTCTAGGAAACTGTTCGCATTTTTATCAGAAATTACAAAACTTTTATTTTCTTTTGTTGCTGCAAAATAAAACAACGCCTAAAATAACAGCTGTATATAAAAGTTAAACATTATTCAATACTTTCTAATTTTCAGCATATTTGAAATTACTTGGATCGTTTTTGTTTGAACTAATTAAAGATTCCCTTATTTTCACCACAATATAGTTTTTTGGTAACATTGTTTAAATTCAAGCATTAAATTTTTGAGACAATCAAATAATAATAGTTTTGTAATCAGTCTAAATTTCTCAATGAAACGTGTGAATTGTTTACACGAGTTCAGTTCTATTAAAACAAGTATATTTATGCTATAAACACAGTGTTGATCATGTCGCTTATTTCTATAAAAAAAGCTTATAGAAAAATATATATACTACTGAGTCCATTTAAATTTAATGAATAATTTGAACGTAATGAAAAAAGACCCTTGAAGAGCTAAATAAATCTATATCAAAGAGAATGTGAGTCTTGTTTCTTCATCGAAATATGCCAAATATCATTTCCATCAGCATTGCGCCCTCTATGCTCCATAGAAACATTGTTTTCATTTGTTGTTCTGTTTTTCGTGCAGATTTCAAAGACGCTTTGATTCCCAAAACAACAGACCAGATTTCGGAATGTTTGATAATAATCCTTGCTTGCTGCCGCATACGTCGGTGCGTTAACGACGGGGTTCGTGTAAGTGAGAAGAAGGCATATCTCTATTGCGTATGATGGTGCTTTTATCCCTCCGAATATGCGTACGAAATCCAAAATAGCAATCGGCGCTAGTAAGGCAGTGTGAGCGCCGAGTAAAAAAAGAATTCCCATAGCCATATGCCGCTCTCTGCGCTTGATAACATCGCGCGTCAAACTAGAGCGGATCCTCTTGTTCCTCTTTCTCGAGACATCATAAGCAGTATGGGAACTGTGGACTTTTCGTGCGATTGATATATACAAAGCGATCTTTACAATGAGGGGTGCAAAGAAAGTAAATATTGTTATAAAAACATTATAGCCTGGGTCGATAACCGAAGAAAACAAACAAGCCGAATCACGATTGCTGAAAGACTTTTCCCGCAGAACTTCTTCGACGAACGCCGGTACAGCTCCCACTACCACCGCTAATATCAAAGCTGTCGCGATCAAGAAAAACATATGATAACGTTTGAAAAATAGCTTGTAAGCCAAAGCATGGTTGATGGCACAATATCTGTCGAAGGTCAAGAGAAGAAGGTTAAAATTTGATGAAGCAAATAATGTGATCGTTACACAAGTTGTGTATTTACAGAACGCGCTTGTTGAAATTTTTGGTACATTTATCAAACCGTATGTATCAGACAATCGGACGAGACGCAGCGTCAGCGAAAAAGAAGAGATTAAAAAATCCGACGTTGCAAGGTTCAGGATTAAGATGTGTGTGTATTTCCGTAGTTTTTTATTCGCTACAGCAGACAGGATCACCAGCAGGTTGCCAGTCAAGGAAAGCACAATCAAAATAATAAGGAGTATGAAGGAAACGTAAAACATATCTGCTACATGTAAGCTTCAGTAAATCCCATCCGTTTATACTTTTTCATTTGAAACGGGATGGCGCCAGATGACTCGAAATTGCAACTCACAGGGGCAATTTCAAGATTTTTGCGTCTTTGGATAAAATCTAATGTGGCTTATAATCTAGGACTTCTACAGCTTCTTCGTGTATTTTCGCTAAGATATCAATGTAGTCTTCTCACGCTTGCTTTTCAACGACAACGTATCGAATGAGGCACGGTGATAGGTCAAACTCATATGATTAGCAACTGTATCAGTCCCGGAAGTGGAGGACATACGTCGTTTTGATTTACACTTTCACTTTCTTAGTCATTGATTGTAGAGGCTAGTAGAGGAAAAGTCCTTATAACTGTTGGCCATTGATTGCCGATCTATCTTTCATTTCTTTCAATAAAACTTCCCCCTCGTTATCTTCTCCTTTACTTCTCCTTCTTGTTTTCTACTTCTTCTTGTTGCAGTCTTCTTCTGCTTCTTATTCTTCTTCCACTGCTTCTTGTCTTCTATTTCTCTCTTTATAATTCTTCTTCTTCTTCTAAATAAGAATTGTTGAAGCTCTAAGAATGAATGATAGCATCGTAATATAAGTCCTTTTGCCACTAATATTGACAAAAAGCTATGACGTTGGATTGCATAAATTGGAACAAGATAGCTCGAATATGATGTTTACAATTAGATTTGTTTACAAACTAACGAGAAAACGCAACTATCTGTTTATATTGCAGGAATCTTGAACAAACTAAAAACAGTAAGGTTAAAAATTTATTTGCATATCATGATGTTCATTTGTTGCTTTTTAAGTAGTAAAAAAAGAAATAAGTCGCTGATAATTTCTTGGTAATCATTAGTTTGCAAATGTCTTATTAAGTCGCTGTGATTGGAATATATGTCGCTAAAACATCATCAACATACAACGTAGAATTGTATATGGACAAGGAATTCAAGCAGAGTCTGAAGTGTGATTGAAACCTTTTGTTTTCAGTGAAAATCTCAAAGAGCTAAATCTTTTATAGAGTGCCAGAAATCCTGCTTATAAAGCCTGTTTGCACAATATTGACAATAGGTATTCCAGCCTTATGAAAGAGTTTGCTGACAGTTATGATTAGCATTAATAATCACACCTCGTGTCTTGCATCGATCTGATTGAACAGCACTGGCATCGAGCAAATAAAAGGATATCATTTTATAGCTTTATACGTCAAACCATGATCAGGCTACTTCTAGCCTGTACTAACCAGGTTCTTTACCCCTCTACTTATGAGTGCAACAATTTTCAAAGCCTACTGGCTTTCGATAATATATAGTTGAGGGCCGCAAACATGTCGATTTTTCCCCAACAACGTCGCTTGGACGTTTTCATTTAGACTGCCGCCCCCCATCTACCTCCCCACAAAACGTCCAGGACCTGAATATCGATATAAGCGAAATTTGTGCATGTTACTGGCCGGGACTTTGTGGTGATACAAACCTATATTCATATCATATGCAGTACTGACCCTACATTCATATCAAATTTCACTGCTAAGAACGATTCTGACAGCAAAATTATTTGTAAAGAGATGCAATCTTGCACGAAGGCTTCCTCTAAGGGACATACTGAAATGGCCTTTCTTTGAATCCGAGGTATGAAGTACGTGTCAGTTTTGCATAACATAAGATTGCTTATCAAAATCACCAGAATTGCATTAGAATCATCTAGAAACGAAACTAACAGCCACAGTACAACTTAACAACAGGGACAGCGATGTAATATGTAATAAGCAGCACTTTGATTACGTTCGCAAAGATGAACGTTTACAAACAACCTACTAGAGAGTATCAACAATTTATTAATGCATATGCCTTGCTTCATGGTTCCGGAAAGTCTAGGCAATCATTGATTATAGTGAAAGGAATAAGAATTGGAAGGAATTGAAGCATGACAGAGAGGCCTTGAATGATCTCATGGTAAAAGCTGCACAGCACCATCCGCGAGAGCGTCAAGCATAGATGCTCGACACTTTTGAAGCAAAAGAACCTGTAGCAAAAAACGAGCTCCAACACAGCAGGCTTCAGCATCAACATCTGCCGCAACGGTTTTTCAACCTTCAACCCCTGAAAGCTTTACCACAGTTGAAAAACAGACATTCCTGAAAGATCGAGATTCATCCCTTGTTACGAAATTATTTTCAAAAATATTTGAGCCGGAAGTATACTTCAAATGTTATGACTGACGAATCAATATGGGAAGAGGAATTGTTCATGCAAACATCTATGATACTGCGAAATAATGGAATATTTTTACAAATCTGTTTGAGGGTTATATGGACCTATCGCAGTACAAACGTGTGTCTAAATTGAATGAGTATTTGGAGGAAGTGAAAAGTATTTCAGAGTCAATCAAGAGTGATCTGTCTAACTTGGTATCAATAAATTTAACATTTGTCGTTGGAGTTAGTGTGTTGGCGAAGCAAAAAGGCAGAAAAACGAAGCAAAAGTCTTGTCATCTTTCTGTTGCTTAGATTGAGAGCGAAACAGATAATTCAAAAATTCTAATTAGTCTTAAACGCAGAATAAGTCAACAACTCCAAAAAGCTGCCCATTCTTACTCTCAACCTTTCAGTGAAATTGAATTACAATGTAGCAACACAGGCTCTTGGGAGGCTGCTTTATGCTATTTAGTAGACATCGAGAATAATAACATTGTGTTTAAAAAGAATGCGAATTATCTTGAAAAAGCAGTGCTCATGGCTAGTACTGTAGTAAGTCTAAAAGAATTAAAGTTACATCTCCCAGAAAGGTGTAAAAGATACATTCCACAGACAGTAACAAAGCAAATCATTGTACACTTGCCCATAATGCATATTAAGAAAGAGCAATTTCTGGTCAACGTTCACCAAGTTGACTTCCGTTGCAAAGAACTGAACCAAATCTTTGAAAGCCAACGTTAGGACGATCGACGTGATTTGACTGAGCTGTCAACGGACGACTGCCAAAAAGGGATGTTGCTACTGAATTTATGAAGTCTCATGGATTCCATGCGCAAGAACGCAGGTGTACATCAACCACAGCTAGTTCTGGGGTTACTATTAATGAAATCAGAGAGTATCTCTTTAAAACTATCCCTGGTCCAAAGGAACATGGCATCAGTAAACAAACAGTTAGATGGCTCTTCATGCCAGTTAGAAAAGATAATCATGCTGCTGCACGTTATAAGGTTATTATCAATGCCACAATTCCGAAGAAAGATAATACTGGCAGGGAATATGAAGTGGATTCTCACTTTATCCTGTAGCGTGTAAAGTTGCAACGGGAATTCGCTGAATATTTCAAAGAAGAAACAACAATTGTAAGTACCGATAACATGAACAAGATACGTTACGGTGCTTCTGCGGTGTCACGGTATCATCTCAAGTCCGCAAAATCTACATGGAGAATGATGCCCTTCAATTACCTGATCACGATTTTCCTGATTCCTATAATACTATCCCATGTGGATTAATGATATTTTCAAATGATTTTGAGGACAAAGATATTCCTATCAAAGACCATCATTTGCTCAGGGAAGAAATGGAAGATGATTTAAACGATTGTGAGAGGAGTGACGTTGATCACATTGAAAAGCTAAAAATGCATTTGCATAGAGCTGCCTCAGAACTTGATGCTGCTTGCACGAAGGAATATATAACAGATTTCGTATTCGCCTGTGAAGCCCAATGACACTGTACTGGCATCTGAAAAAATTGACGCTTTATTGAACAGAATTGGAGAAGAGTATGAAGTAAAGCTTATAGTTTATGATAGCATCAACAGTGTTCCAACGCCTTATGGGGGAAGACGTCATCGGTAACAAACTAAGTCATTTCTTTTTGGTATAAGTTAATAAGTTAGAGAGCATGGCATCGGTAAGATGATTTTTGCTACACCATTTTCTTGAGAAACTACATGGATAGATGTAATTTCTATAGAACCTAATTTGAGGAATATTCCCTGCATATTATTGACAGGAAATCTTTTTTACATAATGTCGACGTTGCCGTACCTTCGCCACCAGAATAGTGTTTCGGTTGATCTCGTACTATTGTTTAGTTCAATTGCAAGTTGATTTCACATCATTGTTGAGTTGAATTAGAAAAAATTCTTATGTTGTGGTCTGAGTGTCTCTTTTTTGTTGGCCAACCTTAGAAAAGAGTTTAAGATCCGACCATATTAGATAGTTCATTTTGACAACGAGAGACATTGAACAAAGACAACGTTCAGATTTTACAGGTTGTGATCTATTTATATAAGACCATTGTTCGATGCAAAATCCCAATTTGAAAACGTCTTGAAAAATATCCCTCCCCTCAAAACGTCCAAACGACGTTGTTGGGGAAAAATCGATATGTTTGTGGCCCCTTAATTACTTGAGATTTTATTCAATCTGGTTTCCATGCAACCTCTTTCTTCCATATTAAATGTTTGATAGAAAGTGAAAAAAATGATAAAGAAGGTTCATTGTCTTCTTTTTGTATCTCCAAGAAAGATTAAATTGAATTAGAAAATTTGAGGCATTTTCTATATGATGACAGGCTTTCTTCTTCATTTACCGTGCCTGCCCTATCATCTAAGGAAAAACTAATACGCTGCAAATCTTCGATGGCGTAACTTTTAAGAAGTAAATGTGTCCAAGTTTCTTCTTTGCCTTATTTGATCAATGAAACTACTCCTTCATCACTAGACATTGTTTCGATTTTTGAACTATCGTTAAAGCAGTTTCAAACACCTGTTTAAACTTGTTAAAGAATGCTGATATTCTGTTTACAAATCCTTAATCTTACTATTTTTCAGTGCATCGAAAAAGATGTATCTAAGAATTTCCCTGATTATGATAAAGGTTGATGATTTTCAAAAAATTGATAAGATGTTAACTGTGAAATTACATATTTGTACAAGAAAGCAGTGTGTAACACTAGTGTTCTAGATAAAAATCTATTTCATCTTTTTAATGTAACTATGAACTACCACACAAATTTCTGTAAATGTTTTTGGAAACCTTTAGACTTTCTCGTCTAAATACAGCCTAAAGTTGGCCAAATGCTTTGAAAATAGAAAAACAGGAGTAGAAAAAACTGCAGGACCAAGGACTTTAAATATTAGTGACAAAAGCTGTGGCATCAGTTGATAAAGATCAAAATAAAATGATTTCAGACCACAATATCTGGCTGCTTACACTGCCTACTATTTTCAGAATTGTCTCAGTGAATTATGAATAAAAGTTTTCATACCACGAAACTTGCACAAATCTAAGAGCAAAGCTACTTGCAGAGTTGCCTGAAGCTTGCTTTCTCTCTTGATCGAATACAGCATTCTATGACCTGATTCATTGCTTGCATTAGCAAATAAATGCTTCGAACGAGTTTCTAAAAGCTCTTGTGTCTCTTACTCTTTTGATAGAAATTCGTGCGTCGTCAAAGTTTACTTTTAACCACACGAAACAGTGCACTGCTAATTAAAAAATCTCAGCCTATGTGCTTCAATTGGAAAAGATTTGATTGATTTATCAAACAAACTCAAAAGGCACACGCAGCTACGAAATTGACTAATTTTAAAATTGAAGGCATACCTTACGCCAGTAGCAAAACTTTGATCTCTTGTTTGTTTTATGATGCAAAAGATTTGTCAAAAGAAAACAAAAGTGAAGAACGCCAAAATATCATACTTTCCAGACGTCAACTTGCATGCTAATTTTCATACTACAAGTTCACCTGTTGAAACATTCTGTTGTCTGAATCCTGATCCAACTAAATCCAAATAACGGATTCTCCAGGAAGCCTCTCTTAATTAAAGACGCCAACGAATAGAATTACTGAAGTGATGACGTCACTAAAATCTACTTTTAGAATTTTTCAATTTTGACCCTAGATCCCAAAAGAGCATTATGAATTATTTCTGAATGTACTTAATCAGTTGAATATGGTACGAATTGGCCGAGATATGGCAAAATAAACACATGCTCTTTCCCTATCCAACCTCTGTAATTTGTTCTTGGTTCATAGCTTTATGGACCAAGCTTTACATAATAGCTTAGTGAATCTCATATTCCTACGCTTCCCAAATTTTGTTGTTCTGGATATATTTAACTGTTAGTTGTCTAGAATAAATCTATCGGTTAGCCCCTATTTTGCAGTTGATCACATTAACGATACGTGCAATTTCTTCATAGAAATAGGGCTGCAAAAACAATTTTTATTGGAACTTTTAATTAAGGATCTATTTTCTGTAAAATAAAGGTATCATTTTAAATAATTTCAGAAAATGAGGCAAAAAGTATAATTAGGTACTTTTAATTTTACTTTAGTTCATTTTGGCATTTCATCTCATTTAGCGCTGCATATCCATTGTCCGCCTTAAAATTGATACCCAGCTCCTTCTACAGGAGTCAATAAGAGGTAATATAGAAAAACACTTAAATAAGCATTAATGTTTTCAAAACCCAGATTTTCTAATATAAAAAAGATTAATGACTGTAGAAATAATAAAAATAGATATGGTTATAGTATAACTTCCTTCAAGGTTTCTTGCAACTTAAATACATGCACAACTCTTCTTGCAAAATCTATGCATGTACCCGGAGTTAGATGTACAGTACCCCGCCTTTGCCCAAACCGGGCAATTCTTGTTACTGTCTGTCTGCTCGCAGCAGCATGTGTTAAAGCAAAGCTTCTTCATAGACTTTCTGTACTTTTTATTCAAGCAGTATTTCTGCCATCCACGTTTGCAGTATTGACTTTTATCTTCACAAGCTAAATTAGAAAGAAGAGCACCTTTCTGAAATCAATATGCAATGCATTGATCATGATCATAAGTAGGTAGTACACACTCTTCTCTCTAGTTAATGGTTACAGAAGAACTAGATACAGTCATAAAGGAGAAAAAATAATTAATAAAAACTTTATCTTTGATAAGAAGCACGTGATTACAGTTACACATAAAAACTATAATTAGTGAATGGCTGGTGGATGTTTCTCAAATCTTTCGTTTTTTAAGCTTCTGCTCAGAAAAACGATTTAAGAAGGGTATCAGCAAAAGTCTCTTGCTTCTGTTGTGGTTACGTCACACATCATACCCAATTCGATCATCTTCAATCTGACTTTGCTGCTTCTAACAACGGTGGTTGATTACTGAATACACGCGCTGCCAGTTGATCATAGAATTCCTGGATTTATAATATATGCTTCGCCCCTTCGTAGCAATGATCCAAAAAGATAAATATGACAAAAAAGAAACCCAATTTCTTAACATATTTTCCCAAGTAAGATATCAATTTCAGCTAGAGACGATGAGATTCACTAAACTTGCTAAAGAATGCTGATTTTTCTGACGGAGAAGAAGATTGAATGACCTTGCTTAAAAGCAATGTAAATTTGACTCTTCTGCGCCTTGACGAGGAAAAACGAGAGAAACTTCTATGAATTTGATCTTGGTACCAGAGCTTCTGCTATAAATCTTTTTCTCACCACATATCAATAATTGCATTCGTGTGAGTTGTGACCAACACAAGATTAGAATTTGTGGGTACTTTACTATCCGCACATATTTTTAATGTTTAACACCCGTCATCCTTTCTCTTTATATACCTATGATATTTTTCGAAATGAGCTGCAACCAATTGTTGAGAGTCGTGGCTTCATGAGCTTTCTCTCCCTTTAAATCATTGCCTCACAATAGCGGCACACGGGACAAGCGAGGGCCCATGAGGGAGGTTGCCCCTTTACCCTTGCAAAACTTAGCAATTTTCTTTATTTTGTTATTGCTTTCCTTAAGCCTTTGTCCTCCTGTTCTACAGCACTTCTCGTGTCTCTTCATAGCCATAGAAAAGGGGTTAAGAACATTGGAAGGGTGCTTTTAAAGAACAGTCAAGCTTGACAATTAGGATTGACTCCTATAAGTTGACGGTAAAATAACTCATATTTTTGTGTGGTTTAACAGCAACAGAAAGAGATTGGCTAGACTAACCTGGTTCTTCGGTTGGTATAGGAGGCATTATCGGTTCTGTTGTCGGACGTGGTTTTGGTTTTGTCTTTGGCTTGGGTCTCGTCACAGGCCGAACGGGTCTTTTTGTTACGGGAGTGCCATCTCCATCGCAGTTCATTCTAAATGACCCTGGTTGTCCTTTGCAAATTAAAAGGTTTAATTGAATAAACAAAGGTCTTTATAGCGTGAAACTACTACTAGGATATATAAAACATTATTAGCAATTCATTTGAATTATAATTTAAATTGTCGGTTTTTCCATTTCCATATTAAACAAATAAAGCAGTAAAGTTGAGAATAAAAAGTGATGGGAAACAATAGAAAAAGGGATATTATAGTCTATTAGGACACAAGTAATCAAGTTGCAATAATAGCAATTAAAAAAGTTGATGTTTGAACTCATAGACAGATTCAAAATTGAACTACCTTTATTACATCGCTTGTGATAGATGTTCATGCAGGGGAAAACTTCCTTTAGCAGTCGAAATAAAGTTGGGTCGTACGACCTTAATTTGGCCCTGGTGTTGACATGGTTGTGGACTCCATTTGGCCTGGCTGAATAGGCATTCACATCGAAAAAACTTTGCACTCCTTCTCCAAAGTACTCTTGAACGGTGTTTATTGCATATGTGCCTCTCCACAGCCCCCTTCTCTTTGCACTGTTGTATGCTGCATGCAATCTCCTCATGTAACTAGGTATTCCACCTCCTTTTATTGATATTTCCTGTATTGATGGGTCAGACAAATGCTGTTATAAAGTCACGGTGCTGTGCAGGGGTGAAGCATAATAAAACTCCAGATTTGCCAAAAATGGCTTTCTTCAGGTAAAGAGTTTACCATTATTAATATATCTGAAGTTCAAGGTATCGGAACAATAGATAATAATTCTAAAATTTCATTGTTTGATTGTAAAAGTGTCGCTGAGTTAAATTATTTCTACACTAACATTTTGACAGGAAGATACAATGAAAAAAAAATTGAAAAAGGTGTGAAGCTGCAAAGTAGATTTCAAAATCCAGACTCCAATAATGGAAAATTGTGCTTAGAAGGAGTAAAAACTAGAAAATAGAATGAAGACAATTATTTGAAAAAGTGATTACCGTAATTAATTGTGAATAAATAATGAATGTACCTGTATTCCATGGGAAAACTCGTGAAGAAATATATCTTCGACTCTGTAGCGATCACTCGTGTAACAAAGGAGATTTTCTTCAGCGCCAGTTGAGATCGGAATGTGCAGTGTACCACCAAGTCCTCTTGATCGAGTGTCCCACCACCTGCCCAAATGCCTATGTTCAGGAATTGATGTTGCACCTATTTTGAAAGAACCGTGTCAGATGAATGGGATGAGGGCAGCAGGGATGGCGCCAGAAAAGAAATGCTGGGGGGGGGGCTGTAATGTCAGAGTGCCGACAGTGAGTGTATCACCCACAAAGATGTAATACAACACCATTTCCGCTGCACCATTTCGGGCTCAATGAATTTTTGGGGGAGCTCCTGCCCCCCAAGCACCCCCGCTGGTGCCATCCCTGGAGGGCAGTACTGAAGGACACTGTACCTCACTTGTTGTTAGGGCTCCATGTAAGATTGTGTGGGAGCAGGTTTTTTACAAGCATGTTGCCATATAATTGTTTCTAATAAAAAAAACCCATCGTTCCAAATATAAAAGCAAAAATATTGTAAAGAAATAGTATAGGTAAGTTAACAATATCAGCATTCTTCTTACTGCATAATTTCAGTCTGTCTATTTTTAATCTTTAGTTAATGTTTTAATCTTTAGTTAGTGGTTAATACTAACAAAAAGGTGTTCGAAACAGTCAAAGTGTTCGTCTTTAAGCTAAGTAAACATTTATAAGTTAAACGTGACCAGTAGAACAGTAGAAAGGGGAAATTACTGGTCAGCCATTACCACGCCCATAAATATTGTTGTGATAAGGTCGTGATAGGCCAGACAAACTTGAAACTTTTAGCCGTAGCTGGAAAGATATTTAAAATGCGCTTCTATTTTGTCTTTGTTTTTCATACCCACTGTGAACGTTCGTGACACAGCACAACCCTAAAGATTGGTAGGCTGGGACAAGGGTACAAGAAAGTTACTACCTGAGGCGGCATCATGGTTATTCTTAGCATAAATGTTTAAACCTTGGACAAAATTTTCAAATCTTGCGAAAGGCACAAAAATTGGCACTGCCCCAGTCTTCAATATCGAATAAAGATGGAACTTACGACACTATCACGCAGGGCTGTAGAGACTAAAAACCTGTTTTTGGGGACACATAAAGATTATTCTGTCCTATGGTGGATAGCAGCCTGTTTCTTCTCCAATCCTTGACAAAACCGTTGAGACAAAATGCAATTATTGCAACTGTTTTTATCACGTTGTCTTTGTACATTCAATCCGAACAGCAAATCGCTCTTCAAAAATCTCGTAGAGTTTTTGGAGAAATCGGCAAATCCTGTAGTGTAGTGGAATTAGATCTAAAAACGGTCTAACCCGGATAAAAATAATATAAAGTTGTAATTTGGCACAGATGTTCTATACTAAGTTGGAAATGACCAGAAAAAAGCCCCATCAATTGGACATTGGGAATTCCTTATATGGGCAAATACCATAATGGCGCACTGATCAGTAGTGGTTCAAAATTTTAGTGTTGCTAAAACCACATAGTATGTACATCTTTTGAAAGATAATTTCATGCTGAATAACTTTTATTTAACATACGTACCCTAAGAATATGCAAATTTAGTGGTGATTGGGCATAAACAAGTGGGACGAGTGAATATTGAAAAGCGCGCGGAAAAAATGGCTGATCTTCTTGCTGAATATTTTCATTTTATATCGCAAATTCTATCGATGCAAAATCAGTAAGTGTGTGAATAAGATAAAGTATGATAATAACCACTCAGCCCGGGCTGACTTAAACCGGGCCCACTCAGCCTGGGCAGACTTAAACCGGGACCACTCAGCCTGGGCAGACTTAAACCGGGCCCACTCAGCCCGGGCTGACTTGAACCGGGCCCACTCAGCCCGGGCTGACTTAAACCGGGCCCACTCAGCCCGGGCTGACTTAAACCGGGCCCACTCAGCCCGGGCTGACTTAAACCGGGCCCACTCAGCCCGGGCTGACTCAAGTGAAGTTTTTCCACTGTAGCAGCAAATTCCGGTCTAATCTAAAGAAATATTTAAATATTCAAAACAAAGTAACTCTCGACCTACCCTGGGTACCAGACTCACTATTTAAAATAATAGTGAGTCTGGTACCCAGGGTACTCTCGACCGAACGGTCCAAACAACATGATTGTTTCATTATAAACTAATTTAAAGATGAAGATTTCAATTCTGACAGTTTTTCAACTTTTTTCATTGACATCCTCCATCTTAGTAATTTTTGTTAAAAAGACGTAAAAAACACTATCAAATTCAGTGCAAATTCATAGTGGCTGCACAAAACTACAGCTTGATGCTGGGCCAGAAATTTTCTCTTATGCCCTTCTTTTCAGTTTCTTTTGCGTGATTATTCTCATTTTCAAAATGACAGTTGTTTACAAAAATTAACACAAATTAAGTGGGGAAAAACAAATTATCAGAACGGCGAATAAGGTGATAGATGTAATGTAGTGAATAGCAAGGCAAAGGGAAAATAGACAGCAGGAATTGCGAAAATGTGACGGAAAGGATGCTTGTGCTATGATGTGAGAATGTAAAGGAATGAATTAGAAGGAAGGGAAACCGAGATTAACAGGCCTAAACCTAGTCACTACAAGCACAGAGAGAACAGTTCAAAATTGGACATAATTTTCTAGACCAAAACAACAAAAATTAGATTTCAAACATGCATGTGCCCCAGAGCCTCCGACGAAGGGGGGCCGAGGGCCATGCCCCCAGCCACTTTTTTGCAAGACAATAGAGCTTGTTTCAAAATCTTTTGCTATGGTTGTTAACTTTTCCCTTGCCTCTTCTACTTTCCAACCTGCATCAGAGCCCATAGTTACCTTAGACACTCGCTAAAGGGGAAAATAAATTTTGATTTGGTTTTTTGATCACTTCACTTACCTTCTCTCGCACCCATTATACCAACACGCCCGTAGTATGTGTACAAATATCTCCGCAAAACCCTGCGGTCAGCCATAAGAAAGCGAACAACGTAGCAAGCACGCTTCAAAGCAGCATCGGGCACGGCGCTGGTGCTCACTATTGGAATACCGTAGGCATGAGTGTACTTTCGATAGTGGTTGTACCTGGAGAACAGAAAAGATGTCTTTTTTCATTCTTCACAAACAATATTGCAAAAATTTACCATTTACAGTCTGATTGAGGGGAAGGTTTTCTGAATATTGTGCAGGATCTTGGTAACGCCCTTACAAATGCAATCGTGAAAAATTACCGAGCCTCACTGAGACCCACTACCTTGGCCCTTGATTCAGTATAGATTCATTTTCATGTCTTCTATTTCGATTAGAAGTCACGTGAAACATTGTACAGAGGCCAGCATTCTTTCGTTGCGGTTTTCAGCGCTTTCTTTCTACTTTAGGAACATGACTGTCTTTCAAAAGCATTGCGCTAAACCAAATTTGATATTCGCTAAGTCCTTGTCATTAATCTTGAATCAAATCAAGTGGGACCCAACCATTGGTTCAAATGCTTAAGTTTCGTTATTGAATAACAAAAATAGATATAAATAATGACAAATAAAATGCATGTGCAATATGATATTACTTTCCAAACATGATTGATTCGTTTAGTAACATTTATTTTTATTCATTTTGTAAAATTCATTTTGTAGGTTTTATTTACAAATGCTTTTGGCAGTGGCCGGCGCCACTAACTTACCTTGTACGCAAATGAACAATACCCCCTGCTATTGTTGCATATAGAAGAGCTATAAAAGATTTTGCCTTAAAACAGGTCCTGTCCAGTTGATTGGGACTCAACGAAGATGGGACGCTTCCCCAACAATTTTTATTTCCTTAAAATTCTATGGTAAAAGGGCGTTTTCTTACAGTGAAAAAATTGTGGCCCAGATTTTCTATTTTGTCCCCCCTCTCCCCCCCTTCCAAATCCATCTGGCTGGTGCTACCACTGGATCGAAGTAATGCATTCTCTTTTTTACATGACAGGTGGTTACAGCTCTGTGGTTCTGCTGAGTGCTAGCTTAAACATCCATAGAAAAATGAGGACTAAAAAACGTAAGTATGAGTATAAATCCAAGCTACTTATTACTGGTATAGCGGAGCAGGAGGGCTTGGGGCCTTTACTAGACCCCCCCCCCCCAATTCTTTCAACGCTCCAAAGTTCCTGTATTATTAGTTGCCAGAACAATAATCTTTAAAAATACCTGGTAATAAAGGTCAGATGTCTTGGCACAGCCGTTATCTGATGACAACGATGGTTTTCAGTGGCAGACCCAGGTCTTCTACCTCCTGCAAATGCTGAGACATCTGGTGTTGTCCAGTTCAAAACCAACTTGAAGGCGCTTCTATCCTTTTCTAAAATTACACATTTAATTTCCAGTAAAATGCATTCATCTTGCCAAAGAGCTATTTTTGAAATGGATTGTGAAAAACTTTTTCGAATTTAAGGAAAAACTTTGAGCTCTGATAGGATTTAAGTACAATACTAAAAGTTCACACAATTAATAAGTATATAGAATTTGATATAATATGTCTGATGAGTGCACAAGCACGAATCTGGGAGTGACAGAGAACTAAACGTCTCATTTCTAGCATATCTTCCACTATATCTATTGCTTTGTGCTTTTGCGCATCGAGCACCGTTAAGTCAGAATAGACAACGCAATCTGGAGTAGAATTTGATATAACAGACATATAAACACAATTTATTGTGACCGGATGTTGTTATTGTTGTTGCTGTTGCTGATTCTTTGTTTTAATGTTGTTGTTGTCAATTCTATTGCTTGTTCCAAAGGCGAAATAAATCTTCTGACATCTGAAAAACCTGTTTGCATTAGAGATAGTATAGAAGAGATTTCCTAAACATACCAGGAATGTTGAATGGATCTGCATTTCCATACGCCTCTTTGGCAAGCGATAGGTCTGAAAAGTAAATTTGTGCTTTTCCTGATTAAACAAAATAGATATTATGTTTTTATTTCATAAAACAAAGAAATCTGAGATAAAAGTATAATGAATTTTAGTGATGACTTCCACAGTGCCTGAGAAAAATATATCAACGTTTTCTAGCATTAAGTGGATATTACCAAACTTGTTAATAAAGAGAAATAACCAAGACAGAGAACGTTAGAGTAGAGGCCAAGAGGCATGGATGAATTAATGACACCTGTGACGATTATATGATATAAATCTTAATATAGAAAACTAAATCACAAATTTCATAAATTTTGTTTGTTTGTGGTTTTATGATTTGAATATGCCTATATGCAGATGAAGTTAATGAAACCTTTGAATACATTCTTTTTAATAAGAACAATTTCATAATAATATAAGCCTCGAAATTTGTCAACAGTTAAGAACAAATTAAGAACGACCTGAGGCTGAGCTACTGTAAAAGGTCATTTTGAACAATTGATCATCTCAAAAACGAGGAGTTTGTTGCCATCTAGGAGTGCTCTTTGGTGAATTTTCAACTTGTCAGCAAAAAAATTTGTCGTTGTCACCCGTTGGCTCAGTGGTAACAGTTTTCGCTGTCATCTAAAGGCAGACTGCACTGATTTGCTAAAGCAAAAATGGCACACCGTTCTTTGCCAAAAAGTGCAAAATAGCACCCCCTAACATGCTTTTTGTTGATATGTGATCTTTGCCAGGGGCCCTTGAAACCTATGGTTAAATTTTTATCTCTTGAAAATGAGCTTACTTCTGGCACATGAAAAGTCTTACCTTCACACGCCGTCATCCAAACAATATGACATCGATTGAAAAGTACTTCACTTTGGTCAGAAAGTCAGAAAGTGAATAAACTACATTTTCTCGATAATTGCGAAGGTGAATGTCAACATCATTTTATAGAAAAAGGCATTTTGCCCCCTTTGCATCTTCTATCAAAGGATATGCATGAGAGGTGCCGCCGGACCCCTTCTTCGTCATTCATGCCCCTTGCATCTTTGGACAACATCTTGTAGAAAAGTTTCTTACAAAAACGTATATGGCGTAATGTCAAAGGGGCAACGGGACCATTGATGATAATATGCAAATACCGTAAATCCTCGAACTGGCCCACCCCTTCTCGAAAAAGCTTCCTCGAATAAACCCCCATCCTAGAGCTACAAATTGTCAATAACCCCCGCCCTCTCCTCAAATAAGCCTCTCTTGCTCCCGCAAATTCTCGAGCTGGACCTCTCAATTTGATGATTTTTGCCATTTGAGGTTGCCTTAGCGTTTTATTGAATTATGACAACAAATTCCTAATTTTGGTAGTTATTAATCAAATGCTCACAAAAAAATTCCTACTAAAATAAACGAGGTCTTTTAATAATGTCTTCTTAATGCCTACAGTAATTTTTTAAGCCCCCCTCGTATAAGCCCACCCCTCGAATAAGCCTCCATCCAAAAATATCAAAAATTAATAAGCCCACAGGGGGCTAATTCGAGGATTTACGGTATGGATATATCTCTGATGCAATCCTCGAATAGCCTGTGCTCCAGACCCCTAACTTGAAAGTTAGGGGTCTGGAACACAGGCTATCCTCGAATAGTGGGATGGGGCCAGAGAAATAGGCGATCAGTCGCATATACGTTTTTTATTAATGAAACGAATTGTTGATCCGAATGGAGTCACGAAGGCCAAGCCACTTCAAAAATTTATATCCTTGCGATTAAGGTTTCTTTTCTAACGCCGCTGGCGATAAGCCTGAAAGCTATGTGTTAAATTCTATTTGCATCTTGGCTTGTAGGATAGGTAGTGAGAGCGACCAACCGACCTCTTTCGTATTGGTGTACAATATTTGATCTATTAAACACCCTCATGTCTCCAATAAACGCCCCCATTAACCAAATTTGTAAAACAAACACGCACCCTCCAATAAACATCAAGGGCTCTTATAGAAGTATTGAAAAAAAGAACAATTTCTTGTTTTTATGTCGTTTTTATAAGCAATGTCGAATAGGACATCATCAGGAAATTATTTCGATGTTGCGCATTGCCCTTGTCGACTAATGGTTCAGAAGATAAAGAAATACTAGTTTAAAAGAGGGAAATAAGCCTTGTCATGCTTAATAATTCATGAATTGAATTTGTTTCAGGTAAGGAGGAGGATGATTTATTAACAATTGATTAGATTTTGTACTTTTGAGAGTAAGGACGAATTCCAAAAACTTTTACCTTACAAAAACAAATTTTTGCAACAATCACTTGATCATTGATTAAATCACTTGGTATGATTTCTTTCGAGGGGCAAATCACTCTAAGAAAATCTCGTACACCTTTCGTAAAAATCCTATTGTTTTACCTGAAAATCCCCAGAAATCCTTTTGTTTTAGGCAAAATCTCGTACGCTATTTGCAAGAGTGAATCGCCCCTCGATTTCTTTGCATGAAACCAAAAATATGAAAAATTAGTCTAAAGAATTGATAGCCAACTTCTCCATTTCTCAGGGAAGGCTGAGTCCCGAAAATTTTCTTTAGGATAGGCTCAAGCCCCGGAGTTCCCCCCTCCCCAAGTCTGCACCTATGATACTGACTTCAAGGAGCTATCGACCTTGCAACACCATATCAAAACAAACATGCCTTTGCAATAACTTAAAAGTTGTAGAGAAAGATAGAGCCTAAAGTTAGAAAAAATAAAGAAAGTTTGAAAACTGAAAACCGACCTCGCCGCATTTCGAAAAAGCGAAAATTCTAAAATACACTCATTTGTTTTATAAGAAACAAAAGTCGATATTGAGTATTCCAGTTTCTTAATGTTCTGGAAATTTCAATACTTATTGTTTCTTAGTGTTTCTGAATTATCATGTCATGAATGATGTTATGAAATGCTCATGATCTTTTTTATCACGTCAAGAGATTCGCTTCCGTTTTGATGCTGTATTTAGATGTGGGAAGTATTTTTTTATACCCCCCTTGTTCTTGGATTTGACAAAATTTCGTTGTTGTCAGTTTTATTACGATATAATAGTTTCTTAATTTTTTTGCCTAGAGTACTGAAATGTCTTAATTTGTTCTGACTATCTAGTACTCATTTCTTTTAGCCAGTTTATCATTGAAAAATGAGTGTACGTCAAAAAATTCAGTTACGAAAACAACCAAAAATTTTGGCTTTGTCTCTTAAAGTTAATTTCATAACAGTTTGCTTTCCTATTTCTTTCTCTATGGGCTGCGCTGATTTGGGAAACACTGCAATATTTTGAAATAGATGCACAAAACGATCTTCCAGCCAGTCCAACAAAGCAAAACGAAGATAAGCATATGCTTTTCAGTGTCTTAAAAACTACCTTTGGATGCTAGGTAGAAACAAATACAAGTATAGATACAAATGTAATTGTAACTTGAGTACATCAAGCATACGCAAAAAAGTTGACGTGATCAACTGTACTATTCATAATGTAAGGTTGATAATAAACAACATTGTAAGCGAGACCAATGATTTAAGATACACGGCAACAAAAAATTATTGTTTGCAATTACTTCTCGAAAGTGCACAGTTATAAAACGAAACTATCTTGCAGGAAAAAATAACAGATTTTGATGCGGAATAAACAGGGTTAAAATGACTCACTCCTCTTTCAAAGTCGCTCTAACATATACAGAAAAGTTAAAGAACATCTCCTAAGCACAGTGGCGGATTCAAGGAGGGGGCAAATAGGGGCAGTTGCCCCTCCCTCAAAGAGTTAAAGCAAGTCTGGCGCCCCCTTTCTGGAAATTGTGCGCCCCTTTTGACGAATGAGAATCAGGTGAAATAGTTTCTGAGACCGATTGGTTAATTTTCTTCAAAGATTATCTCAAAGTTATGTTGTTTATTCCGAAAATGGATCTGAAATTGTTGTATATAGCGAACTCTCGTCACCAATTTTAGCAAATTTTTCAGCACCCCCACTACCAACTGCCCCTCCTTCAAATTTGCTCTGGATCCGCCCCTGTCTAAGCAACTGTTACTGCTAAGCGAATAATTTTTTGCATTACCATTTATAAATTCTCACGAACATTTGCAAGATCCCTCTGTCCCGACGTTGTTTTATGGAATGGGAACAATTAACATAACTTGAGCTAGTACTTCCCCTTTTTATGTTTGCTTGTAGAGATAATGATAAGAAGAAAGTCAAAATGAAAACATACCATGAGCCATTAGGCCAGTGAGAAATATGAAGAGTAGGCTGTCGCACACCATCTTTGATTCGATGTGTTAAAATAAATTTTTGCAAAAGAAAATCCAGATTAAAGTTCTTTGCAACATTGTCAGGAACCCACTTCTTCGGCCAATAGCCAGCCATCATGGAGTGTCTTTTGTTGTCCTTGCCGGAAGTGTTTTTTGTGAAGACTTCCTTACCAGACTCAGAGGTCAAACAAAATAATGTGTTGCTTACAGCTCAAATGACTCAAAGGCCTACGTAAAAGTTTATCCTCCATTGAAAGAATAATCAACAAAACGTTTGCTTTAAAATTGTGTTGCTTACAGCTCAAGTGACTCAAAGACCTACGTAAAAGTTTATCCTCCATTGAGAGAATAATCAACAAAACGCTTGCTTTAAAATTGTGTTGCTTACAGCTCAAATGACTCAAAGGCCTACGTAAAAGTTTATCCTCCATTGAAAGAATAATCAACAGAACGCTTGCTTTAAAATTGTGTTGCTTACAGCTCAAGTGACTCAAAGACCTACGTAAAAGTTTATCCTCCATTGAGAGAATAATCAACAAAACGCTTGCTTTAAAATTGTGTTGCTTACAGCTCAAATGACTCAAAGGCCTACGTAAAAGTTTATCCTCCATTGAAAGAATAATCAACAGAACGCTTGCTTTAAAATTGTGTTGCTTACAGCTCAAGTGACTCAAAGACCTACGTAAAAGTTTATCCTCCATTGAGAGAATAATCAACAAAACGCTTGCTTTAAAATTGTGTTGCTTACAGCTCAAATGACTCAAAGGCCTACGTAAAAGTTTATCCTCCATTGAAAGAATAATCAACAGAACGCTTGCTTTAAAATTGTGTTGCTTACAGCTCAAGTGACTCAAAGACCTACGTAAAAGTTTATCCTCCATTGAGAGAATAATCAACAAAACGCTTGCTTTAAAATTGTGTTGCTTACAGCTCAAATGACTCAAAGGCCTACGTAAAAGTTTATCCTCCATTGAAAGAATAATCAACAGAACGCTTGCTTTAAAATTGTGTTGCTTACAGCTCAAGTGACTCAAAGACCTACGTAAAAGTTTATCCTCCATTGAGAGAATAATCAACAAAACGCTTGCTTTAAAATTGTGTTGCTTACAGCTCAAGTGACTCAAAGACCCACGTAAAAGTTCATCCTCCATTGAAAGAATAATCAACAAAACGTTTGCTTTAGAATAATGCTTAAATCTTTCACGGAGTTTTGAAGCCTACAAGCGTTTCAAATATGATCTGTGAAAACAAGCTTTTCAAACCCATAAACATTTTGTAGAAGCTGTTTATAAACATATCAAGACCTAATATATAAAATTCAGTGAAAAAAGCTAACGCAGTTTCAATAGAGACTTTGTGCGCTCTCTATCACAAGACTCATGATAAAGCAAATAAATTCCACACTGTAACTGCTGAAACGGCTTGTTTTCTGTTATCTCACCTTGTCATTTTCGAGGGGGAAGGTTCCCACTACTCAACAGTCTTTTGGTTGTACTAAATTTAAAAATGGCTTTAAAAAATGCAAACATTTGAGTAAACTGAAGCTTTTCGTCTGACACTCTTCAAATTTTTAAAACGTCAGAACATAGTTTGAAATATCTACGCAAGGAAATATCTACCCAGTTATGAATCGAAATAGGCCAATCAGAAACTCGAGCACATGACCGTTGAGGTTGCCCAATCAATGCCGCTTGCCTATAGAGAATGTAACCAATCAGGGCCTCCAACGAAGGGGGGCCGGGGGACCAAGGCCCCTTCAATTTTTTGCAAAACAATAGAGCTTTTTTACAAAAACTTTTGTTATGATTGTTACACTTTCTCTTGGCCCCTCCTTCCAACCTGCGTCGGAGTTCATGCCAATGGAGTCCTAAGTTTCCACTACTGCAAAACAAAGACTTTTGTCAATGTTTTTATTATTTTAAAATGCTCGTTACGAGATTGTCTTCCATTTTGGTGCTGTAATTAGAGGTGGAGAGTACATTTTCCTTTTTTGTGTCTACATTTTACGCCAACTACCAATCATATTGGGCCTATTGGTCGTTTTTCATGAATTTTCTGAGTTCTAGACATTTTTAATTGCTTTTTAATGTTTCAACGGGCATCGAAGAGCAGTGGAGTCGGGGTTATATCCCTCCCCAAATGTTTCTAAAATGTGAAGAATAAAGCAAAGGACCACAAGTCAAGTCTCTTTATCCGGATTAAGCCCCCTCCCAACCTTTCTCAGCGCTCTGCAGTACCCGTTCTAGTTTCGAAGATTCTAAATTTTTACTGATTGTCCAGTACTCGTTTTTTATAGCGTTTTTCTTATAGAAAAGAGGGTACGTAAGCAGATTGCCGTAACGCGCTGAGTCAGCAAGACCTAAGTAGGGTCCAAGCCTCTTTTCCGTTACCACACCATTATGGAAATGGGGAGACAGGAGGAGCATGATTGAAAGAAGTTTTGTCCTGAAACATCCTGCAATAACTTAGTGACAACTTCTAGTTTACAAGAAGTCTACTTAGCACACACACTTGGACAAAGTGGCAATTCTTTTGGCAAACCTTATGCGCTTTTCATTTAACAATATCACACAACCCCGCTTGCCAGTCGTCGACGGCCTAGTGACAGGCCTATTTTGTCTAGGAGCTACAGCTTGCCCGCGTCACAAGATTCGAAAAATAATATTAAAGAGACTTGAAGTGTAAGAAAACGCTGCATTGAACCGGCCAATTCTCATCTACAAATTTTAGCGTGGCTATCTAAATCTTAAATTGGCTTTTCGTACTCAAAACTTCTGATGACATTGGAACTTTAGTGAGCCGTGTATTAGTCCAAGTCGTTCAGAAGCAGGCACAAATGGCTGGCCAAAATCCTAGAGGTTTGAGAACAACAAACCTAGATCAAATATGGGATGATCTGAAGGAAGGGATTCAGCAAATCTACTTGACACAAGACATGGGGAAAGCGAAATACATGCAATTATACACGTATCTTTTCATTTCAAATTCTATTATTATAATGTTCCATAACAATAAAGGGAAGACAAATATTTATATCCAAGCTGTCTCAAGGCATTTTAAATTGATAAATATATTGTTAACACGAAAGTTTAACTCTTAAGTCACTTCTCAGATTATGTAATAAGCGAAGACTAAAAGGAAAAGCATATATCTCAATTAAATATAAGGGAAAGTCACAAAATTCCATTGATTTCTTTTGAAATGAAATGTAAAATGGTTGTTTAAAAATTGTTTTTTCAGTTTGTTTAGGAATTGTGATTGTAGAGGGAGGCACTCAATGTTAATGAAGTTTTTTATAAATGATTGCCTGAAATAATGTTAACTTATTTTAATGTTCCCCTTGCTAGTTGAATACAAACTCCAATTTGTTTAGAAACACCATTATGAATTAAGATTTCTTAAAAGTGTCATTATGTAGCTGCCCCCTCCAGACAAAGATAAGTAGCAAAATGAAATTCTAACTACTTCATAATGTATTTAAGGAAGAAAGTATTTAAGAATCAAATTTAACAATGACTGCAATTGGGGAGTACCAACTGATGAAATTAATAAACTTACACTTAGCTATTGATTTTATTATGTTAAGGGAAAATTGATTTTTTTTCCATTGACATTAATTTTCAAGTTTTGCTTGTTTTATTTACGGTTGTTCCAAATGCTAAAAGCATTATGCTTTTTTTGCTTGGCAAACACTTAAATGAATGTTAGAAAATTTGAGAGAATACATTTGCCTAATTTATGACCTGCAGTAGTCATTAAGTAACAGTGTTGTGAAATATCCCATGACTCTTATCTTTATAAACAAACTATTTTCAAAATTTGAAGATTACTCAATAGGACCAACAAAGGTTTCTTGTAAAGTGTAAATAATTTGGTATTTGTAAATTTTTGAAATGTGCCAAGTAGTTCTACTTAGAAAATTGTGTCAACATAGCTTTAAATCTAAATAAGCCTTTGGCATGGCTTATTTTTAAGATTTCTTGTTTATTCTCAATCAGTTACTGCTAACCTTTCACTGAGTTCAAGAGTGTTTCTACAAGTGGGAACCTTTTGTTTTGATGTAGACAGATTCTAGAACACCTTACTGGGAAGATAACCTAGCTTGACTGATGCTTTTGAATTTACAATCACTGGATATATTGGTGCGCTCAATATTCTTGAGCAAATGTTAACACAGGGCAGATTCACATTTTATTTGGCCAATCTACTCTTTGCAAATATGCAGTGTCTGTTCTATTTTCTGATTTTTTTTGCCTGATGTTTACTGGAACATGCTGTTTTATTCTATCAACAGTTTGCTGACTAGTCCTTTCTACTTACCCAACTTCCCATTTGCACAGAAATTCAAAAACAACTAAAAATTTTGAATTTTCAAAAACAACAAAAAATTTTGAATTGGTAGAGATGCAGATTAGTCAAACAAAGACCTGATCCCCGTTCTTCCTCTTACATTACTTTTGAGTTTTTTTTTACATCTCAAATATAAATTTATATATACCTTCAGTCATTTTCTGACATTTATGCTCTAAAGAGTGTCAGTTGAGATGTATGGATTTGTCTGAGCATGCTATTTACCTACTTTGCTGTGCTGTTTTTTTATAAATATTTTGTTCATTGGCACCTTGACTTTTAAATCAGCCATGTTTACAACTATTGCACAAGTGTGAACAATCAAGGTGCTGCTGGAAAACTTCACAAGAAGAAAGGAGGACAAACAGGTATAGCTATGCCACATCATATATTAATGTTTCTGTATCAGTTCATTTTCCATATAAACTTATGTTAAAAAAGTATTGCACCACCTGTTACAATATGTCAGTACATCCACTAAATTTTTTAGTAAACCAAAGTTAAAAAACTGTATAAAGTTATATATTCAAATTAAAATAGTTGTAGCAAGGTATTGTACTAAAGAGTTTTATTTTTCCTCTTGATTTTCTCCTATTTCTTAACAACATTGCTGATTGCAAAAGTATATATTTAAATCAAGCTTTGGTGATAGGAGTATCTGTAAAATATTTGCAATAAAAATGCTGTTCTTTGCACAAATTTGAGAGATTTTGTTTAAAAGAATTCAGAGATACTTACTTTGCGCTCAAATGGTAAATGTTAATTTCTCTCGCTGCTATTAGAGAATAGGCTAATATTCTTGGTCAGAAAATTTTGCTGCTTCAACTAGCCTAATCGCAAGGCCACTTTTGGATATGTTGCAACAGAATTCAAGGGAAAAAAATTGTCTCAAGTTGTCAAATAGATTTTTTCCAATCTGTTGCAATGATATTAAAGGACCAAATAATGCTGAAAATTGATCAAAACAACATTTTATCTCATTGAATTTGAATAAAAAAACCAAATAGCTGTAGAAGCATAACCTTCGACCAAAAACCAAGGCCAATAATGATTTTCCTGCTTCACCAACATTTCAAGCGCAAGTGTAGTTTGCTTAATAAATCATTTAATTTCTCATCCCTCTTTGTATTTCCACTATTAGATTGCATGCCTAAACCTTGTAGATTTTGGTAAATTTTGATGTCCATTTTGACATTAAAGTCATATTATTAGTTCCTGTATGAAATATCAGATGGGTTCTTTTATTTCTATGATTTTTTTAAATTCCGGAAACTGTGAAAAATGAGTTTTTGTCTCATCAGGAAGAATGCCAAAAATTATAAATTTTTACTGCCAAAAACTAAGTACATTAGTTGTTGAGACTGTACATTTGGCTGTAGAAAAATTAAAAGAGCTTTAAAAGTTATGTGTTTATTAGTAAATTAACACAATGTATTATTGTATATTAGACATGCACTTTCTACTACTAAAACCCTATATGCCCCACAGCTAAATGTTTTGATTTTATCAGTTGTTCTATTTTCCAAAGAGGAAATCATTAATTTGTCTCTGAATTTCTGCCTTTATGTTTTACTTTTAAAGATCTAACACTTACTCAGGACTGACACTTGGCAAATATGGCTACCAAATTTGTTTTGTTTATTTAAGATGTGCAGTTGTTAAAATGCTGGCTTATTGGGCACTGAAGCAATTAATGCTTTTTTTGCAAAAAGCCTGATAATATTTGGCTATATTGCAGGTTTGATTTAGGAAAACATTTTTTGACGAGTTATTAAATTTGTTATCTCTTGTCAACAGGAGCTCAATTTGTGGGAATTGAGTTGTACAAACGCTTGAAAGATTTTATGAAAAACTATCTGGCAAATTTACTTAAGGTAATATGATTTTCATTTATTATTGAGATGAAATAGCATCCATAATTTCTTAAATTTATTCTACATGCAAGCTGCATGCAAGCGCTGGTCATACAGTGTTTTGCAACAAAGATATGTGGTTCAAAAAATCTGCCTTCTGTGATAAACCTGAAGGGGAGGGGTGTCAAGGAACAGATTGCCCTAGGTTCCTAGCTGAGGGGGAGGGCTTAAAGTTATTATTAAGTTATTACTATGTTTTTTGTTCAATGTAGAAACCTATCTTATCTACTATAATAGAATCTTGTTATTTCAAAGTCAAATAAGGGTAGATACAGTAGAGCGGCAGTGCATGTGATTCAAAATTAGCTGTAATCCTGATTTGGGAAATGCCCATATTTGGTAAACGCAGCAAGTATTCACCGTTTGTTAAAAATTTTCTCATTACCAGAGGGTAAGGGTAGCTAAATATCACAGTGGCAAAAAGTTTGGAGAGATGTTACCCTTGTCGTATTATACACCCGGCCTACAGGAATCAAATATATAAAATGAGATGTCTTGACAACAGTGTTAAGCCTTTTATTTTGATTGTGCCACAATCTATGATAATTATTTGAACATACTGTATATCTATATAATCAAAGTTGTTTGTGATTGGTTAAAAAATAATTTGTGTAAACAACAACCTGTGGAGTAGAATATAAGTTAGAATATGATAGGTTGATAACTGGCATAGGCAAAGGAAGCATTTGAAAAGTGGTTGTATTCATAGTACCCCAATAAGGGGCAAATCAGCACTTTTGCTCTGTTCTGAAAAGTAGAGTGGTTGGTGTCCTCTCTGCCCTCTTGTTTCTATGTCTATTTTAACTGGTAATAAATGTAACTGTTACTCTGTGACTGTTGTGTTGTTTGAGAACTTTTAGCTTTGGTTGATAATTATTATTGTTCAGAATCATTATCCTTGACTGTATTTTTTTACTATAAAACAACACATGCTGATATGCTTATTTTGTGTGGGTTTTTAACTTTCCTTTCTGATTGGAACCTCTTTTTCTTGTAATTTTTAACTTAGTGATACAGTCGCTATTTATGCCTGATGAGTTCGTAATTCATAAAAAATTAAGTAATCAAGCATGTTTCCAGATCTGAAATAAGTGAAAATTTATACCGTGCATAAGATATAAACTGGTCCAATGATATGCTTCAGTTTGAAAGGAATTATTGTAAATTGTTGTATCTAAAAGAAGAAGGTTTCCTTTCTCCACTTTATAGGCAGTTATTATCCGCATACAGTGAACTCGAAGTCATTTCTCTGGGAACTGAGTATCAGGAATTGGTTTCTTAAAGCTTGTTTTCTCAAGAATTCTTCGTTTGTGTTTTAGCAAGGGCAAGACTTAATGAATGAATCAGTGCTGACATTTTACACACAACAATGGGAAGGATATGAATTCTCAAGCAAAGTTCTTGATGGTATATGTGGATATCTCAACCGACACTGGGTCAGACGAGAATGTGATGAGGGGCGGAAGGGTGTCTACAAGATATACTCTGTAAGTGTTTATGCAGCAACACAATTGTATATGCATTTTTTATGCTAAAACTTGCAGAATAGATCAACGGGAGTTTTTCATTGGTTAAGACCACATGCTAGTACATGCTAGTACATAGACCCTTTCCTGTTGTTGCAAGGCATTATCGCCATTTTTGAAAATACCTTACATTTTATAAGGATACCACAAAGATCACCTGTTCTCTTTCTCTCTAAGCTTCTTGCACTTGCTGAATCTCAACTGTCATGAATCTCCACAACCAAACCATAGCACAATCTCTTAACAAAGCAAACACCTGGTCTTTCTTTGCTTCTTCTTCCTTTGATTTTTTTGGTAGATACCAATCATTCCAATCCGTGATCGCCTTTTGCGTAGATATAATACTAGCAGTTCAAAGGAGGTTTGTCGCGTTAAGTATAGATGCTGGGCTTTTCGGCTCTTTTGACTTCCATCCCCATACATCTATTAGCTGCAACTATGATCTCACCTACTGTTAAAGTTGAAAGTCAGTCATGGGTATTGCCAGCTCTGTCAACGTAAAACAAGGGACAAGTCGAGTACAGTCTTGTGAAAATCAATTATTGCTGAACAATAAAGATAACAAAGAAGTTATATAACAATTAAAATAATCAAGATATCACATTGTCAAAATGTACTCCTATGATTTTTTTCACGAACAATTTCCCGGATAGGATCTGCCAATCGCAAAAAAGCTTTGCGTCTTTGCTCATTAGCTCAGATACATGCTTTGACACTAAGTCTCGAACGTAAAGGACGGCTTTTCTTTTTCCTTATGCTTTATCACTTTTCTGGTATTTCCTTCGCAGTGGCAATAAATTATTTTTTTTGTTTTTGCTTTCTCAGCTTGCTCTAGTCACGTGGCGAGAAGTTCTATTCAAGGTTCTTCATACAAAGGTAGGGTCATCGTGGATATTAGCCAACTTAATTTTTTTTGTTATTTTCACAGTATCGCTTTTACAAAATATCACATAAATCGAATGGCCTTTAATGTCAATTTATCAAGAAACATTCTGTTATTAGAGAACACTGCAAGAAATCTAACTGAAAGATAAGTTTAGTTCAAGTAACCTAGAATCTGTGATCATAAATTTTACAAGCTGTTAACGAATCAACTGTCTAGTATCAGTTAACCTAATGCTAGCTTAGTAACTTTGAAGTGATTTCTTTGTTTACTGTTTGTTACATTATCATGACAAACCTAAGAAATGAATCAATTTTAGGTAACCAACGCTGTATTGAATCTGATTGCACGTGAGCGGAACGGTGAAACTATAAGCACAAGATTGGTTTCTGCAGTCATCGACAGTTTTGGTATGCTAACCTTTCTTTTTGTGATACAATTTCTTATTGTTTCGCTTCTTTTGTGCATTTGTATTTCATTAAGAGGAGGGATGGAATAGAATCCATGCAACCAAAATATCGACTGTCTTATTTGCGTTTGACAGTTGTTGATACAGTTTTTCGAGCTTTCACCTTAGCGTGTTTATTATATAAAAGGGTTAGAAAATTTTCTTAATTTTGAAGAAAATTTTATAGAGAATCTGTCAAGTGACGTGAAAATTGGGAAACAATTAAGTTTATGAAGGGAAGGAAAGCGAGGAGGCGTTTAGGCAAGTCTTAGCCTAAAAGATTTTTCATAGTGTTTTGTTTTTCAAATCTAGGGTTGCAGGGAAGTTTAATGTAGATTCTGCATATCCGAATCCCACAGATAACTGAATTTGCTTGTTGGGCGCGGCGACCAAACAGCGTCTAAATGTTTGGAGTTATTTGTTATGTTGTTTGTCCAGCAGTGGAATAAATTCTTCTAAGGTGTTTTCCGCATTTTTAGTTCACCTTGGGATAAACGAGGATGAGTCTGGCCTAACAGGAGGCCCATCACTGTCAGTATACCGGAGCTCGTTTGAAACGGTGTTCCTGCAGACCACGGAGGAGTATTACAGTCAAGAAAGTATGCAGTTCCTCTCGGAAAATCCCGCGACAGAATACATGAAAAAGGTTAATTTTTGTCCTGACTTTAACTCAAAGATGTTGCTTAATAATGGTTTGCATGTTTTCCCCGAAAGAACCTGCAGACCCTCGTTTTCAAAATCGATTTCAAATTCTAGATTTCCCTTTCGTTAGAGCCTAATGGTTGTGTTACCAGCAGCTATATTTGGTTACATTTTCTGGAATAGGATTTGATCATGAGACTTGGATAATACCATACAGATTTATTAGCTGATCTGACTTTATAAGCAAATGCATATTTATAACGTATTTAAAAATAAGAAAATTACATGACATTGTCAACAATCTTATACCAATCCTGGCTTTGGCATGATGGCAAGTTATCGTAAAATATCATTCGCATTTAGTCTGACTTCAGACCAGCGCCAAAGGTTTTAGTGACTACGGTTATGAACTGATGGAAGTTATATCTAAACGATCATTTAATAATCAAAACTCTTAATTTTCGCTAGGCTGAAGCTCGACTGAAAGAGGAGCAAAACAGAGTCCAACTATATCTTCATCCGAGCACAGAAAGCGAAGTGAGTCGGGAAACTCTTTCAACAGATTTGTTTGATCATCATTTTCCTGAGTAAAAGGGGTATTCAAATTTACGATGCTCAGACTTTACTTCGACAAGTTTGGATTTAGGAATCAGCAGATCATTTTCATCGAAGTTTTTTCTAAATGTTTACATTATTAGCTGTTGCTTGTAACAGTATTAAGCATCTAGGTCGGTATTTGAGGTATCTTTTTCATTTGAGATGGTGTGGCAAAGCTTTTAACGTTCGTTTAATTTAGCTTGAAATAAATATTGATATCTAAATGATTTTTCAATGAAAAGGGATGTTAGGACCGCTTAAACTCAGGGTAGCCCCATAGATTTCCATGCTTTCAGTTCTATGACCGACTTTTGCACTTTATTCTTACAAATATATGCCCTTTTTAGCTCGCCAAGCGATGTGAACAAGTGTTAATACAGAAACATCTAGAAACGTTTTATACAGAGTTTAAAAATCTGCTAGAAGATGATAAAGACGATGGTTTGTTGGCATCCTTTTTGTGTTTCGTTTTGCAAAGCCTGTAACTGTAAATAATGTGTCTGGGAATATGTTCTCCATCGCAATTCTCTTTTGTGATAAAGATTTGGATTTATTAGAGATTCTTTACTTAACCATCTCGTTTGTTTGAGTGGTGTAGTTAATACCTACGTTTACGCCTGTGTTTTATTAGATTTTGTTCATTTTCAGACCTTGGTAGAATGTATAGTTTAGTTCATCGGATACCCCATGGCCTTGACAACTTGAAAGAACTTCTTGAAGAGCACATACATTCAGAAGGATTGAAGGCCTTAGCGAAATGTGTGGATACTGCTGTAAACGTATGCCATTTATCTGCAATAATTTCAATATATTCTTTATTTTTCTTTGAGGAAGGAATCTATTAAAATGTCGTGTTAGCCTCTCTCGTGAGATCGTGTTAGCCTTTTATGTTTTCCTTCAAATGAATAGGAAATGCAGCTACCACGAAGTCTGTTGATAAAAGGGACATTCGATGGCAATATATAAAATTTCTGCACAAGAGATTTATTGCGAATATCACAATGCTTTAAGGACTACCGTTTCTCCTGGTTTATCAAATTTTTTTTTTGCAGGACCCGAGATTGTACGTTCGGACCATTTTAAATGTTCATACGAAATACAACAATTTAGTTTCAACCGCGTTCAAAAATGACTCTGGTTTCGTGGCAGCCCTTGACAAGGTAAATATTTTTTGAAAGGAGTTTTACTGGTTCTCTCTCTCTCTCTCTCTGATTTGTTTTGTGATGTAAAATGGGAATTGTTTTATCTATCTATATAGCGTTATGATGAAAATTATATTTTACCTGTCTGTCATTTAGTGCTCAATGCTTTATAGACAGAGCTGTACACAGTTGCCTTGGAGTTGAAGCTAAATTTTGTTCTATACACAAAATCATTTATCGCATATTATTCTTTCTACTTCCGTGTAAAGTGGTATCTTTTATGTCGTTTAATTCTGAACCCATCATTTTTTATCATATCCCCTTCCAATATATTTTCCACTACCAGACCATTGTCTGAATTTCGCTCGCCCATCGAATTTCGTGGATAGATTTTCTTTAGAATTTGTATTTGTTTTTTTTTCGTCATTTTTTGGTTTATTGAATGGAACTGAAGGAAGAAATGTATTGAAACTTAGATAACCTTTTGCTTACACACGCATTCTGTTTCGGAACAGGCTTGCAGACGATGCATAAATGCAAACGCTGTCACGAAGCAAGTAGGCTCTTCTTCAAAGTCACCAGAACTGTTGGCTCGATACTGTGATTCTGTTCTTAAGAAAAGGTAAGGTTTTTACTTGAATTGTTAGTCCAGTTCTAAAAGCAACACTCACTCTGATTGCTCCCCTCGTAAATATCTAGTTTCTTTAGGCAATGTAGGGAATAAGAGCTCTTATTTCTCAAATCATAAAATTTTAGCCTACCTTTAGTTGTAGAATGTATGGAAGGTCAAACAAGTAAGATTTTCTTGCGTTATTGCAAAATGAGCATCCATCATGAAACACTTAACTAAGAACAGAAGAGAACACGTGATCCGAATTGAGCAGTTATCCCTTCAAGTTAATGACAACAATAGGCTTTGTTTTAGATCAATTTTTGCAAGAAGGAAGCTTGAATAACATATTTGCTGCTAGAAGATTGCTTCCAAACAGCTTTTGCCCTATAGAAAGGATTTCAAAGCAAATGTTTGAATACTACCATTCAGAGGTATCCCTCATTTGAAGGCGTATGTTAATGAAGTTTGCACTGTAGTTTAGTTATCCTCATAAAAATGAATCAAGTTTCGGCAATCAGCAATATAAATTTTTTATTTCTATTTGTTATCAAAATATTTTGCTCTTTCAACAGTGCGAAGAATCCAGAAGAAACAGAGCTTGAGGATATACTGAACTCAGTGGTGAGCATTCTTTAAAGACTCATTGCTAACAATGAGCCATTGCGCTGCGCAAGCATACCATAATGCATTTTCAGACAGTCTGAAATCAATTTTGGTTGATCTGTAGAAGTTTACTGCCATTGTTTGGATCGTCGCCACGCTCGCAAAGGCCCATTGTTAGCAATGAGTCTTTAATTGCCAATGTACAATTGTTTCAAGCTGAAGTGTTTTGGAACGATGCCTTCAATTTTCAAAGTTTTGTTCAACAATGCTCCTCTTTACTTAGCATCAGCCTGTACAAGTTGCATTTTTAACCTTTCCCATTTAGTTTTTTTTTAAAAATCAAGACTCTTTATTTATCTCTGACACCCATGTCTCCCATTCTTGGCACAAACTAAGTCCAAAATTAGATTTAGGATTTGTATTACTAAATTGTCGTGTTGATTATTTGGATGGCTTTTATTTCTGATTTTGTTAGCGTAAAAAAAATATTCGATTCTTCCGTTTATGTAAGTTTGTCAGCGTCACTGAAAGCAGCCCAAAAGATAAAGATATTTTCATGCCAATGAATGGTTGAGTAAGTTTTAACAGTTTTATTTCATTTTTCCGTAGATGGTAGTTTTTAAGTACATAGAAGACAAGGATGTATTTCAAAAGTTTTATTCGCGTATGTTGGCAAAAAGGCTTGTACACCAGAATTCTGCATCCGATGATGCCGAAGCTAGTATGATTTCCAAGCTAAAGGTTAGTCTCATCTTAGTTTATACGTGCATAGTAAATAGCTTGACATATTTTTCAAAAGTTTGCAATTCGTCATATAGATTATTCTTTAGAACCTCAACCGGGGGCGCAATTTATATTTAGTTGGGTTGACCCTACGAATGATTTCCATATTACTGATAATTGTTTGAAAAGGCCTCAGAATCCTGTAGAAATTGTTCAGAATAGGGATTTTTAAGGCAATCACCTTTTTGGTAATGATTTTGAAATAACGGACATATGCAAGTGGATATTTGCATTTTTTCCCATATTTTTGTAGCAGAATGAAACCAATCTTAAGGCATTATTTACAAGCTATTCGTTATGATCACTCTTCTTTTTAGCAACTGTGCGGGTTTGAGTATACTGGTAAGCTGCAAAGAATGTTTCAAGACATGAATGTCAGTAGAGATTTAAATGATAGTTTTAAAAAGCATTTGGCGAAAACAGAGATGTTGGATAGTAAGTGACTTTTCAGGATTTTTTATAATTGATTCTAGAACCAGTAACGCGATCGTGTATATACCCAACACTGATTTATTGTTAAGTAAATTCACTCTATTTTTTGTCTCATGTTTATGCAATTTATTTGTCATTTTATTTTTACTTTAGAAAATTTTTGTTCTAAAAAGGAGATTATTTAAATGGTGAATCGCGATTATAGATAGCTGTTATATATGAACCATGATGCATACATATGAAAGTCGTTGATTCCAAGGGGTATGAGATGTCTAATTTTGCCAAGAATGAAAGTTTGATGAATATTCTTTCTTAAGAATTTTTCCGAACGTATTTTTATCTGCAAAGTTACGAAATCTGTTCATCAAGCCTATATTATGTGGAATACAGCTATTTGAATTGACCAAGAAACCTCGTAAATAATCTTAATACGCCTTTTTTAGTCGATTTCAGCGTCCAAGTGTTGAGCTCCAGTTCTTGGCCATTTCAGCAAGGAACCACTTTTAACTTACCGGTAGAGGTACGGTATCGTGTTTAATTACAGCTGTTTCGCTTTGTATTACATAATTCTCCAGAAGGATTTTTTACAAAGTCATTCGAAAGTTTAAGAAACGTTTGAATAAGTTTAGGATTAATTAGATGGATGAACTAAAATTTACAAAGAGGAGTAGTCTGCAACCATGTGAGGTGTTTTTGTGAACTTGCGAGAAAGAGCCACAGAGATTGGATTAGTCCACATGCCAAGATAAGATGCTTTCAGGACAATGAACAAACTACAAGAGAACAACATGATACAGGCATTTTAACAAACATGTATTTGTAAGTTGATATTTTTAAATGTTCAGAAAAAAAATTTTCTTTTTTTAAAAACACAACTTTTCATAGTTTGAAATGATGTATTTACTTAAGAGATGTTTTTCATTTTACAGTTTTCTATTAATGTGTATCTGTGTCTCTCGCGAGTAAATCTCTTAATATATTTTCCAAAGCAAGCCCAGCTGTCTCAGATAGTTTTTAAAGAGCTGAACCGCCCCATGTGTATTTATCTTACCTATCCTCTTGTTGTCCATTCTAGCTTGAAAAAAGCTACCAACGGTTCACTACATTTTATGGCGCATCATACAATGGAAGAAAGTTACATTGGCTTTATCTTCAATCAAAGGTACCCGGAGTGCACCTTTTCTATTGCAAATAGTGTTTATGGCAAACATATACAAATTGCTCTGAAACCAAGCTCCCTCGTGTTTTAATCGCTTTTTATTTTTATTTTCTTAATCTTCCTTGAACCAAGCACACACGAGAACATTTTGCTTCAGCAAAGTTAACTGTAAGCTTATAGGTCAGGAGTTTTGTTGGTATTAAATTTCATCTGTCAGCATTTAAACGCTAAGGAATTGGTCGTAGGTCGTAGGTACTGTCAGTTGCTGCTAGTCGTGTGTCAATTATCTTTGTTTGTCAAAACATTTAAACTGTATTACCTTGGATAAACCCAACGGAGATGACATTTTATCATTTCCATAATGCACAATTCCAGATCAAGTCCACTTGTATACTGTCCTCAATGTAAGTTACTTTCGTCTATAAATATACAAGTATCATGTCATATACCTGAAATGTACTGCTCAAGGATTTCCTTTGCTTTGCAGGGGGAACTTGTAACAAACTGCTTCAAAAACCGTTACACATTGCAGGTAGAATTCCTACGTGTTTCTTTACATTAAACAGAACAGTTTTAGAGTTTGCTATTTTGATTTATTACGCAACTGGCTATTGGATTGAGTTAATAATTGGATGTTAGATATTGCATCATTACTATTGAACTACATGTCATCTCTGCGAAGCATTCAGACATTGTCAATACAGCGTCTTTCTATAGTAAAAGCACACTTTCGGTATGTATAGAAAGCTGGTTTAAATTCATTCAGTGTAATCTCAGGACGATATTGTATTATGCCACAGTTTCATGAACGAGAGAAATCCAGCTCTCTCGAATATTTGGCCCTGAAAATTCATCAATGAATTTGTATGCTCAACTTCACATCGGTGAATGCCACTTAATTGACCCAGTTAAAAGAAGAGTAAATATTTAACTGTTTCTTTTTGAAGGCATCAACTTACCAGGTTTCTGTGCTGTTGATGTACAATCATGCTGACAGTTATACAGTCGAACAAATTCAAGAGAATACGCAAATGAAGATGGCAAGTGCTTTACTCCTACGTCATTGAACAATTTTCGATCATTCAATGATGATTTTATCCTATTATTCAAATCAATTTGGGCAAATAGGCGTCCAATTCACGCCTAGATTGAAATAATTCTTTTGACCTGAGACGATCAGTTGCAAGGTACACAAATTATGATTTAAGTTCGGAAAATAAGATAGAAACCTCCATTGTTGATGAGTTCACCATCCTTTGGGTATTATCTCAATTGGGGTTGATTACAGTTGGAAATCGCAGTTCTTTTAAGTGCAAAGTTTAATTTGAAGAGAGTCTGCAGGAGAAACAGGCACGTTTCAAGTCTGGAGATCATCTGTAAGTATTAGATTCAGTCTTTATCATCCACTGATATATATATTTTAATTTAGTAACTTCGCACTTTTTAGGACACTCTTACCCAAGTTCTTACGATTCTTTTGAAAGTTCGTCTTTTGGTGAGTATGGTTTGATTTGTTTATTAACTTGAGAAGATTTTCGTTTATGCTTTTATTAGCAGTTAAGTACTGCCTTTTAAAATAGTGACAATATTCTGATAAAAATACGTTTGTAGAAGGCTGTAGACACTACCTTAGTGGCTTCACTGCTGGGGATGTTTGTTGTCTGCTTTTATCACTTGTCTGCTTTTATCACTGGTTGTCCCTTGTCCAAGCCCAGAGCTAAGTCTTTTAATTTATTCAGTTTGTCCCTTGTCCAAGCCTTTAACTTATTAAGTTTGTCTCTTGTCCAAGCCTTTAACTATTAAATTTTTGGTTAAGTTTATCTTCTAAACAATTTGTAGCTTAAATTCCAACCGATTTTAGCTCAAAACTGTAGTGGATTTCTCCTTGTCACGTCCAAAATAAAGGAATCAAGAGTCATCAGAAAAAAATCATTTTTGTTTCATAAGCTCATTCAAGTAACTATAAACTGTTGAATATTTTAAATTCAGGGCACCAGAAAAGTGAATCAACTTTTACTAAAATTTCTACTAAACAGGGGAACTTTCCATTTAATGACCTTTACGCTTATCGTAATCCCAAACAGATTCTGTGATTTGATTTTTTTAGAAGCTATTTTTGTATAAATGAAGTTCTCTTTTTAAGGTTTGTGATGAACTAACAATGGGTGATGAATCTTCTAACATCGAGCCTAAGTCAGTCATTCGCCTCTTTAAGGAATATAAAAAGTAAGTTATTTTGTTTTTTGTACCAAACCATTGTCAATTTTCGCTATAAATTCGACAAAGAAACATCTTAACGATAAATACACTTTCCAAATGAAGATTTTCGTTGTTGCTGCTTAGGGCAACCTACGACATGTCATGCTATCTAAAGCTACAAAAGCCGTCCAATGTAGTAATATTATTCAACAAGCTCATTAACAAAAGAATCATAGATCAAGGCTTTGATCGAATCATTTTCAATCTTAGTTGCATTTTCAACGATGAAATTTTCGTTTACAGTAAAAAACTTCGTGTCAACATAAATGTACCAATGAAAACGGAACAAAGGCAAGAAGAAGAACAGACCCATAGAAACATCGAGGAAGATAGGAAACTCCTAATTCAGGTAAGACAGCCAGCAAGTATTTTTCCGGATATTGCACAAAGCAATTGTTTTAAAATGGCAGGAATAAGTATTTTTTTGTGGTAATAGTTTCAGCATGGCTCTAAGTTTCCGCATTGCTGATATTAGCGTTGTTTTGTTTACAATAGCTTTCGTACTTTTAGTTTCCCGTACACGATTTTTCCATCATTGTGAGCAATTAAACAAATATTTCTAGATAAGCAATATTCCGTTATCATCTTATGTTTTAGGCTTGTATTGTCCGTATTATGAAAATGAGGAAAATGATGAAACATCAGAATTTGCTGACAGAAGTTTTGAATCAGCTTTCTTCGAGGTTCAAGCCACGAATACCCGTCATAAAGGTAATTCGACATTAAAGCAAGAATACAAAATAGCAAAATGTCTAATAGACAAATGAGTTCTTTTAGCTCGAAGCCCATATGCGGTAGTGGCAAAAATCCTTTGTTGCAAACTTCTCGGTTCAAAATCTTTTATACACCATTACGTTGGTAGAGATAACAGTGTAGTCCCGATAGCTGGAACCCCCGATAGATGGGACCCCCGTTAACTCGAACCCTCGATAACTGGCACCCCTTCAACTGTACCCCCTATTACTCGTACCCCTTATAACTGGACCTGTTTGTGCATCCCCCTTTAGCTTTCCACAATATTTTCAAGCTCCTGATATCGCGAATATGTTATCAACATTATGCTGTTTGTATTCTGGTACTTTCTGTATGTCCTACAATAATATTAGCCAGTGCCTGAATTAACTGAAAGCTGTGGACCCTCGGTTGTTGATATATGGCCCTGTTTCAAACGCATCATGAAAGGCAAAAGGTATGAAAAATGCAGATAACAAGTCCTCTCCCCCCCCTCCCCCTCAGACTAGTCCACAACAGCTCGTCTTATTACGATGCCATTTCTTTGCAGAAATGCATCGACATTTTAATTGAAAAGGAATACCTAGACAGGGTGGAAGGAGAGAAGGACACTTACCAATACCTGGCATGAGTTCCGCTTGGAATTCGCACGTGGCAGGCATTAACTTGCCGTTCTTCTACGTTAGTTCCAGCTGAAACGAAGAAAGATGGCTGTCCATATGTTGTACGCTAGCTTTCGTTGTTGCAGGAGCTTTAGCATTTCTGATGATTATGGCCGCGCAAGACATGCTACTTCAACTCATGCAACTTTTATTAAACAGGAAGTGTTTTTGAATTTCCGACAAACGTCACCTTTTGTGCACAGTGAGAATGTTTCAAATGAAAGATTTGATTTGGGTACACCTTTTCCAAATGTCTAAGAATGTCTACAATTGGGTGTCTGTAAATTCTCTGTAAATTTATCTTTGGCATAAAATTCTGTCCCAACCCCCTTTCTACTGGCCATAGGCAATGTTAAAACATTTCACGGTAACAATCCCAGCCAATCAAACAAATCTTAATCGATAACCGCGACCCCTTCTTTCTCTATGAATTGATATCCATGCTAAAAATTGTGCCCAGACGTTTGTTTTGTCAATATTTCCAAATTTCTTTGTCAAGCTATTAAAGTCATAAAATACGTTTATATGTTCATTAGCAGTTAAATCGTGCAATTTTATTTCGTGTTTTTGTGAGTCAAAAACTCAACCAGAGAGTGTCCTCAAACTTACATTGAGAGGAAAGGGAAATTTTGGAAAGCTTATTCTCAATCACAGAATTTTTAAATGTCCTTTTACTGAAGTTTGTTTTGCCTTTTTGGATATTTGTATTAGGCTTCTGTAACAGAGTTGTCAATCGAATAAAAGGAATAATGCGGCAAAAAAGAATGTATATTGTTTCAAAAGAAATGAAAACGCTCGCTTGCTTAACTAGAACATAACCGCCACAATTCACGTTGGTGCAACCTATTTTTGACTGCTCTAAAGCTTAGCTTACATTTTGCCCACTTCTTACCAATTTCAACCATATGGCTCAAACAACGATAAATTAATTTGGTTTTTTGATAAAAAGTATTATAGCATTCAGCAATCAACGATTAAGCTGTGAAGTTCAGCTTGAAGTTCCAGAATTTGTTGTTGTATCTGAACACTACCCTTTCTGCAAAATTGATTGTTTTCTTAATGCTCGGCCCCCATTGTGAAGATACTCGTGCAGTTTTTTTCTTCATTTCGTTTCATCTTTAGTGGCGTTTTATCATGGATATGGATATGGTTAGGCATAAATACGAACTGCAGACGAAAATTGTTTCAGCCAATTATTATCTTGTTCTCATCTTCAAAGTGGGCCTATTGAAAAAATCTCCTTTAGCGACCATCCCCTTACTGTATATAGCAGGGCTCCCTAGCTGGAATCTCCTGTCGTGACCTAAGCCCCTATCTTTTCGCATATTTTTAACTGAAAAGTATCAATTTCTATCAAGGTGTTATTATGTCTGTTCTACCTTTTTGAATTCACTTCTTTAGTTGATATTTAAAATGTTTTATTAATAAATCATAAGTAAGCATATAAAATTGGTAGTTTCAAGTTTTGTTTAGTCGCAGTTGAAAGTTCGATGAAAGATTTTGCAAAGGTGTGAATGATGGAAAATTCTGTTACTAAACAGTTCATCTTGCGAGTCTTTTCTTGATATATACGTTCTTCATAATTGTCCGTTATGAAAGACAAGTGTGAAATTATGTTTGGTGCGTTACAAAACTTATTTTCTCGTGCTTCAACCAAATAAATTTTATGTCGAACACATGAAGTTTTGGATTTTTGCAAGTTTTATGCATTTTTCTACCACCAGAAATGAAAACTGTTTGCAATATACGTGTAAATTGAAATTTCCATAATGGTCGCCTTGAAATTTTTGGTTTAAAGCCGCCGTTTTTTTAGAGTAAGGTACCGTCCTGAGCATGCGTAATCAAAGTGCGGCTGGATGAGGGCATTTGCCACCAATCAATCTTCGCACATTGTATGTAAGGGAATTTTATTATATAGGAAGCGAATCGGTTGTTTATTTTGGTCAGCACTTTTGTTGCCATTGCTGCTTCAGTAAATTTTTCATCCAAGATACATCCGAGGCATGTAAATTGAGGGTGCTGTGTAATTTGAGAGTTATTTCTATCGATAGTTTGTTATCGTTATCTTTTACTGCTTGTGAACGTGAGCGTTTCGTTCGGTTCTCACTTTTTGATTATTTAGCTCACTTTGAATTTTGAACACGTAACCTGAAAGAGCATCAGGAATTGCCACTAAATGAGCTACGTTGTGTGGTTCAAAATGGCGGAGGTTGGTCACATTCACTGATCTCGAAAAAGACTGGATCGAGCAACCTATTGTTCGACTACATCAGCACGAGAATGTGATCAAGTTTCGTTCGGACCTCTCGCACAGTGCTACGCTTACGGTACACACACAAGGCTGCGCTTTTAATAATGCATCAATAATAAAATTCTTAAATACTCTAAGAGGCAACAGACCTAGGAAAATAAGTGAACAATGGATCTTCCCTTTACTTTAAACTAAATACCGCGGCAAAATGTTTAACGTCACTTACGAATGCTGCAAGTTCTTGTCTCGACGGTTATTTTTAATTTTGCTATGAAAGAGCAAGTTAAACTAAAACCAACAAGATTTCTTTCTAGTCTCAAGCAACACGGTGAGGCCCCAACATGGACGCTGCAGTGTGGAACCAACGCTGGGCTAGGGAAGTTCAACCCAGTCTTTTTCAGATCAGTGGTCACATTAGCATAGGCTTTTCCCCCTCAAATCACTGTAATGGTATTTCATAGTGGTCTGTCAGGTTATTTGGTCCAAGTTGAATGCGAGAAATTTATTTTTGATGACGACCTTGCTACCAAATTTGGTTCTCTATGGCGCTCCCTTCCTGCACCCTGTAGCCTAACAGTTACGTTACCCTTTGCAGGTTACTAGAAATAATTCCTGTTTATTTCTTATCTCGCATTTCAACATTCAGGAACTTTGAATAATTGCTCTCTTTGCATCATTTAAAAGAAACCTTTGATATAAATGTTTCATTTCTTGTGCAAGAATAGAATTCTAGAAGTACTAAATGCTGAAAAGGTATATTCGTATATATGTATAAAAAGTTTGAGTTATTGGTCTCAAACTTGCTAACTTTACTTCTGTAAATAGCAACTTCATTTCTGATTCTGGAAAGTTGGAGCACAGGAGGGCACGCCTCCCATTTAACGATCGTATGTCTTTTTATAGGTCAAATTCCTCGGCAGTAGAAATTGTACTGCAAATTGTAGCGGCCTCCACACAGGTCTCAGCTATTTTTGGCCAGGATTGTAGTACCAATTCTGAGCCTCACACCACCCCCATCTTTCCGGCCCGAACTGGCTCTCGACTCCCCACATGCATTTGCCTCGTATTAATGCCACTCTCATTTAAAGATGTTAAAAGTCAGAGACAACGCACTCTTGCAAATAGCCCAAAAAGCGTACGATTTCGCCACCAAAACGAAAGGATTTCTACATATGGCTTAGAATTGGTACTACCATCCAGACATAAAACGGCAGGACCTCCACTGACTGGGTTACGAGATTTCCATATATTGATTTGCCCATCAGTAATAACTGTATGCATTGCTTCGCATCTCACTCACGGCTTTTAACTGTCTACCGGTGTTGCGATAAATGTTCTAAACAGGTGTTTGGAAAGACCATAGAAGAAAAGCATCGGACACTTCACCTGTTGGCGGGGCCCAAAAGATGAATACACGCAGGAGCGATAGGAGCATGAATGCGAACATGTGGTAGCTGATCAACAGATTACGGCAACCAAATCAGCCATTTTGAATGTGTGTTGTTTTATGTGAATAATTGGCATTGTGACGATAAAGGCATGTTCAAACATCTCTAACTTTTCACAATAAGCACATCAATATGGGACCTTTGTTCTAACATCGAGTTTCGGATTTGAAGCATGTCTGGACAAGCATTTTATCGAAGTTGTTGTGATTGTGTTTTGGAGCGTACTTCCTTCTCTGCTAGAAAAATGAAGATTGCAATTGGACTAACACTTGTGCTACTTACGAACTTTGTTAGAGCTGATTATAATCCAGGAGACAAAGCTGCATCGTTTATACTACCGACATTATCAGATCCTTTAGTATACAAAGCATTGAATAACACAAACATCAAGCCACCTATTATTTTCCATGAGTTCAATTCGAAATCGGGATTTCTTGAAGCACTTTGGAATGATGATTTCTCTATTCTGGAACTTTTAAAGCATTCACCAAATAATACCCAGTATGTATTCTTCTCTTCGGAAAAAGATGCAAAGAAAACTGCAACATGGATGCAGCAAAGATTCAAATCCGTTATTGCAAAACATTATTCTGGGGACACAGGGAAAAATCCAAAGTAAGTGGCCTGTTTATGAAACTGTGATGAACTTTTCTCAAGCTGTTGTTATCACATTTATTGCTCACTTCTCTTTTCAAAATTTGTTAACCTATCATATTAATATATATGGTTCATTACGGCGTTTGGTAGTATTTATATCCTGTTTATCAGACGTGGACACGTAACAAAAATTCCAAGCATAGACGTGGACATTATTTATATTTATGCAAACATATTGCTTATTTGATATTTATATTTCATAAAGCAAAAGCTGAGAATGTCTTTTTGTTTATTATCGCAAAACGAAACTTTCTCTACAATCTCTGAAATGCAAATGATCGGGGCCGAAATTTTTAGTAACATATTGAGGAATGCAATTTTTAGTATAATGATTTCGAGTATTATTACCGTTATTTATTTGTGTATTTTCTTTTAAACCAAAGCCAACCAATAGAGAGTCCAAAAGTGATGACGTCAAAAAAGATGACGTCACTATTTTTATGAATTTTTACCATGAAAATACCCCTAATTGACCAAAATCAGATTAAGAATATGTTTTGAATTTGCAGAGATATAAATATGGCCATATAACCGCAGAATCTTCTCCAATCAAGTCATTTTAATTTTGACTTGGTTCTTAAAGCTGTGAACCAGGCCAAAACAGAAGTAATTCATAAGTAGAACCCAGTTCTTTCACTCTCTATATCTTTGTTAGTCTGCAGCAGATTCAACTGATTTTGCACTCAGGCCAAGTTACAATAGGGGGCATAAGGGTTGTGACCCCCTCCCTTGAGAAAATATTGAAAAACAAGGAATTTTTTATTATTCCGGGCTATTTGTCAGCAAATTTTCAAACCTGCTGGCAATAATAGATGGTTCACTCAATTTGTTGCCATTCGGCCCAGTAAGCCACACCTTGGTTTTCCATTGCAAATTACCTTTGTTAAATGGAAATTTGTCCCAATAATGTTATTTTAATATAAGTTGATATTATCATTAGCCTTGTTGTCATACTTGTCATAATTGTGCCATTTGTTTTATATTTGCATCTTTAAGAGGAATTATCTCTTGTCTTAAGAGAACGATAATAAAGTGACTATTAAAAAGGATCATGTTAAAGTAGGACTCTTGTCTACTTGTTGTTGCTTGATCTCTACTATTTCTTGCGGACAAATCTAAAAAGAGTCATTGAATTTCAGAAAGTCTGAGAAGGAAGAAGACATTGGTCAAAAGCGGTTCTTGAGGTAAGGAGTATGCATGTAAGTCTTTTTCAATGGCTTTTTCAACGATGATGAATCTTGTGTAGACATTATACTAGTTTCTCAACGCTTGTTCTTAGTACTATGTCTCTGCTTAGTTGTATTGAAGCACATCAAATACAATTATATTACTGATTCAAAAATAATATCGCAAGAAATTTTTGTAAAAGAGAACAGTTTGTCTCAAAGTCTTTTTTGTCGAAGACAGTACAGAGGGGCAAATCACTTTAAAAAAACCTCGTACACCTTTTGTGAAAATCCTATTGTTTTATCTGAAAATTCTCAGAAATCCTTTTGTTTTAAGCAAAATCTCATACGCTATGTGCAAGAGTGAATCGCCCCTCGGACAGTACAAGTTTTTTAAATGCTGGGTGGCGAAGTTTAGAGAGTGATTTAAACGGTCAGTTGATGCCGAATAAACGGCTTCAAGCAACAACTGTTTCTCTTGTTCCTCAATTTCAGATAAAGCTTTGTCAACAACGTAGTAAAGCTCGATCTTTTTTAAAATGTCTTAGCCATGATAATTAATATTGTCAATTTAGATTAATATTTATATTTCTATTTCATGTTTCAACTGAAAAATGCGTCCTTATTGCTAAATGCTAAGCGATCAACAAAGTGCCCCTCATTTTCAACAGAGGCTATAGAAATATTTTCCACTCAACTAAATACGACTCTGGAAAAACCAGTCGAGTCAGCGCACAGGCTAACTAATCACATATGTCATTATGTAATGGCTCTTTCCTCGCTTGAGAGCGCTTATTGCCAAAATAGCGGAGAGTGGTATTTCGCATTTCTAATGAGAATATATATATAAATATATGAATATATAAATATAGTAGATAGACTCGTATTTTATTTAACACATCTATTTAACACATATATTCTGCATTTCCAAAACTTAACAAAAAAATCAGCGACGGATGTTCCTGGTTTACTGCCACCTGTAGGGGGCTGTTGAATCCCCCTAGCTCTAGCTCATCGAATGCTTGTGGGTCAGGGTCTTATCCAAAAGTGATGCATTCTGAATTGAAATTGCTTGCTCTGGAATTAGGTATCGGCTTCGAACATCTTCAAGCTATCTTAGAACTGATGTCATAAATCCTTGGCCATATAGGCTAGCCTTCGTGTGGCACCCATTGCTATTATGTACATACAGGGCCTCCGACAAAGGGGGCCGGGAGGCCATGCCTCCCCACTTTTTTGCAAAACAAAAGAACCTTTCACAAAATCGAACCATTGTTATGAGTGTAAAATTCTCCTTTGCCTCTCCCCACTTTTCATCCTGTGTCGGAGCCCATGTTATAGAGAAATTAATTTCTCCTGTATGTATTTATTTCAGGAAAGGACAAAGGCAATTTCCCAAACCATACAGAGGCATCGAGCGTCGATCTTTAAAAGAAAATGAGTTGCTTGCCGACTATATGAAGACGCATGCTGGGAAGAAGCGTTCATTTCTCAAAAGCAAAGCAACACTAAACAAAGGCTTTGATCTATTTACTATAATCGAGGACAACGACGATAAGAAGCTGTATGAAGAACCTCAAAAGAGTGAACTTGAGGAATCCTCGTTATCAAACAGAGCAGCAGTTGAATCTAATGACGTAACCAAAAAATTTATGGAACAGTGGATGAAGAGGTTACATTTTGTTACCATCCCTACTTACCAGTTTGGGAACTGGATACCACTTGTGACATCACGCTGGTACTGCTCTGGCCATGGCTGCGGCCTTGATCAGGCCTCCTTTGAGGGTAAAGCAGGTATGATGATTGTTTACTACTTTCTCTTTTTGCTAAGTCCAGAATTATGTGTCATTCCACTAACTGTTGATAAAACCTTTACAAGTAAGAAATTCATAAGCATTTTATTCAGGGAACAAGAATCTGCTCTTCCTGTTTAATGAAAAGCGTTGTTAACTAAATTTTGATAATCCCGTTTGATAAAAAGTTGCTTCATGACGACGCAAGTGCTGTTTTTGTGTAGACGGAGACGTCAAATTTGTTTCGAAAAGACTCGACGCTCGATACGACTGGCTCCCATCACCGTACACCCTGAAGGCAAAGCACCCCAAGACGAAGATTGTCGACTACGGAGATGGTTGCAGCGTTAAAGAAAAAATATATGCAGCATCATCAATTATTCTTGTCAGTAGAAAGGGATCTTGCTCGTTTTTCGAGAAGGTGAGCAAATTTCTCTTTCCTTTTTTCACTTGTTTTTTCAACCGTCTTGAACGACCGACCGGTGCAGAAAATTAGAATCCTCTTGTACTTGTACTACATGTCGGAAGCGTGGTATTCTATAGCTGCCTAGCATTTAACGTTTGAGAGTTGAAACTGAAGGATAACGTAGATCTCAGTCCAAATTTCCTTATCCTTATCAGTAAAATAGCTACTTAAATGAAATACATTACAATTCTTTAAGATGATCTCTTCTCGAATTGATTTGTCAACATAATTGTCTAGACTCCAATCCTGAGAGAAAACCACCCATATTGATAGACTTTGCTATCTTTTTTGTAGTTGCGCCGTTTATTGTCAGAAATTCCTATTCAAACCATCGATGTACGAGGAATTCTAGAAGTGGGGGCAAACGTTTAGGCAAAAACGAGATACCATCGTGGGCTGCAAATAGATGCTTTACCGAGTACAAGAGCAATGTCTCACAACTGAAACTTTTTTGTGTGTTGCGAAATAGTCAGTTAATGAATCAATAATGTTTGTAATTTAGCATGAAACGCTATTTGCTATCAAAAAGCCTTTGTTGTAACTAGAACTATGAAAATCTGATTTCAGATTCAAGTGGGAAGCAAGGCCAAAGCAATAGCAGTGATTATTTATTCAAATGAAAACGAGGCGCTCACTGATATGACATGCGTCAAGGAAGAGTGTGCAACTGAGCTCAAGCTACCGGGTACTATGATCACGTTTGAGGCCGGTAAAGCGCTATTGGATCTTTTAAAAGAGGGCGAAGATATTTACGTGCGATTTCAGCATACTCCAACTCGAAATTTCTTCTTGGCTATTGATGAGCAGTGCAAGCTACAGGAGCTGGGCTGGCTGCTCTTTCCATCCATGCGATTTTTGACGTATCAAGCAGAATGGTAAGTGGTGAGATCTGAGAATGATCATCTTGTTAATTTATTTGAGAAAACTGTTTTAAATTACCCTAGAGGTGACACTTAATTATAAACAAGTTATAATATTCGTAGAAATTTCGTATTCTATGAATGACAACAGTAATTCTCGAGATGTTATTATTGCAACTCACTATTTACCACACTCTGCAAGAAATTTTCGCTTTTTAAGCTCCAAATTCATTATACACTGACTGGTGAATCAGGACCAGTAGGGATATTCGTTCTTTTTCAGAAATTTAAAACTGTTGTCCGTAAGTCTCGACAAATTCGCACACTTAACCCTATGCAGGGTCTCGCCGCACATTATAGCTCTCCCATTGTTATTATAACTATAGTGTGACCGTCGTATGTTGTGTCTTATTAACAAAATCCAAGCTGCTTTGCAAGACTAAATAAAGGAAATAGTACAACATTCATTTTACCTTAATTGTAATTATTGGATCACAAAATTCTAACAAATCATTTTACCTTTATTCTATATAGTTGCATTAATCGTTGCAAACATTTAGCTGCCTTCTATAGAAATTTAACTAAGTAAGCAAATATGACATTCAAAATTCATTCATAATAACGTCAAAAATTATAATTATGGTTTTTCGCTCTTTATCTGTCTATAGGATGAACTACATGACAGCCTTATTGAAAAAGATTTCAAAACAAGAGAGGACCATTAACGTCTTTAATCACACCATAATGCATGGAAAAGTTGGTGTGGTGAAAAAAATACCAATGCCCTCACTAAAAGGTAAAATATCTTGGCTCGTCCCATGCTTTTTCACTGTATTTAAAGTAGACTCGAGATTTTTATTGCCTCTTAATAGCTTTGTCTGAATGCAAGAGTAAAAATTCGACTGAATGCAAGAGTAAACAAATTGTGATAGCTTTTTCTCCATTTTACTTTGCCAATAAGCACCAATCCGCTTTTTAGATATTTTTGTTAGGGGAGAAAAGTTCTAGGAACTTCCATAATTTGTTGAAAACCATTCGAATCTAAATGCATGAATTTTCACCAGACACCTTTATAATTTCCTGAAAGAATATAATATCTAATATCTCAGTGGAAATAACTGTCCACCGGTTTGTCAAACAGTGTTCGATGCAGCTGTTAACGGTTTGGTGTAAAGAGTAGAACGGTTCTGAGTTGCAAGGCCTTGTTTCATACTTAAATAGAACAGAAGTCAACAAAGTACGGTTGCCATATGGTAATATTAAATGGTATATCTGAATTTTTTAGCAGCACAAAACTCAACATTGCTCGTTTTCAACAATAGATCTCGATGGTTATCAATTTTGAGTAATTTCAAATTCCCCTCCCCCTCCCCCTACCTTGTAACACGTATGTCTCCATTCTACGCTCAACCAGTACAAATATTTTAAAATTTTTCTGTATCTTTGTAGAAATGCAGTGGCATAGTCAAGTTTACCTTGACATGTCTCTGAGTTGTCCGGGGAATACCGACTATTCTTGTCCGCATTGGGACCATACTGTGCAACTCTTTCTTGATTGCGGAGGAGGTCAGTTTGCAGGGGAGGAGCTTGGTCGATGGATCACGCCATTCAGAAGGTACTGTTTTACTGTCTTTGCAGGGGGTGAGGGGGGTTGATAGCAAAGGATGGCGTCAGGACTTTTTGACGATATCTGAAAATTTGATTATGAATTATGAAATTATGCTTTATGAAAGGTCAACAATCTTTTGAATAAAATTACCTTGATAAGATGTCTGATTGACTTCTTAGAGCAAAAGCAAATTTTTCAATAGTTCCCTACTATGTATTCATGCTACGTCTTACCAAACTATAATAATAATAATCAGTTTAATGAAAAACTGGCGCTACATAGCTAGCTATTTTTAGTGAAATGAGCTAAGCAAAGCCAACTGTTAAAACTACTACATCAAATAGATACATACGAGATTAAATGTATAAAGTTTCAAGTACATAGTAAATTTTAAAAAACAGAATGAAAAGTGTAATGCTATAAAAATCTGAGCCATTTAAAACGATAGTATTACATAAAATCAAATTGTGGTACGAGCGTCCGACATAATTTGCATGTGCAGTCGGTACCATCCCAGCTTTTAAATTCTTTCTTAAACTCATTGATAGATTGAGCATTTCTTATGTGCATTGCATTTCATTTCATTCAGCAACATTCTTACAGCGTGTATATTAAAGATCTATTTACTTATTGTCATAAGCATAAAGAAGAATTAAAAGATTATAAAAAGAATGTCCGTTAGTATTGCCTAGGACACTGAGATAAACCTGAAAGGTTATCGAGCCTAGTACCCTATTACATCCCTCTATGTTTGATAGTTTCGGATCCGTAAATGGTTGTTCGTACCCTTGGTAGCATAAATTCATCATTGTTTCTCAAGTTATATACAATATGACGATCTCAAAAAATCTCCCTCGTAAAAAGGCGGATTGATATTTTCCTTTGTTTTAAACATTTCAATCAAACGATTTTGCAGATGCTTTGAGATTTTTAGTTTATTAGAGACCATGTATTCAGATACTGTACCATACCATGTATACATTAAGGCATGTTGCCACTTCAAAAAACCAAGTAGAAAGGGCATTGATCAATATGTGTTAGCTCTTTCTTTGACACATGACCAATATATGTTAGCTTTGCATGAGACTTACGATGAACCCTTTTCAAAGCCCTTGACTGTATTTTGTTTGCGAGAACATCGATTAGGTTGATAAACGATTTTGACATTTAAAACTGCATCTACGATTCTCCGATTCTTGTAACATAAAGAATTATTTCTGGCAATATTGCTATCGTCTGCTTATTCAGCTTTAATATTTTGTTAACTTTCTAGTTGCAGATACCAAAAACAAAGCAAAACGTTGAAAATTGGAATATGATAAGGGAAGTAAGAAACTAGCTTTAATTGGGCCTTGTAGGAGAGACAAGATGTCTCTTTAAGTTGAGACAGACGTAAGCTTAAACTTAAGTGGCATTACAAGCTCATTTATTGTCCTAGTTCAGAAATTATCTTCTTATTTATAGGAGAATTGGTAGATGGCTTACACCGATAAAACCTTTAATTCCAATGTTTACGTCAGAGAATTGCACATTCACAATGAAGACGGTTCCCTGGGCAATGCCATGGAAACCAGCACTACGAATCCAACTTTCACCGAAAATTCCCAAGAGTAAGTACAACAATCGCTCATTTTCATTGGAGGGATTTCGCTGTACAGCCAACGCCCTCTATAGAATAAATAAAAGCAGCATTCAATCATTCTGAGTTATGATAAAACACATCTTATCGCAGCTAACTTTTTTCTACATGGATGAAAAATTACCAGCAAGAGGATGTTTTAAATCAGTTTCTTTTCACCGACACGATTTTTTATACTTCATAAGATGTTATTATCCCTAATAAGGCTGCTTTATAGCAATGTCGTCCTTGTAAAATGTTATTATCCCTAATAAGACCGCCTTATAACAATATCATTCTTGTAAAATTGTAAACTGGTACCACATTTTCGTGCATATTAATCAGAAATGGACCAGAAGGAATTTTGGGTGTATAAATCTAAGAAATTCTGAGAAACGTTGAGAAACTGGAGGTCTTACAAAGTCAGGCTCAAAGTCTTACAAAAAGTGCCTATCTGTGATTTTCAGTCCCAAAAATGGACGTAAAATTTTAATGATGTCTGAGCCATGACATTGAACTGCTTGATTGACATTTACATCACTTGTTTAAAATGATATGAATAGCAATATGAGTTAGCATTGGAGAGAGATACATTACGAACCTAGAAAGGCATTTTTGGATTTTCTACATTGCGGGTCTCACCCCCTCACTCAAGACATTATAATTTTTAGCATTGGAAATATGAAAAAGATTATTAAACAACAAATTTGATATTGGTTTTGATTGTAACACAGCGACTGCTCAAGTATAGGTAACACAGTGAGTCAATTTCATTGGCAGTTATTTAGTATGAAAACTGCATCGTTTTCAATCGCTTATTAGAACCTTGAAAAAATCCCTCTGTTTAAAGATTAAGCAAAGGATTTAAAGACAATCCGATTTTGAAAACCCTGCCGAATGCAATCATTCTGAAAAGAAAATATCAATAACTATCGTTGAAAGTCTGAGAAAGTGAATAGAAGCACTTGTATCAGGTAAACATTTGCTTAGCATTTGTGATAGACTCAACTCTGACGAAATATGCAAACAATCGCCCTTTTGTACACTCTACTAAACCTTCCAGGCGCAACTCAACAAGAAACAAGGCCCTTAATCCTAACTATTAAATTTATATGTGTCTTTTCAACAATTTCCTGTCACGGGCTCGATGCAGTTAAAGTCGTTGTTCGTTGGGTACTGACATGTTCTCCCTAACAACTGACATTTCCCTTTATAATGAATGAATTGAGCCCACGAAAGCAAAATTCCATGCACAATACTGCAGTTTCAGAATTTCCAACGGCGTTGTCACTAATCAGCATCCTCGAAAAAGAGACCCCAGTCCTATCTTTTTCTCTTGTATCCTGTGCTAAGTAAATCTCATTACCCAATCCGGATTTAATTAAGGCATTTCTAGAATGATGCAACCACTTTGTATTGATATGGAACGTTGTTTCTTTTCAACAAAACCTCATTGTCCATTGACTTCTTTACTTTACCTCAAAAGCAAATGGAATCGTGGTATTTCTTATGGCCTAATCTTTTCCTCAAGGCCCCATTTTTCTGTAGCCTTTATGATACCCTTCACTTTTAGAGAAAATTTTCAGTCTTTCAACTATTATTGTTGAAGTTGAAGTATTCTGATATGTTCCAGGTGAGGCATCGGACACCTTGGTTCCCTACAAAATCAAGAAGCTTTTTAATGGTGGAACGTTTGACAAAGGCTACAACAAGAAATATAAGCCAGTTGAATTTATCGTCCCAGCCAATGCTAAGAAAGTAAAAATATATGCCGTTATAACAGGACATGGCAGTGATGAGAACAACTGTGCTGAATTCTGCGTTACTTCCCATAACTTTATAGTGAATAAAAAGTACACGAACACGCGTGTTTTCAGTAATGCAGGGACACCTACTGGCTGTGCAGATCGTGTTTCCGAAGGTGTAGAACCGAACGAGCATGGAACGTGGTTGTATGGACGGGATGGCTGGTGTGATGGTCAAGAGGTTGATCCTTGGCTTGAAGATATTACTGATCAAGTGAAAATGAATGAACAAGTTAATGTTATAACTTATCGTGGTTACTTCAATGGTAAAGATCCGGCACCAAAGAGTAATCCAGGCTATATCATTATGCACTCTTTTATTGTATTTTACAAGCCATTAGAAAACTAGTACCAAGATACGAGTTTTTAACCTTCTCTTTTGTGGCTGTAGTAAATTTTTTTAATTTTCTGATGCATGAGGTATCATAGTTTTGTTACGCCGTTGTATGTAAACATTTTGCATAGATTTTGTAACAGAAGGACTTGAATTTTTTCTTTTTTGCTTACTATAGCTGATATGACTCAAATTTGATTTGCCCCTACCTATAGCTTCAGATCATTGTATAGGAATATGCACATCTATTTCAATGTTAAAGCAAAGCAGTTTTTGATAAGGTTGTAGTAGCTTTCTTTTCTGCAACAGTCGTCATGTACTTGTCAGGGGAACGTCGACTAACAACATAGCTCAAAAACCTGTTTGTTTGCTTATGAGGACATTGGATACTCCCATACAGGCATAAAATCGTGCAGTTAAGAATAAAGAACGATAGCAACAAAAACCTTACAAAACTCGCAGCTTTCAGGTATATTTCAGGGTGAGCTTTATTGTAGCCAACTCTCAACGGAATCTTAAAATGCAAATGGTTTTGAATGCATTAGTGTTGATTGTCGACTTTATGGAAGCTTAGCTGAAATTTGTTATGTTATGAGTGAACGGCAGCAGAGATTTAGGGAAACAGATTCAAATAATGATATCACAAGGTTCTAGTTGGTTATATTCTCACACACACGAACATGTACCGAATTTGATTTTGAGATTCAAGATTGTTCAAAAAAACCTTTTTACAGAAAGGGTAAGTTGCATGTAAACACGTTTTTAAATGTCTTAAGATCATGACATTGAGTTCACGTGTAAGTGGGTGCTGCTCGTTTCTACAGTTGTGCTTTTAGGGTAGCATTCCTAGTAAACTTTCTGCTATGGGTAACTGGCATGGAATCACTTTATTCTTCCTTGTTTTCTGTTCTCTTTTCTACCAAAAGCATTAATGGTATACCAGACATTATATAAAGGTACATAATTACTGTATGTAAACAAGCACAGTTAAAGTTTATAAACGTAGTCAAAATATTTTATGACCTTGTAACTTTTAAGGAAGATATAAATTCTTTTTGTTGTTGTATAAAGTTTGCACAGACAAACAAATTAACATTGTGACAGCAAGTTTCGAGCTCAAAAGACATTTACTTGGGGTTCAGCCTGGTATTGATCTTATAGCTTGCAAGACGATCTCCACTGTCAATGTCAATACAGTGGAAATTAAACTGGTTAAGTTGAGTTGACTATGGCAGGAAGCAAATGTAGTTGTAATGAAGTGGGACTCAGTAGATATGATCTGCTCAGGGTAAATAGCAATGACTAGGGCAAATGAAAAGACGGCCGAAGATATTCTTTGACGTCCGCTTGTAAAAGGATAAGATAGACAACGCCTGAAATCACGGAAAATTCCAAAAGAAACTTAAGGATAATAAATTAGTGTTTCATTAGATAAGAAAGAGCACTATAGTACAGCAAACAAGCCTAAGAATTTCGGCATGAATGATCTAATAAAGCTCATTGCGGGTTGTCTTCGACGAAAATCTTAACACATTTCTAGTAAAACGTGTGTGAAAAATTCATTGTTGCTTTTTCTCGATCCAGCAAAATTGTGATTGAAACATTTTCCTGGGATTAAAAGGAATGAAGAGATTATTTCACGAGGGGATCCTTTTGAAAACTCAAAGTTAGTAAAGGGGAAAGGTTTTTGTCCTATCAGAATAGCAGTCTTTATCTATCTTTCCGTCAATTTCACTCCCAGTAACAATTGGTTCGTTAGGCATCAGGCCAAGGGCAATAAATTTCCTTCGCATACCTATTGTCAAATGGGAAGTCAAGTTCACTTAGCAGATATTTCAATTTTACTTCTAAATGAATATTGATCGATATTAACTCTTAAATGCACAAGCATTTTACATTGCCAAGTTATCTTTACCTTGTTTATATGGATTGGAAGCAAAAACTTTTGCAAATTTGTTACTTGGCAAGTAACATTAAATGTTACTTTGCAAATTTGTTACTCTATCTTTCCTTCATCAAAAATTAAACAGAATTTGTTTTATTGAAAGAGGGAAAACTTTTATTTATCTAAGTTTTACATAGCAACTTTCCTGTTTATTTATCACAATGAAAAAAGAAAAGGTCGAGCATAAAACTAGTTGCAACTGATTGCATTCTATATATCGGGCCTCCATGAAACTCTTCAAATCCTCTCTCTGCAAATGTATATCTTGAGGCACAGCCCTTTAAAGAAGGACTGTTCTCGACATGGTGCATTTATATCTAATATACTGTCATTGGGCCAACTTTGTGTAAATATGATGTTTACTGTATATGAACAATTCAAAATGCCAAAGAGCTAGTAAAGATCAGTATTTTAATAGCATTTCAAGACAGCCACCATAATCGATTCTGGGAATGTTTTAAATACCAGCATGAAAAACCTGTAGAAGTCACAAGATAAACGTCAGCCAGAAACTAATGTCTATTAGTCAGCCTTCATCTTCATTTTAACATAAAGACACAATGGCTGGATACATTGATACTATTGACTGGGATTCACAAATCATAATGGACACTTGATTCTAGGGCGCTCAGGAAGGCTGCGTCTTCCTAGACACAGGGCTTGAGAATTATCTTCAATTAGCTTCGACATAATTTGTACAGGTTGTCGTTGAGTTAATAATGCATGCCTTCAAGGAGGACGGGAACAAACAAAGGCGCTCTGAAATTTGAATAAGCCGATATTAAGGCTAGTTTCTTTTAATTGATTTTTATAGAATTAAGGACCCATTTTGATACAATAAATAAAATAGGATAATATAGAAGACACAACATATTTTCACTGTCAGTATTACGATTTCTGTACACTTTCAAGAATTTCTCCCTGGTATTATAATTCTGAATTGCAATCAGTTCTTGAGGACTAGGGCCACTTTGTGATTTAGATACTTTAAGAAATTGCAGCAATGAGTTACAGAAAATCTTAACGCAACAACATAACGCAGCAACTTAACGCAACAACGCAATTCAGCAATTTACGCACCAACTTACGCAGTATCTCAAACAAAGTGTAATTTCTGCGATGTTGCATTGAGAAACAATTTTCTGCTGCACGCCATTTATGCAATGGCCCTCTCATTGTGGGAAAACTGATTTTTCATCTTAGTCATCTCATCGTAGAAATCTGTTATTCATTTCCAAACAACACTTTCCTTTTACTTGACAATGTTTCCTTGCAGTTTTGGAACATAAACTTGATGTTGCTCAAAACATTAGGATATGAAAGGTATGACCATCTTATAATTATCATTTTCAGTCATTTTGGCGTTGCAACTTGATTGGAACGTTTATTGTCTGTCTTCTATAAACACGCACGAGGACTAAAACTTAAATCAGACCAAAATAATTTCAGCGATGGGTTAAATGTTCCGTTCTTTACTTCGCGATTCGAAGTTCCAGTGTTTTGTATATTGCTCGACTTTTAAGAAGTATCTTTCACCACTACATACTATAAATTGTATCCAAGCCATCTCAATAACAGTTTTTGCATGAAATGCTTAATAGTACAGTCCATTTACTGATAAAATCAGCTCTGATCTTTACCACGAGAGTCGTTTTTACGTTGTTTCAACATATGCTCTTGCTCGTTGTTTTTACGTTTCTGCCAATACTGAGCTTCCTTCGATGTTCCTCACAGTATGATCTTATAAAAGAGTGTACCATCTCTAAAACGATTGCTACCGTAATTCTAAAATACTGGCAAAAATCCCAGCACATGCCAGGTAGCATGCTTATGTTGTCAAATATCTTACCCTCAACTCCCCCTCCCATCCCCAAAGGAAAGGCTTGAAATCCCCTTGGCTATCGCTCGCACAGGCAATGTGTTGTGTTTACAGGTTCTTTTGGCACTCAACAAAAAGGATACGTTGATAAAAGAAGCCAGAATTCCTAATGCCCTTTCTTAATTCCAAAATGATAGGCCAAATTGGCATTGAAGAATGGTCTTGGTCCAAATTATGAAAATTGTCCGTGCTCAGACGTTTATATCTACCATAATTGGCAGACTGACTCTATCTATCATAGGCTTCAAAATTAATGTTTACTAATTCATTGAGGCATTGTTACAGAAACCCCCGCCACCCTGCTCAAGCAAGGGCTCCCTAAAGAGTTAAAAATTGATGAACACACTCTTCGAAGAAAGCTCTGCCATCCAATGGAAGCCCTGTTGCTTGATTATGAAAAGGAGGGACGGAGAATAGTTATAATGATGATAAAGAAACAGGCATTTATAATAATCTTGAGTAGAGACCTAACGATTTACTTTTTCATTGAGCTTAGATCGAGCTGATTTTCTAACAATCTAGTTTTTTCTTTTTGTTTCATGCGGCCTGAAGAAATAATTTAAAACAAAGCAGCACCCTCTTCGAAAAGATTTATATATTGAATAAACTATCAATGTTGCTATGGAAGCAAGTATGAAGGCGTTCGTACTGCCAAACTATCGTAGCCTTATATACAAGAATATCTATACTAAGTAAAACTTGAAAATGTTTTTACGTGTTTGAATATTTTTATACAAAGATCCTTGATCTTTTTTCATTTAGCATTTCTTCTAGAATAAGGTCAGTAATTTGCTGATATAAAAACACAAAATCAACAAAATCAACAAAATCTAGCAATACTTTTAAACTTAAAAATAAGAGGATACTCCATCTAATCTACCGGCGTTGTCTTCATGGGACTGTTTAGCTCTGAAGACGTGCATAGACGAGAGGTTGTTGGACAATTGCTTGTTTCTATCTCAAAATATATAATTTTTTCGCTTCACACAGAGGCACTGATAACATTGTTTAACAAAATGGCTGTTGGGTTTGTTTAAGACGGGGCGGGAAGTGCAAAGTTGAAGATTCAAGGTTGCTAGGTTTTTTAGAAGAATTTACCTTTGTACAATATCTTTTCCACAACTCAATTAACGTATTGCTATCTACAGAAGCCAGTCATGTAGCTGACGTTACAGGGGCAGCATATTGTATGCATGGAACACATCGAAAACAAGACATTTTAGTCTTTTGCCTCTAATCTACTACTCTTTTAATTTAAATTCTCTGTACAGTCTAAATAAGCATGCATGCCTTGTGCAGCATGCCTCCTATGGTCTGTGATGCAGGCTAGCCTCCTATGGTCTAGTAACAACGATTCGTGTGGTAGGGTATTCGCGTAAAGAAGAACGAAGCATTTTATATATAGCGATCAAACAAAGCATTTTTCCGCACTGAAGCTAACCAGCTTAAGTAAAGTGGTTTTCTATAGCATTTAGATGGATCCTCTCAAATGAAATCTTTTCGCTCAGCTATATTTGTAACCGACATTGTTTATGGGAGTGAACGTACGTAAGACTGCAAAGGCCAAAGAAATTGCCCAGCTTTGTTGTGAGAAACCGAAATGAGGTACTTTAATATTACGCAAAACAAGAATGTTCTATTTGATGGTTTCCTCCCTTTAGCTTTGTGCCGCCATTGAAAGGAAGATGTTTTCTACAGAAAATGAAGTTGTTCGTGATTAAGCTTCGGGCTTGTGTAGATGCATTAACAAACGCAAAGGCAAGAAGCCGCCTCCTTTACTCTCCTCCGTTCACGTAGCTTTTCTCTTTTCCCTTGTCCTTATCCACGCTTATCTATATTGCGGATTTTTTGATGCTAATAAGGTTTTCTGTTTGAAGCGGGCGCCTCGTTTTGGCGCCAGCCTTTTTACCGCTCGGGATGTTACCGCATCATGTCATGGGCTCTTTGCATGTAAGTAGCTTTCGCAAAGTCCTGGGCACGGATCTCAGAAATAGCGCGATTATATGTTGAAAAGAAGCCGACTTCTGTTTAACGGGGCTGCAAACTTTGATAAGCTGTAGATCATTGCTGTGAGGTGTGAAGCTAAAAGGCTTGCCTACCCATACGGTTTGCTATGAGCAAGCACCGATGAGAACAGCCAATAGAAGAAACAACGCGCTGGAGATTAGACAACTGTGCGCAACGTTGCACGGCTTGTAGATAAAAAATAGTTCTTCGTGGTATTGAGTTTCTGTGGTGTCTCAATACTGTATCCATACGGATATTTCTATTAGTAGCAGAAGCGAGGTTTCATCTAAGTGGAATACGCAAACACGTGGACAAGATAAATCATCTCTATTGTGACGTCGATCTCAGTTAAACCGTTTTTAAAGATAAGTAAATCTTTACTGTGAGCCAAAAAACTTTGATCGTTTCAAGTAAGGAGGATTTCTGGACGGTGCTAGTGGATTTCGCTGTTGTGAAAACAGATTTTCAGAATAAAAACCGCATTATTGTGAGGTGAGCATACTTTACAGTGCTTTTCTGTTCTCGAATATGTGCTATCTCTTCAATGAAATAATTAATAGGCCTTGAATTGATGAAGAGGCGGCCGACAACCAATCAGCGATCACTTACGCTTATTGTTTCGCTGGGATGAACTTAACTGCTCTATTGTTCCGGGACTGTCTTTCTTAGTAAAAGGCTCGCTGTGGGCTTCAACGGGTTTAATCGATAATTTCCAATGAAAAAACAACTCGAGTATAAACGGACGGGATAGCTGAATCGCATTTAATTAAGCTGTTTCACATTAAGGTCAGTGTATAAAAGTACTGTACAGCAAGGCTGTCATCAAAAACATAAAGGACAAAACGGTGAACGAAGCAGACGCTTGGGTTGATGGTGCATTGCACGGCAATATTCTTTGCACAAGATTCAAGATGGTTTTTGGTGGTAGCTGCCTTATTGGAATCGCACTTTTTGCTATATCACAACTCGTGTTAGTTTTTTCTGGGAAATCAGTTTCACCAAAGTTATCACTCGTGAGCAGATCTGTTAAAGATGGGGATCCTTGGAAAACTCGTGTTTCGAAAGCGTGGGAAATGTTACACTCCTCTCCGTGCAAAAAGCTACAATATGGAGAGAACTGTACCGAATTAAAATCAAGGAGGCGAAACCAAATGAACATCTACACTGCAGATAAAGAAAGAGGAGGAAAGGCCCTGAAGACAGTACTAGTTGAACGGGTAAAAGGACATTTCAAAGACAGTGATGCAATTTTGGTCCTCGACCCTTATCCTGACGCACATTTCGGGCATACAGTCATCGTGTTCCTCATCGAATTTGTTGCAAATGCAAAAGGATGCCATAGAAAAGGCACATTTTTCACGACAGGTAAATATACTCGATTATTTGTATAAGATATTTTCTTTTTTATTGCACTTAAATTGCCCCTTTCTGGTTCTCCATCATTCTAACTACCATTTGACGTAAATATTAGCTTTTCTATTATGTGTCTACAAGCAATTTTAGCAGTATTGACGGCTTTTGAAAACATACAAAAAATTACATTGTTTATCACGCTTTGTTTTCGGTTTTTATCGCCATTTGAATAAGGGTGCAATGTCGTAAAATCGCTATTCCATCAACGAAAGATGCTTTTTAGCAATCTGTTTTTGTGAAAGCAGAATTAATTTTTCCATTTGAAATGTTGCAGTTTTGTCGATTAAAATTTAATCAGCTTTTGCAACCATCGATTGTTTTCGGGCTATTTAACTGCAAAGCTCTCTCACCACACGCAGGCTTCGTTTTTCGGTGTCCTCTATTTTACTTGAATTTGGAGTCTGCAGCTCAGAGATTCTGAGAACCGGCTATTTCGAATAGAGTGCTTATAGCAGGTTTTGAATGAGTGAATCACATTTGATCTTGCCAGTATGCAGATCGCATCATAATGTATGGTTAATGAGTTATATGTATTTTAATGATTGAGAAGTTTATCGACGTTTTGACGAAAATTGCCGAAATCTATTGCCGAACGCATTCACTTATCCTTCATGAATGTCCTAAGACCTTGATCTTGTTATTCAAACAACACAGCGACTAGTGTTGCGGTTATGACTAGTAATGATGCTTTTATCAATAGTAATCATGTATTTGGAAGTCGGAAATCGTACGGGGGAGGAGCACCACATCGCGGCCGGGAATAAGAGCGCGGCCAGCTAACTGATCGACCCTACTAAGGCCCTGCAAACAATCCGAAGGGTGAGAAATAGCATATGACGTCACAAGCCGCCCGAAATTAAAACGCCATCAGCTCTAAATAAAGGTCGTTAGCTAGTGTTTATGGCGATTAGTAGCAAAGCGACCTTGAAAGCAGAGGGGGCGAATTTAGCTTCTGTAGACTATTGAAAGTACCTCCTTCATTTCTGTAAACAAGCCTTGGTCATGAACAAAATACACAAAGTAGCGTTTAGACTTCCTTGACGTGACTTGCCAAACTAGTTTTCTCTAATAGTAAGCATCTTAACGAGCACTAAAAATGCCCCAAACCTACTCTATGAATTCAAGAATCTTCACTTCTTATATCTATCATCACAGGGAGTGATAGCAAAGAATGTATGAGCATAGCACAAACAAGAGCGTGCAGAAATCGCATAGGCCACGGGAGGAAAGGTAGAAGAAAGTGCGAGATCAACTTCATTCCTCTGGTGCACACTGAAGGTGACATAAACACCACCCAGCGCTTGATGTGCAGGTCAGGGCTGCAGGGCTTTGCAAATTGCCCGGCATTAGCTGGAAAAACATTGACTAGGAGTAAGGACAAATGCTCAAACTCAGGACGTTGCAGCAGCCAAAGCAGGGGTACATACCGCAGCCCTCTTCTTCGCTTATTGTCGATATGCGAAAGATGTGATTACTCTGTGTTGGTGTCGGGCGGATGGAACGTACTGATGAACCAGAAACGTCATTTGGATAACCTGAAAGATATGAGAAACTATTTGAAAAGCAAAGGTTTCCTCGAGAAAAACATGAAGGCGTTCTATGCAAACAACCGTTCCATTGACCGTGAGTATATGTCTTTATTTGTTTTTCTTTATTCAATTGAGCTTTGCTGAATTGTATGTTTTAAATGGAAACCGGTATTACATGTTTGCAGCTACTTGATTCTATCCGTCGATGAAAATCATTTCGACAGATGTCAGATGACAGATGAAAATCATATCAAGCAATTTGCTTGAAATCAAAGTGACTTTATACAGAATAAGTCTCAGCTTTGGAAAAGTCTCAATCGATAAATTTAAAAGAAAGATAGAACTATATATGACTTCAAAATTTTACTTTTAGCAATTCACGTGCAAGTTTCTTGTGTTTGAGATGTCTAGAGCAATTTGAAAAGTTATTTCGTACATATTGTTACCTAAGACTAGATTAACAGCGCCCGTGCCTTTGACTACAAAGTGAGAAGAAAGTTCAATTATCAATTATTCGTTGTATTAAAAAATGTGTCTTGGTCTTGGCCCCCCCACTTTTTTGCAAAACAATAGAGTTTTTTCAAAATCTTTTGTCATGGGTGTTAAATTTTCCCTTGGCCCACCCACTTTTCAACCTTTGTCGGAGTCCATGCTTTTACAGAATCGAGAGTAATGGGGAAGTTTCTATCACCCCAATGAACATAGATTTGGGCAAGAATGATTCAAATTAAACTAAAGAAAAAAGGAAACATGAAGAATGGCATTCTGCCCCAGAAAACCGCCAAATTTTTATATTTTCTGTTTAATCTTAAGGCAAGGTATCTCTTTTGATAACAGAAGGATATTAAAGTCTTGGTGTGTCCTTGATCTATGTTTAGAGAAATCTTTTTATAGAACTAACCGCACTATTGAGAAAGATTTCTGGGTAATAGATACATATTTTGTAGGTGTGGCCAAGATATGCTTATCACCTGTTACAAAATTAAAACAATTTTATAAGGTATCTATAATACTTCAGAAGGAATTTTATCAGTTTTTGAAAGAATAAGCCAAACATTTCAAGTTTGATATCGCCAAAAATACTTTTGGCTTTTGGGTGCTGAGGGACTAAAGATGACTTCAAATGTTCAAGGCTGTAGGATTCTATGCAAATATTCCCAAAGGCGTGGTATTCTATAAATTAAGGTGTGTGCTTAATGAACCTGCAAACTTTTCAACGCTGAAATGATAATGCTTCCATAGGTTAAATTTGAAAAATAATGACCTTCCTTAAGTAGTAAGCTTAAGAGGGGCTTCACTTCAGGCCTATTTGGAGAAGGTACATTTGGAATTTCATTTGCACGTTAAAAAAAATGCCACGAGATCTAAAATAATTTACTTCCCCCTTGTTTAGAACACCATTATTTGCCATTTTGGCCGATTTTCTACTTAGAGCCATCTAGAAATGAGCAGTATGCAGATGGGTAGAGAATCACATAGTCACTGAGCGTTGGAGAGGCCAGACGATCCCAGATATGTTGTTTAGCAATGCAACCAAATATTGCAAACTATTTTCCGACGAAGATTTGATCTACAGATCCCACACGTTGAACTGTCTTTATCGGCTTTAAGAAGGAGAGAGAAACAACGCTAAGCTTTGTACTTTGACCGTTAAAACGAATCCTCTTACTAAAATGATGTCTAAGCTCGCAGTCGAAAGCAAAATATTAGCGAACAATCTACCAGCATGTCGACATGGAAATAGAGAATTCTATGCTGTATTAAAAAAAAATTTTTTTGAAGAACAAATGACTTTCTTTGTATCCACTTGATGAAAGTAGCATGTAAGAAGCTTCATTTTACCACTCAATTAACAGCTTTTGAAAAAGCGGATTTTCTTTTCTGTCTATGCTAGGCATAAATGAGTGTTAAATTAGAATTGAGTTTCTTTGGTCCTAATCGTCTGACAGCATAAAGTACGCCTTCTTAAAATTGAATGCTGTTCATTTGACACCCCCATGAAGCATTCTTTGTCCGAAATAGATCTAGCTTAAACGTGTTTACGATTCAAAACTAATTTACGTGCAGTTTTATTTCGGTTTTGTCAAATACACTGCGCGTTCTCCTGTCGGGTAGCATATCGATTTCAGCCCCCTATCGAGAGCTCGTTAGGGATGTTTTCCTTTCAACATGCCGTTGCTCTTTCGATCTTACGAGCTATGGTTTTTTCTGAGGAAGCGACGCCAAAAATGATTGCGCTCTTTGCATATATTCTCTGCTGGATTGCACCTCTTTCTTTTTCATTCCGACCCAACTTTGAATGGTCCGGCTCAACTTCCTTCACGGATAATTTTCTGAAAAGGATTTCCACTGTGGAGGCACAATGTTTGCAAGCAGATCAGAGAAGCCGCGCAGTGGCTGGGGAAGGAGCTGTGCATAGCTATTAACATGACATATCCTTACAACCAGACAATAGGAAACGCTGGCCATTCAACAGATCCCTAGAATATTTATTAAAAGGAAATAAATGAAATATTTTCCAATGCACTATTATTATGCCAAAATCAATAAGTTTTGTATCAATCCACGTGGCATCTTTTAAGCAGATGAAAAATTCCGAAGCCTGAGTAATTTCCTTGCTTGAAAAAGAGAAACTGACGTATTAACCAATTTTAAAAAAAATATCATAACACTTCTCTCCAGCAAAGTTAGCTTGAATATTCTCAAATCTCGATAGCAAACATTGAAATGTCTTCGTTTACTCTTCTCCGAAATCCTGGAGCTCACTGCCTCTATACAATATATATCTATGAACTCTATTTTGTCTGTTAATTTTGAGTTCATTAATTATTTGTCTTCACAAAGTACGACACAAACATTTAATTTGATCCATGCTTGATTAAAAACAAGCCTTAGATAGATATCATATTCAGTTTATCTTTCATCATCTTCTATGTTCTTTTTGTTCGATGTTCTTTAAGCGTCTCTTCATCTCTCCATGAAACTCCGCAAAGGGACTTGAAACCTTAACGATCATACGAATGACAGAAAATCCAGGCATTCGTTAAGTATGTGTGTCTTTTCACTTGAAACAACAAACACCTTCTTAACATATTTTCTTTCTCGGGTTAACTTGAAGACACTTTTAAATAAGGTAAAGGTCTCGTTTTTAGCCTTATTTGATAGATTGGCTCTGTCGTCAAGGTTATCTAGTATGGCTATTATCTTTTTTAACTTTTTCCAGCCCGCTAGAATTGCCTTCTACCGTCTTTATCGCTAATTGATTAAACACTACATGACAAAAAAGAAGGCAGATGGATTCAGGCTTTTCAGAGCTATCTTAATTCAAAAAGAGGGAAGAAAAATTAGTTCTTGAGATAGCAAAATGAGTCAATGCTAGTCATTATGCCTCCTATCTCCAATAGTCAACGTTGTTAGTATTAATTCAATGCAAGAAATAATCTGAATGTATCAGACTTATAGTGTGTTATATTCATCAGTTAGACAGGCTGTAGCTCATCTTATGTTCGCCTCACATTCCTGGTGATTTAATGCTATGCAAGTCAATAGGATTAAGTCATCTTTGAAGAAGATCTAGACAAATCTTCTTTCTCTTGTTCTGTAGATTCTCTTACTGATGTCTTAAGAATGTGTATCACCAATGTAAAGTCTTTTCAGCTCATGCCGAAGGATCGAGTCAATTTTATAAGAGCATTTTGATGGTTTTAATGCTGCGTGCTTGTTTTTCAAGATCTTTTAAAGGCGCTGTTCAATTTTCGGCCATACGATAAGCGATTACAGCAGTATCTGAAGGCGGCCGAACTTGCCCATCCAAACTTGCTTCGGCCATCTTTTAGATGATTACTCAAACTTTAATAAGGGCTTTTCCTTTGCCTTGTGGTTTTTCAGATCTTAGCGAAGATGGTTGGAAATAATTGACTGTATTCGTTGTTTTCAGCTTGAAAATAGGCGGACAGAAACCCCGCTTTTGATGCGGTGTGTACATCTGTTTCTAATAATTAGAACAATCTTTTACAGTGTCATGAGAAGTTGTAATGTAATTAGAGTCAAGATGCGACAGCCTAGATGTTAAATCTTCTATTTCAAAACACATTTAGGCCATCCATCCCGTTAATTGCCAGAAAACGTAAAAGGCTTTGACGAACAGTATAGTCGGCTGCTAACTTGAAAGTAATGAAAAATGTACTTTTAGCAACTTGCTTTCTAAGCTGCTTACAGAAATTCTTGCTGTTACGCTTTCTCTTTCTTGTTTTCTTGCGCTCTTGTAAATCCTTATTGTAAGTCCGGGAGTTATTCTCTTAGTGCTTTAACTGCTACGTTACTGGTTCAGTCTTTGGTGCTTTCTTCTTTTAGAAGGTTGGCGATCATGGATCTCCATTGTTGGCGGTCTTGAGCCATCTTCTTTAAATCTTCGTATCTTGGTGTAGCACTCCATTATTTGATGTTGTCAAACGATGTCAGTATGGGTCTTCTCTTCCACGTTTACCTTCAGTTTCGCCTTTAATAAATTCTAGTTGCAGCGAGGCGTGTCTCATGAGGTGCCCGAAATAGGCTAGCTTTCTTGGTTCGATAGTGTTCAGTAATTCTTTCTTTATACAACATGTCTGAATGACCTCTACGTTGCTTCTGCGAGCCTGCCGCGAGATGTGTAGTACTCTTCTGATTATAAACATTTCAAAAGCTTCCAGCCGTTTTACCATCGCCATTTAGTGTTTCTAGTTGCATTACTGCTATTCCTTCCTTCACTTCTCTAGATGCCATAGCATTTCTTGCAGCAAATATGGCATGGTGCACAACCAAGATGATTCTTCTGTTACTCTAGATACTGAGATTTTTCAAGAATACTGAGGCTCAACATATTTACCTTGATAAAATTTCTAAAAATTTAGTTTTCATTCTTCATGTACCAAAATTGATACCAAGACTTTCTTCTTTCTTCTTTTTTTTGCATTGTACATTCTAAAAGAAAATGATGACGAATAAAAGATGGCGGATAAAATATTTGTTTCGTCAATACTTTTGTTGCTTACTTGTTAGATGATATTCTTGTTCATGCAAACACAATTTACATTGTACTGCCTTATAAAACTGCTTGCTTTTCATTTTATATCTTTGCTTAATGTTTATAAATATAAAAGATAAAGTGGTAAATACATTAATCTTCTGTACTTGATATGAACATATTAAAGTTTCCAGAAGAAAAGTCCTTGTAATCTATAGAGAAAAAGGGGATGTTGCTTCTATGAAAGATGGAAGAGATATTTCAATAGAATCTTCGAACTTTCATGATATTTCGAGTTAAGCTAATCAAAGAAGATATCTCCAGCGCACTTTTGGTAAATTGACATGCAAGATATTGCTCCTCGAGAAACTCCTCGAGTTTTGAAAGTAAGTGTATTACTAAAGTTTGAAGATCTCCTTTTACGATCTGTTCCTTGTCCGGCGTAAGAATGTTTAATTAACGTTCCTGAAGCTGCAATTCACGTGATTTCTACTTAGCAAACTGCCATTGGGAATTTCAGATGCGATTTACCGTCACGGTTAAGAGCAATATTTGATGTTTATATATTCGCATTTTTGAAGTGGGTTCGCTTGCAAATTTCGGATATTTCTCTGCTTCGAAAACAAGCACTAGGAATTACTTCGTTCGTGTAAGCAGAATGCCAAAATCCCACACCGCTAATCAACTTTAATTGAGAGGATTAGGATGTTTCAAACCCATACCAACAATCTAAACATAGGCAAGCTGAAACTGAAAATAATGAATTGATGTCGTGCTATTCACTGTACTTAGTATTCCCGCTCGCAAATCAACCCATGGAAAAAGTTCTTGCAACCTTCCGAATTGAAAAGCCACGGTATTGTGACCCCGAACTTGCAAATGAAAAGTGTGGTTCTTAATTTTTACGATATTAAATTTTCTTTGCCATGTGACTCGTGACGTTTACTTGGTCGCAAACAAAAACACCGCATATAAACTTGTGCCCATCGGCATGTGTTAAACTGGATTTCGCACATAGGGACAGGCTAAGATCATACGCTAGCACAATGGTCAGTTCATTTGTCGGGCCTCTTAATTAGTTGGATAAGTTTCCATTGAATATTCCGACAACTAATTATGGCTTAATGAGAACAATGTCCAAGCGGATCAATGTGTTCGTACTATCGTTGAATTTCGTTGCTGCTTCGCAACTGGGCTGAGTGACTGAATACAGACAAATACGTCATCATTGGTTATGATGCCTTTGTCAAAAATTTGAAGCATCTTATAAACAGTACACAGCGAGCAAAAGTAATAACAGAGGTAGAATAAAAGAAAGCTGAAATTATTTTGCAACATTTTTAAATTGACTTGCCACATATCAACTGAGGATTATAAGCAAAATCAGAGTTTGAAAAACACTTTCAGGGAAAGAATTTGTCATCAACCTGTTTTGAATAGATGCATCAAGATGTATTCGCTAAACTTCATGTTTAGCAAACTTGATATCGAAAACAACTTACTAACTTCATGTGTTGTTACATCTTTCATTTGTAAAGGAAATTTTAACTACAGTAGAAACCCGCATAAAAGAACCTAGGTTTTTTCTGGCAGCCTGAATAGGTTCTAAATTAACAGGCTGCTATTCTAAATTCCAGTCTAAAAGGTTCTTAACAAGGCTCTCATATACGTACAGGCCTTGCATACATTAACAATGTTTTCCACCTCAATGTTCTTATAAGAACAAGTTCTTTTATGCGGGTTTTATTGTATAATATTTTCTTAAATGTTTGCGGTACAAAAAATCAATTACTCTGCTATTTCAAGTGCATTTTCCAGGTTCAGTCGTGCAGCTTTTTTAAACTTCAATGCTACTTGAACTCTCGTTTAGATATTTCCTTGATTACACTTGCACGGTAAATCTCTTGCAAATTGCTTTTTTAGAGTTACTGTCCCAAAATTCTCACATAAATTGCATTTTACGTTGCATTATAACAGTAATTGTGGATTGACATGGAAAATTGGTTAAATTTAGAATGTTCTTGACAGAAAACATGAAAAATGAGCAGTATATGGGCTATTTGATGATTATCGTAAATCTGAGTTGTCGAGGTGATACACGAAATGATAAAATAGATGAAAGCAAATGCTGTAACGCATTAGTTGATATCAGTTTGGCATTAGTTCTTGAGTTGATTGGGTCAAGATATATAGATATTTACAAAGTCGTTAACGTGTCTTCATAATCGGCTGGTTAAATACAATATCAATTATGAAAGTGAGTTAAACCTATTTGATATAAGTGTAATGCCATCCCTTTAATTAAAAGTGTAAATGTAGAATGGTCAGGGGATTGTCAAGTGCGCGTTGACTCTGGTCACTTTGCAAAAACTCGTTTTCTGAACCTGGAAGAATCCAGAATTCTTATGAATAAGGAACTTATGTGTTGACAAAAACCTGTTGTTCTTTTCATAGCTTACAGCTTTGCAATATCCCAGGGCGGAGCGCAAAAAGTTGCGCAATTACATTCATATTATTCTGCGTCTATCTGTGAGGCAAATATATTTTATTAAGCTGAATTATTCTGCGTCGGAAACAAAAACCTCTGATGAATAACATGTTGCTTATTCATTAAAATACGCACTTTATTCGGTTAAACGTATTATCTAAGATCAGGAAGCTAACGGGACGTTGAATATTAAGTGTCTGTAAGCCATTTTTTCATCGCGATAATCTACAGAAATGATTTTGCTTAGTGTGCAAATAATAGGAAGATTTTAGTAAAGAATTAGTTCCAGTCGTTCTTTTTGCAACGACGTTGTTTTGTTTGCAAAGCCATTGCATTTGCTTGAATGATGTAACGCTAAATACTTGAGTTGCTTTCGTTTTAGTCGACAAGAATAAAAGCACAAAGGACACAGTGCCCGCCACAGAGGCTGGGGGAATATTGAGTCACATTGGAGATATTTGCAAAATATCATCAGAATGCATCGATTCTTTTGTCATATATCTCAATGGGCCTACACTGATGAATGGCAACATGTTGCTATGGGACAGAAACAGAGATGGAGTTGCCGACGGCACTGAAATACTGAAAGTGAGACAGCTACTTGGGACACTTGAAGACTGCAATGCATCTTGGGTAACAATAATAGCAGATCAGAATTATGCCGGGCATTTGGTGGATCGTATAAGAGATCTTCGTAGCAGACGTGCCAATCAAGTATTTGAGAAAATATCGGTTTATGCGTCCTCTACGAAGCGCAGTTACACTTGGGATCGTTCTTTTACGAGATTTTGGATTGCAAGAGATAACATATGGTTTCAGAAGAACCAAACTGGGGTAGCGAGAAAGACCAGGGAAGTCTACAAGGTAAATAGGAGGATCGTCAAGTTAACATTTATCGTTGCCTTCACGCCAATTATTGTGCCAACGTGCCTAATTATGTCTCGAGGGAATTTTGGCGGGGAAGAAGTTACTTTTGCCCCCAATTCTCAGTAATTACCAGGTCATAAAGTTATAATCTCTATGACTATTCAGAGCAAAGCTTGAAATCATTTTCCAAACGAAACCAATACCTGAGTCGGTGTATTTCTTTATTGGTTAATCAAGAAACGAACTATAGCATACATAGAGAGAACCATGCTCTTGGTGGTGGATTACATAAACTATTGAAAAACATTTTGAGTTATTTGGTATAAAATTTAGTTGTAAAGAGAATCAACACTCATCGAACTGAAATGGGCCGATGAATACTTTATGCACCCAAGTGAGGCTACCGATTCATCTTTAAGAAAGCACTGTCTGTGTGCGTGTTTTAACTATGTTACTTTCCCCCAAAACCACAAGCAAGAGAAAGCCAAAACGCTTACAGCTTGTAAAAAGATCAGTCTTTAGATGTACAATGACCGACTTGTTTAACCAGAAATTGAATCAACGGGATGTAAATAGCAGATAAAATAACGGTCTGTTTAAAATCTATCAAATTAATCCTCGGACGGGGGAGTACTTATGGCCGCAACGAACTCAGTCCTTGCCTTTACGCTCAAATCATAGAGTTAAAATCTTCTGACTCTGCGTTCTACTTTAATTCATGAATGAACTGTCACATTAAGTATCGATTAAAAAATCCCCTTCGTTAGAATTTTTTCATCAATGACTTTTCGCTTATGGTTTTTAGCTATTTTTGCATCTAGCATCCCTTCTCCTATTACAGCATAGACTTTCTACGTTGGGTCCATTTCGAAAATTGGGTTTTTTTTATCTCTCTGGCTACTTTCTATCCAGTATAATACTTTAGTCACTAGTCTATACTTTAGTTAAATATTTTTTTTTGCTTTCATCAGGAAGTGAAGGGACGTTTGCCAAGCAGATTCTCGACAAGAGAACTATCGCCAATGCACGGGCGAAACAGGGCTATAAATGGCGATTTCGGTGACGAGCCTGGTTGCCAGATAACGTCCACCAGTCACCGGTCATCGTATAGGAGATCTTCGTTCTTCGAAATAGCCAGAAAGTGGTTTAGGAGGCCGCGAGGGACGACCGAGTCATCGGAAGAAGATCTTCCAATACCAACGTAATGTGACGTCACTAGAGAATTTGGCAGTCCTTCCAAGTGCTCCCGCTAAGATAAAAAAAACTAAAGAATTGGAACCCAGATATCCATTGTGGCGAAAAAGGAATTTTCCACAACAGAATAAACACATAGTGTTATCAAGGCCCTTCAGGTACAGCCTGGCCCGGCAAACAAAAGGACCTACAACCTTTTTTGAGAATGAACTCAGACTTGTATAGTTCCTGTATAGATTTTCGCAGTGGACGTCCCACTTTAAGGAACTCTATCCGATATAGTCCCCTGTCTCTCCAATTCTTTTGTAACAACATTTTATTTAAAATGGGGTCTAGCTCTTTGAGGTGAGATCTACCTCTTTACAGTGGGATTCTATTGTTAAGCTACTTGCCTGCAGCATCGATTATACCAGGTGAAAATACTGTGCTTTGCAATATATTGTAAATAGATTAACTTATGTACAGCTCGTTTAGATGAAATATATGAGTACATGTGTCTAATCTGTGAAAGAAGTTGAAATAAAGTGTAGTGAAGTAATTGTGTAGAAAATGTATCCTACGAGAACAGTGACTATGAATTAGTCTTTAGAGTTGGACGCGAACATGTAGCTACAACTATGCAAGCGACCTGTCTTTACGAATCGAAGAATAAGTCATATTCTCGAAATCAAGATATTGGCATCATCTGTGTGTTTATCGATGCATTGTGACTATTGGAAAACCACAAGCAGTAGAGATTTGTGTCGGTGGGGTTATCCCAATGATCTATAAAAAAGAATGGATCGAGCTTCTAATGTTACCCGAGTGTCGCCATCCGAGAAGAGGGCCCTAGAACAGCCTATGCTAGGAGACGGCCTTAAGTATCAGTCCTAGCAATGTATTCAGCTGCTCTGGCCTTGTTCTTTTTCAGGACTAATACACACAGCCACGTATTCATATCGTTAAAGTATTGTTTTTGAGGAATGGCTTCCCGCTATTGTTTGGGGCCCTCTTCCTTTCCAAATTGAACAGGCTTCAAACTTTGGTGTTTCAAGACAATAGGAAGCTCGATCCAGTCTTTTTCATAGGTCAGTGGGTTATCCAGAGCCGAGGTGGGTGGTTGGTGGTAGGTGATGTTCGGGAGTGCTTGAAGGGTGATGGTAGCCCAAGGATAGTGCACCACCCCTACCAAGAATAGAAGCACAATGCAGCTAAAGATTAAAAAATAATAGGACAAACAGCAGCGAATTTTCGAAACGCGCGTTCAAAGAGTAAAAATAAGTAGTGATTTGATTGACAACTTCTAAACAAAACTAATACCAAACAGAAGAAACTGAACTTGTTGTATTTGAGTGTAAAGAATTAGAATTAAATAGATCTAAGAATTAAACTGGTGTGTTTTCTTATCATGCTTTCCTTATCAAAAAACTTATGTACTCAGAGCCCTTACAGGAAACTTTAAAAATAGTATAGTCATCGATAAATCAAAATAGAATGCACTTTTTATTGAAGGTCATGGAGCCTGAAGTCCACAATAAATAACAGAACTTAGAATAAATCATAAACATCACGAAAAATCTATTTTTAGAATCCAAAAACTTTGACCAAATAACCTAAAAGAACACCATGAAATACTTACAAATACCGAAAATTCAGTAAGCATATATATTGTGACGTCATGACTTAAGAATTCTATTGGGGGCGAGATTCCGCTTTTCTAATTCTAGCAGTTTATCAGAATAAATGCTTACTGAATTTCAGTATCATTGCTCCCTAAAATGGAGAAATTGTTCATGGTGCCTGGAACCAAGGGTACCTTTAAGTACCCTTCAATTCTAAAAAGACTTTGACCCCTTTCTTACATGAGACAAAAGAAATAGCATTTTTCTGCAGTGCATGAAAAATTTGGAGATATTTACTGGGGTCTCAATAATTAAATAGACAGGGCTTCGCGACGCTTCAACGATTTCCAAGAATGCTTTAACTGCAGTCTTCTTTCAGCACCTAAAACAGCATGTCATGCTTAACACGTGTCATGCTTAATCATGGCTGGAAAGATTGCATAATCCTAGCAGAATAATTGTCAGTAAAACAGTAAAACGGTGGCAAAGAAGAGTGCATGAAGTTGACAGCTGAATTAATTTGCGAGTGCCAAAAGTATAGTAAGAGAAATAGCAAATTTGCAGCTTAAAAGGATGTGTTCTAGGGTGGTTTCCTAAATCACTTCACTGCATTGACCTGCCAGATGTTACGTCTTACTCTCTCAAGTTATGCGTTATGAAGCTACACTCTTTTTTTATAAGAACCAGTAAATTTAAGTTCAGGCTGACTGTTTTTAATTTTTTCGAAAATCTGCGGCTGGATTGTTCTTAATTTTTTCTTAAATTAAGAGGGTGTAGGCAGTGCTATTGCTAGCTTTTTCGCTCTAAGGAGGTATTCAGGCCTCATTTGCCAACAAAGTGAGTGAGACAGCCTTAATTTGCTGACAAATTTGAATATCCACCGAAAAAGCACCCACACATCGCTAAAAATCCTCGATTTGGAGAAAAAACGTTGTTCAAAATTGCATTTTGCAGAAGCTCAGCCTCAGCTTGTTCTTAATTTGTTCTTAACTTTTCACCAGTTTTGAGGCTCGTGTTCTCATAAAATTGTTCTTATAAAATTGTTCTTATAAAAAAAGAGTGTATTTCTCGAATCAAGATACTTTTAGAAGTCAGGTGCAGCCGCCTGCCGTGGGGCCATAAATGATGATTTTTGCAGTCCTCAAGAGTCCTGAGCATTCTAAACACATCCCTGTAAACAACAACCCTGTTGATAAGACCGGAGCTCAAAAACATTTATTTCCTTTAGGCCCATAATATTTCTTGGATGGTCTGTATGATGGCATGATTTCAATAGCAAAGGCGAAAGAGTTATCGATAGATTCCAGACAAGGACAGTTGAAATCTTTTTGTCTATAATATATTTTCTTCCAATCTACTCGAAACACTAACATTATTGGCTACATAAAGCATATTTCTCTATACTTTATAAAAATTGTACATTCATAATTCTGAAAGTAAAAGAGCAGAGAGTTGTAGCCAGACATAACTTTCCCGATAACGCCTTGGCCGTTCAGGAATCCAAATAATTTGAAACTCTTTATGCAGCATTAGCTTATTCTGTTCTTAGTCCCTATGCATTGCGTAGCATTGTTGATTACAGCTCATCTTTGCCTTTCTTAAACGAAGCAACTGCTCTTTCTTCCAAAAATTTTGAAAATCCTTCAACAGTACGGTCACCATCAAACCTGATGGGGTCGGTTTTCTTGCCAGGTGGGGCAAAGTATATTGTCGGAAAACCTTCTACCTTGAATTCTGGTGGAGCATCATTCGCTGTGGCATCCATCTTTGCAATAACTAGATTCTTGTCGGATTTGTATTTCTGACCAAGCTTTTTGTATATAGGATCTAGAGATTTGCAGTGGCCGCACCACGGAGCATAAAATTCAATCAAAACATCTTTTGATTCATCCATTACGATTTTGTCGAATGTATTTCCAACAACAACTTTGACAGGACCATCATTTTTCTTTGGCTCTGGAGCAGACTTTAAAATGGGCTTCACATCACCTGGAGAAAAAACAGAAACAGTTCATTTGAAACTTTGTTCGACCCATCTGGTTTTCAGGTTTCTTAAATTCCATTTGGTTACAATAGGTTTGTTGGTATGCTGATTGGTTGGTTAGATACAATTTTAAATCTTAATTTAGAATATCAAGCTGGACAATTGTAGATCACATTTCTATGGACCTTTACATCTTCTGAATCAAGTCACTGCCATGAAACAGCAAGTTGAATCTAGAGTAGTATAAGTAGATGAAATTCGTCAAACGGAATTTGCATTGAGCAAAGGTTGAGCAAAGTATCCCTCTTATCCAAAGCCCATTGTCCTGTTCATGAAGCATATCTAGCAATTGGAATCGGGAAAAAGAAAAATATGATTTGAAAAAACGCAGTCATTTACCTTTTAGACATGAATCAATAAATTCTTTCAAGTCGTCTTCGCTGAATTCATCATCCATTGCATATTTGAGTCCTTTCTTGTCAAAGAATCCTACATTAACATCCTCCCCTGACTCTGCTAGTCCCAGTTCTTTGAGTTTTTCAGCATATGATTCCTCATCAGCAACAGCAAATTGTATGTCAGGGTAGGAGTGTGCAACTTCAACAACTTTGTTTCGCCAATACTGTGTCACTGGAAAATTGAAGAAAAGTTAATCATAATTTGACATTTTCTTCCATTGGAATTGTATTTTGCACAGCCATAAAAACAATAATAAATATTAACACTGAAATTGTCAAAAGCTTCTAGGAAAGAGCCAAGGTATAACAACCAAGGCTTCAGTAGCGTACCCACGGGGGGGAATAGGGGGGTCCAGACCCCCCACTTTTCTAAAATATGGCCCTTGAGATTTGTCCAAAAACGATGTAAAACTCATTGGGGGCAGGGGGTAGTATACTGTATGCTTGTGTCAATAACAATTGTAAAATACTTTGCTTTTTACCGTAGCTAAAATGAATCAAATAATGGGGAAAAAGTTTGCAAAAGGGCGTTTCCCCGCATTTGCGAGTGTTTGAAGGGCGTGGCCAAATTTTTGGGGACTACGCCCCAGACCCCCCCCCCACTGCTACAGCCCTGGGTATGCAACTGCAAGGCTTGTGACAACAATAAGAGCCTTAAGAGGAATGTTTATGTTACGATTGATGTCCTTGTGCTATGAATAAAATAGAAAGCCTAAAAAAATGTAGCATTATCAGTTTAAAAAATCAGTAGATGAAATGTATGACATCTTGAAAATGTTTGGCCAGCTTCTGACAAATAAATTTACTGTTTGAATTTTTAACAGGTCCTTAGACACAGAAAACATTCAATTAATTACAAAATAACAAAATTTGAGCAACCCAAATAGAACATAATGAGCAAATCTAGGTCATAGACATGTAACATAAAGAAAGCACTTACTTGAAGCATAATCATGGTCGAAGTTGACATCATAATACACGACAACAAGAGGCCTTTTGGAAAATCGCTTTTCTGTGTGAGACTGAATGTGCCCAACCAGGGGAGCTGAGTGTTTTTCATAAAAATTCTGTATATCTGCTTGCGTTCCCTTGCTATCCTAAATAATGATTAAAAATAAAATAACTATAAGTATTTCTTTAAAAAGTACTGTATAACCAACTTGATGTATCTATGAAGAACATGTAAATAGAGAGCAGAAAAAGAGAACCTGATTTTAAATCATTGCACCAAAACTGGAATTGCATCAAAGGCATATTATAAAATATTTTAAACCATTACAAATTGCTTTTGTTAAACCAAGTATTTGTCAAAAATTGTAGAAGAAATGTTTTTTTGCACAATTTATTTGGAAAAGTTTTGCACCATTCTGGAATATCATTTTCAAGAAATCTTATGGCCTACTATTTGAAGCTGGGCTCTTTGCAGCTTTTTTGGGGACAACTAGTGAGGTAGCTTTTCTTACATTATATATATTAAACCTACATTAGCAGAAAAACACAATATCTATCATTTGAATACAAAAATTGGCAAAATAAAGAAGCAAATGGTAATTTACCTTAAAAATTTGATATTTTGGTTCATACTTTGACGTTAAATGACTTGGATGGATAATAATGATGCTGCTCTCTTTAATGCTAAAATGCTTCTTTGCTTGTCCATCAAAAGTGTGCCCAAATGCATAATCATCCCTGAGGTCATTGTTAGTCTCAAGATATGTGGTATAAAGAGGATCGTTTTCATCACTGAATACCCCAAGAACAACAAAATCATCAATGGCCTGTTTCATAAACTCCTTCACTTCTCTTAATGTTGGCTTAAGCTTAGAGCTTGGTCCAACCTGTCCTTCCATGTATGATATAATACCTGAAATGGAGACATTTGGATACAGAACACGTATGAAAACAGGTATGAGCATAAAAAGGTACAAAGAAAAGCAACTGGAAATTTATTAACTCTCTGCTAGAGGGGGGAGTTGTGGAAGTCCATTTGAGAAAGTTTGAAAAATTCTGGTGCTAAAAATCACAACAAATTTAGATAGAAGGTCTGGTGCTCAAAATGTTCAAAGGCAAGTTACAAAACATAATAACTGATTACAAAAAATCAAAACACTGTTGCCTAATGATTACTGCAAGCATGAATATTTGAAATGTAACTTATAACTGTCCTGTTGTAAATTACAAAGTGTACTTAACAAATACAAACAACTCATTAAATTTTTGGAATTTAGGGAGATAGCAATCTGTGCATAAAAAAGGGAAATGACTTGGCAATGTCGAGACTGACTCCACACCGCAGTGAACATGTGAAAAATAACATACAACGGAACGTAATACAATAATGAATTTCTTTCTACCTGTTTGATCTCTTCCACCTTTGTATTCAGAATGCTTTCCTTTTCTGAAAACTTTCAGTGTTGGGTAACCAGTCACACCATACTGCTTGGCTAATTCACCCTCTTGAGTTGCATCAACCTTGGCTAGCAAAATTGGCTGTTCTCGATTCTTTAATACTTTTGCAGCCTTTTCATATTCTGGGGCAAGTCGTTTACAGTGACCACACCTACAACCAAAAGGCATCTTTAGAAACCTTGATAAATGAAGGGTTTTGAACACTAAAATATTGCTGTTAGATAAAATTTTCTATTTTTTCAATTAATGTACTATCATATATATTTACTTCTATGACATACATTTCTAAAACAAATTTTGTTGATAAATTCATGATTGCAAGCATACCATGGTGTATAGAACTCTACTAGCATCAGATCCTCCCTAGAAGTTACTTCTGCAAAATTATCCTTAGTGAGAGTTATAACTTCCTCTGGAGGAGGCTTCCAATTTGGATCTGATTGCTCTTTCATGTAGTTTACAATTCCTAGAAAATAAAAATCAGCAAGAAATAAGCAAGAACTATTTAATAAAAAGATACTTTATTGGAATTTACAAAATACTATGATTATAAAAAAATACTAGTCCAAAAGAATGCTTTTAAATATATATTATAATGCCGAGACACAAATTTGCTCAGTTCATTGTAGCTTACAAATGATGCTTTTATAGTGGTAAATATATAAAAAATTGACACATGCAGACTATAAACATCTTCATCAAAAGCTAAACAATATTAACATTTATTATGAAATCATTAATTTGGGCATAGAAAAGAACTCACCATCTTCTTCCCTGGGACCATCATAATCATATGCCTGGCCTTTACGAAATATTTTCAGAGTAGGGTATCCTTGAACTTCAAATCTTGATCCAAGATCAGACTCAACTGTGGCATCAACTTTTGCAAATGGCACTGGAGGACTTTCATTTTTCATTCTTTGGGCTGCCTTTTCATATTTTGGTGCTAGTGTCTTACAGTGTCCACACCTATAAAAGAAAATTTGATTAATACTATAGTGTCTCCTTTTTGACTGGCTTCACATTATCTCAAATGTGCTACATTTATCTTAATGGTTTGGACAATCTAGGTTGATTTGGTGTTCCTTTTAGCCCAGAGGTTTTCCTAGCTTTATAATAAGATTTATGTTTATATCTTGTTATAAAAAAGCTTGTTGATGTTTGCCAGTAGGTAAAAGGTTCAATGCCAAGAACAGGGGTTCTTAATTGCTTTGAGTGCCGGGCCTGAAAAGCACGTGGATTTTCTCCGAGGCCACTGTGTTTTCGACTTTTACATAGCTTGTGTCAAAAAAGTTGCACAAATTGATAAGTTCTATATATATATTCTATATTCATAAAATTTATGTGTGTTCATTTTCATGAAATAAGTTTGGGAAAGGTGGATGAGAGAAGAGAAAAAGGGAGGAAGATAATAACAATTAGGAACCAGATGCTGACTTGATGTTAGAGGAATTGGCTCAATGAGCAATACCCGACGGCTTTACAAGGCCAGGGATAACTTTCTGTGGGAGGGAAACTAAAAGCTTCAAAAGGTAAAGTATTTAAAGCCAAAAAAATAATCACAAAAAAGTTTGCAGCATGTGATTCTTTTACCAGATTGAATCAGAAGACAGTTGTGCTATATGTCCACGTAAATGTAAATACATCATTTTGTTGAAGAAATAAAAAGAGTTCAGTCCATGACATTACGAGGGCCTGAAGGACACATCCACACCATAGATCTTTCGTTGGGCAATTGCTATTTTTTCTGTAAAATCCATTCCATGTTATTTGATTGAGCAATTTTGTCAGGTCATTGCACTAAACTGCCCAATCTAATATTGTGCTTGTGCTCAGAACATATTTCTTTCTTAATATATTCTAATTTCTATTAATTTTCCTAAAATCATGTACAATTCAGGATGCTTAACATGATTTGACAAGAAGATAACTTCAAAAATTTAAAAAGGCCTATTCATATATATTTTACAATAATATTTTACAATGTAACCTATTATAAAAACAATTAGGCTTAAACTTTTTCTGTATAATCGACAAAACATATTGAAGAGAAAAGATGTACATTTTTGTCATTGTAGGCAATTTTACCTTGCCATTGTCGGTTTTTTTTTAAAAAAATGGGGAAAAACATACCAAGGCGCATAAAACTCAACAAGAATGACGTTATGTTTATTGATAACATCGTCGAAGTTTCCTGTGGTCAACACAAGTACCCCATTCTCCTCCTTCACTTCACTACTCTCCTCTGACTCACTGCTCGGTGTATCTTCTGCGATGTCAGATTCTTCTTTTTCTGTTGCAGGATCGTTAACTACATTTTCATCTTCACAAAACAATGAGGATATAAAGAGAGTCAGTAAGACGGCTTTAAACAACCACATTTCTTTGGCGTTATTAGTAATTTGTGTAGCAAAAACAACTTTTAGGCCCCCACCGTGAAACTCTTTGAAGTGACAATGCAACACGAGGCTTGAATGGTAAGGTCTCGCTTTCAAATGTTTTCCCAAAAGTTTTCGACCAATGAAATTCGCCCAAATCACGACCAGTAACCAATTATGTCGATCCGCGTTTCTGCATTCTAGTCTGGTAGTGTTTTGAATAAGGGCAAACAAAAGTAACCATCAAAAAGAGCCAAGACAAAAAAATCGTAATTTTGCTGGTGTGTTGAAATAACAAATAATTCAAAGATTTTATTGATAAACTACTCTATATTGGTAAATTAAAATTCATTGAATCACATTGTGAAGTACTTCTCCAAAATATTACCCCCCCTCCCTTCCCCTCCCTCCCCCTTCCAACATTTCCTCGTCGAACTCTTCTTGCCAAGATAAAGATAAAATGAAGTATATTTCCGTAATTAACAATATTAGAGGTCTTCTATCACAAAGGAAAACGATATGGGTGCGGCCAAGGGAGTGACACACAGTAAAAAGACCCCCCACACATAAATTAGATATTTTCCGAGGGGCAACCCACTCTTCGGTGCTCACATAAGATTGTTCGAGGTTGATAGATTAAACAGCTGTCAGTATTTTTCAAATGTGGCCGTGTGGTAAATTTTACCTGCTCTAGTTGCAAATATTCATAATGTTTAAATTCGAGATTTCGCAGTAACTTTTCATATGCTTCTGTACTTTAGTTTTGTTATGATTATAGAGAAGAACTGCTGTTTTTAATAAATTGAGAAACAAATAAAGGCGGAAACTCAGAAAACAAGAAACATTATAACAACGGAACAAGATATGCAAAATTGCTGCTAGTTGTTATTGAAAGTAGCAACAAATTAACAAAACTTTTTAAGACATTAGACTGTTCAAATGCCAATTCTAGTTGCTATAAGTCTTTATTTATAAGAAACTTAGTTGGACCTTTCCTTTAAAATTATATTTTCTGAACTCCCTAAAGCTGGGTATTAACACATTTTTCTTGCCATATACACAAAGTGCTTAGAAAGTGTTAAATGTTAATTGTCAATAATATAGCTTAATAATTTACTTAATACTTTTTATGATATAATGAAAATTACTAATGAGCCTTTCTTGAATAAAGTTGAATAAACTTAACTTGGAAAACTCACATTGATCATATCACAACTAAAATGGCAAAATGTATTGGTATTTTGTCGAAGGCTAGGCATTTTTCACCAAAAATGTGCTAATCAACATATTTAATGCTTTTATTTCACTACATATTAACTACGGTATAATCAATTGGGGCGGTGCCTATCCCAGCTCGCTAAATAAACTTAGCAAATGTTTAAAGAAAGCAGTGAGAATTATTACTTTTAAAACGCAAATGGAGCCTTCGAAATCAATCCTAAAAACCTTAAATTGTTGAATTTAGAAGGCACGTACAAATTGGAATGTGAAAAATATATGTTGAAATATCTAAAGGAAGCTATTCCAGCCTTTATTCACACTTATTCAACTAGCGAGTAGCCAGCATAATATTAGTACAAGGCAAGCTAAATCTGGTAAATTTCATACTCCAGCAGTAAGAACTAATTATAAGAAAAACTTCATTATACATTCAGGAATCAAAATTTGGAATAGTACAAAAACTACCAGATTTAGCTGAAGGAAATTCTAGTACAAAAAAATCCTTCCCTCAACTGTACAAAAGAATGCTATTTGACAACTATCAAATGAAAGCTTTTGGGCAAAATGACCCATTGGACCCATGAAAACCTTACTCCGGAACTTTCTGCTTTTATTCTTCTTAATTTTATTTTATTTTTCCTTTTAATTTTGATTCGATTTTCCGATTTTTGATAAAAGAGCAAAGCAACTTTAGTAAAATTATAAAAATTTATTAAATCTGTATTATTTGGCAATTGTATATCTTTGACTTTAATTCAGATGTTCTGTTCTTAGCTAATAAAGATATTTCACCGAGGACATATGGCTCGAAAGCTCTACACAGAGTTATTTTCATATGCCCATCAGCTCTTCTTGTTAAATGATGTTTAATGAAAACCGTAAATTATTTGCTTAATATCGTATCTTAAATTGGCATCTTTTATTCACTAAGTATTATTGTAATTAATTGCTGAGAATTTTTAATGAAATGAAATGAAGTTGCAAAATGTTTTCTTGCTGTCCAAGACGGAATTGTCTAGTTTCCATATTGCTCGACCTGATAATCAGAAATAAGCATGATTAATAGTTATAAATTAGTATGATTAATTATTTCAAATAAAGGGTTAGGGTTAGGGTTAGGTTTAGGGTAAACTATTTTCCTCATCAGGTTGAGCAGTATGGAAACTAGACAGCTCCGTCGAAGACCGACGAAAACCACTAACCTCGATATGATAATGAGGTAGCGCTTGCATGCCTTTATCATAAAGCCAATATGGAGGCGGTTGCAGACGAAGGACAGCAGTCCACAAAGAAGAATAGGGTCCACGGTGTTCAGTCACTACTGTCTTTTCTTATACTGTTTGCTGCTTGGTTGGTTGGATTCTCTAGTCGTCTCTTCGCTGTTGTAAGATTTGAAAGTATTATTCACGAGTTCGACCCTTGGTAAGTTTAACTAGTCTTGTCTTGTCCTATCATAGAAGGAAGAATATAAAGGACTGATCTTTGAATTTTGACAATTTAACAATGTTGTGACACAGCGTACGGTTATATTTCTAATGAAATGTTATATAACGAGATTAAAATCAGCACTCCTCAGCGCATTTTTTACACTGAGCCACCAGGAGAGAAGCGTGCTGGACTGATGCTGCATATACGTGCGGGTTTTCCCTAGCTATTGTTCTATCAGTTTGTTAATATTGCTCAATGGGCATTTTTAGTTAATATAACATTTAATGTTAATATTGCGAAAGGTAAACGAGTCACAAATAAGTGCTGATACAGTTTTATTTAGGTCAGATCAAACCAAACTGAATGCAGTAAGACCAGACTGCAAATTTTAGTTTCTTCAATCTTCAATCGTTAACTCCTAAGGCTATACAACCAATCTGGAGCATTTAGTCAAGGAGCATTTGAAAAAAAAGGAAAATTAACTTAGGAGTAGGATTGTTTTCTACAAAATGTTGCATTGGTATATCACAAAACATATCACATATTTGTGTTTATTCTTATTCGCTGTTTTTAACTAAAAAAATGAATAACAAGCTCTATCTACTGTTTTTTGTTGTAATAAAATTCGTCCTTGTAAAATCTCAACTGCACAGTTGATCTGTTTTAATATAAACATCAAACTTGAATCTTTAAATAAGAGAAAACACTTCTCATTACCCAGTTTCTCAATAAAAGATTTTAGGGAAGCACTGTTATCCCATATATGTATGTGTAAGCAATGAAAAAATGACTTTTTAAAAGGCTAATCTTGTTGGATTTCAGCATGAACATTCCTCTTCAATCATAAACAAGGCCATGTCTAAAACATTTAGATACTTTTCGGTCTTTGCAGACATACTATTTTCTAAGGATAAAACATTGATAACATGCCTGCTTAAAATCAACTATCGTGAAGAGGATTATCTGATGTTCATAATACCTAATGACAAAAATTGAATGAAGGTCTGTGCTGTCCACGTTTTAGTAATCACCGCTAGTAAAATTACCAGAACACAGACATGAATTCTGTGAACTTGCAAAAAAGACATTTTAAATCAAGGGTTCCACTATGATTATTTTTTCAGTTATTTTATCAATCAATAATCAATGTTTCCCTTAACATAAAAGTGGGTTAAAGCATCTTTAAGCACAGGCTACATTATCATCTGTGCTAGGGCTGGCTAAAAGTGACATGAGCTTGGCTGTATTTTGAGAACAGTCTGTTTCATTAGAAAATCCTCTCGAAGCAACTGTTTTGTGTTTCAAAGACAGAAACTGAGAAACCTTCACATGCCCCCTTTTTCTTGAACGTCTATTGACTGCTCATTTGACCAGGATTAGGTACATCCCTACAGGCTCAAGTGCTCTCTTCCCCTGCCTGCAAATTCTGTAATGCTGTTATTTTGTAAAATTTATATAATATGGTTAAGTACTGTGCCTCAGCTTTGTTATAGCAAATAGTAATGCTAGTGTATTTCTTAACCAATTTTTTTAAAAGGTGTTTCATCTTGCATCGTCTTCAAATTTGAGATTTAAAAGTCAATACAGCATTCACTCCTTTTTTCAGTATTGTTTTGGGATCCTTGAAATTAACCTTTACCTTTATGATCAAATCCATATACCCATTTAAATGCTACTTTTGCTTTTCAGGTTTAATTATAGATCAACTCATTACTTAGTTGAAAATGGCTACTATAGTTTCCTTAATTGGTTTGATGAGAGAGCGTGGTATCCACTTGGTAGGATTGTTGGAGGGACAGTAAGTGTTGCTTGGTTTTGTAATCCTCTGGCCTTTTCGTTTGATGGGAGTGATCACTCATGATCCTGTCAGCACTTGCGCGAGCGCGTTTGATCCCTCAAGCAAAACGGTAAATTGTGAGGAATAAATGTCTCATTAATCAAGACATTTCTAGTTATCTTTTGTGACCCAAGCTAGTGACATAGACAATACAAAGCTGGTATATCAAAACACAGGAAATATAAGTCAGCTGATTAAACCACATCTCAACAAAAAACGCATTAGTATTTGAATTACAATGGCACTTACGACATTTTCTGGGCAGCCAGACTGTAAAATATTTTTTCTGTGCCGGGAATGCCAGAACAATAATTTTGAAATTTGTGGATAAGGAATTTCCCGCGAAATTGTGAACAGAATTTGAAGCAAAGGCTTTTGAAGAGACCTTTTCTAAACAACATTTTGTGATCATCCAGCAATGACGTCTATATGACCTTCATGATATACATAAAGTTTGTAAACGAAGCACATTTGTATTTGGGTATTTATTCTTTCTTGGAGTGCAATAAAGGTCATCATAACAGTTTGTTTTCATTTGATGTTACCTCAAACAAAAGGGTACCTTATAAGATCATTGCTATCATTATCAGAGCGATCACTCATGCAAGAGAAATCACGTGAGCGATCGGCCACTCACGTGGGTTACTTCATACGAAAAGTCCTGGTCCTGTAACTGTTAAATTTGTCTTTTTTGATATATGACAAGCAAGAAAGTTACCTGTAACCTTTGTGAAACATTTTTTCTCTATAATGTTTGATTTCAGTGTTTGAAACTGGTGTGTTAACCATTTGTTTACCATCTGGTGTGCAAGAAGTTTAAAAACTCCAAAATGACTACTTGTTTTTCTTTGTCATGTGTTTTAATTGATGCACTTCCAGTATATTTTCATATTTTCAATTTGTTAGGTATATCCAGGTCTTATGCTCACAGCAGGAGCCTTACACTGGATACTGAACACTTTGCATTTTACTGTTCACATCAGAGATGTCTGTGTGTTTTTAGCACCATTATTCAGGTAGTTCAAAAATTTTTGTCATGATATATGATTGATGCTTGTAGACAACAAGCCGTAGATTAATGTTGGGCTATAGAAATGTTACTCAACATTTTCATTTTACTTCACCCTGCTTTTTGCCAATATTGCTTGGGCTTTTTCTGTTTAGAAGCAAGTCAGTGTCATACGCAAGTCATAAGCACAAAGCCACACAATCCTTGGCTTTTTAACAATAGACAAACAATTGATTGGCTAATTTTATTCATTTTGAGATACTTGGAAAATATAATTACTCTGTTGAATGTAAATGTCTCAAATTTGGGATAATAACTGTGTTGTCATGCTGTTGCTTAGATAGATGATGAAAGACAGCTTCATCCTTGCTTTAATAGTAGTTGCTTGTCTATTACATTTTTCATAGACCTGTAATATTTTTTTACAGTGGCCTCACTGCCATAGCAACGTATTTGCTCACCAAAGAGCTCTGGAATGATCGTGCTGGTCTTCTTGCTGCTTGTTTTATTGCTATTGGTATGAATACAATTATATTTCTAATCTTTAAGTAAACCTAAGGTCATCAAATTTTTCCAAATGCTACTAACATGCAGTATCTAATGACCTCTAGATATTTATATGTATTTATGTATCAACTGGTAATTTTTTTCTTAGCAGTATTATTTTCTCTGGTTTAGATATGCCAAATCTTGCCAATCTTTCAGTCTTCTCGTTCACCCTGACCTACTTATCATAAACTCTATTTTTTGTACTTTTTCACTGACACTATCTTCAAGGAGTAATAATGCTAAAGGATATTCCCTTTTACCAATTTAATCATAGGAACATGATTCCTTAGTTAAGTATGTGTTTTTTTATCAAATATTTATTTCCAATATATATCAAGCAAACATTGAAACTAAGTACAACTGTTAAAGATTTCCTAAACCACAGTCTGGATGAGAATATTTTGCTTAGAATTCCGAAAAGAACTAGAGATTGAGCTGTCCAGCTAAGAATCCTGATTTTCAATATTACATTGAATGTTAATATGTGATATGGGCATTGAATCATTGAATTTCAATATGTGAGCATCTTGTCCATTGCTTGGTTTTATGATGAAATTGAAAACATTGCATATTGATTCAAACATGTAGAAGCAAAATGAAATAACAACATGATAGTGAATCAATATTTTTAGTTTGTCAAAAGGTAGTTTATGACATATTAAAATTTTAGTTTATGACAAGAAATTTTCATTATTTTTCCAGCCCCTGGTTACATTTCAAGGTCAGTTGCTGGTTCATATGACAATGAAGGCATTGCCATTTTTGCTCTCCAGTTCACATATTTCTTATGGGTAGGTAAAGCTAAGTTATTTAGATTTTTTTGTTCAATTAGGTAAAATTGCTAAGCATATTTGGTCATTGTTAAGCCTGCTAGTTAGTGATAACCTGTTAGATCTAAGTATACAAATTTCTGTAGTAGTTGTTTTTCAACCTTTTGAGTGATGTTCCGTAGAAAAATGTGAATCTTTATAACCTATACAATAAACACTGTAAAATCCTGAAATACTTTTAACCCTTAGATACTGTTTGCATTATTTTGATGATTGCTTATGTCCTATTTTCTGGTCTTAGACATTCACCCACTTTCTTTCTTTGCAGGTAAGAGCTGTAAAGAGAGGCTCAGTATTTTGGGCTGCAATGGCTGCATTGTCATATTTTTACATGGTATGGATTTTCATTTTCCATTTTTTAAGACTTTTGTTTAAATATCTGAGATTTACAAACTGCTTTTCTTTCAGCTTTTACAAAAAAATTAGCATTTGATTGTCATGATAAAAAATGAGTCATTTGTTTCACATTTCCTGTTGTTATCACTTTGCGTGAAATCTAGGCATAAGCTTGAAATTGTTAGTTACTTAACTCTTAAACCCCTACAGATTAAAATTTCAAACTTGTATTTTTCATTTTTTTAAAAGCCATTCTTCTTTGCTAGGTTTCAGCCTGGGGTGGCTATGTGTTCATTATCAATCTGATCCCTCTTCATGTGTTTGTCTTGATTCTGATGGGGCGATTTTCTAACAAAATTTACACAGGTAATACTTCTTTGATTTTCATATTTGTTGATAATTACAGATGACTTATGGTTCATTAGATATCTTTGGTTCAAGGCGGCTTCTTTCCCCAGCTTTTTGTTACATTCCCACTTTTGTCAATCATGCATCCCAACCTACTGGTGAGACTATCCATGGTTTTTTGTTCCAGCCAACTGTGATTTCAAGATCTTCAACATTATGGCTATTTCATATAAAGACACTGTTGATGTTCCTTTAAAGCAATTTTCAATTTGTGTCAATTTAAATTTTGATCAAATACTCATTAACTCATTTAGATATTTTGATCAAATGTTATATTTTGTTTATTTCAGCATATAGTGTCTTTTTTATGGTTGGTTTGTTGTGCTCAATGCAAGTTCCCTTTGTTGGTTTCCAACCTGTCAGGACAAGTGAACACATGGCTGCTGCTGGTGGGTTTATTTTACTGACTCTACTGAGAGGCTCAAAAAGTGCAGTAAAACCTCGATTTAGTCAGTAACAAGTTTTAGGGCATTACAAGGGTCTATTACAGCATGCATTTTTCTGAGAACCACAGAACTTCTACAAGAGGGACTTATACCAAAGAGGGGAGGTGCAATTCGAGGATTTATGAAATGTTTTGCGCAAAAAGATTTTATCCCAAATGGGTCTCTTTTGAGATATCGGTGCATGAACGTTCTACAACTTTTGAAAATCGCAGAACTAGAGGCATAATCGTATCATGAATTTGTCTGTCGTCTGGATGTGTCCATTATTGTATGTCCCTGCTAATGGAGGTTTCGTTTTAGCTTTCAAAGTTTTTTCTATATTTTGGATGACTAGAAAGAGTTATTTAATTAGAGTCTCCCTTATTTCTGTATCTGAGAATGCTATAATCGAGACATTTATCCAACACTCTAAATTACGGCCCAAAAGAATATTAATGTTGACATCTACAATCCATGGCAGGCGGTGTTGAGATTAATTGCCTTGAAATTTTGGCAGAGATGCTAATTCAGTTTTATATTTCACATTTTGATAGTTTTATTCAACACCTGGTATAAATATAATAGCTTATTTTCATTAAAGATTAGCTATGCTATGCCTGAACGGTTTCGATCGTATTTCGTAGGTGTCTTCTGCCTTATTCAAGCATACGCTTTTATCAAGTATTTGAGAGATCACATGAGCAAGGCGGAATTCAAACATCTTTTCAATTTGGCTATTGTTGGATTTGCTGGTTTGGTGTTTTTAGCTGTCATCGCTTTGACTTATATGGGTACGTCATCGTTTTTCTTTGGAGTTAGAATTAGTAATGAAGCATTGTGTTTTGACATGAATGTAATTGAAGACTAAGTGTCTGTCATGCTTGATATGCTTCATATTTAATCACGATCGCGATTAAAAAGAGTAGAAATTATGAAAGAAATTGTCTCATTATCTTTATCTTTTTTGCAGGCTACATTGCTCCTTGGAGTGGCAGGTTTTATTCCCTGTTTGACACCGGGTAACTATCTTGAAAGCTTTTGTCTGATACTTTGCTTTTTAGTCTCTGCACTATAGACTTTGGAAACCGTTGCTTGTAAATGTCTTTGTCATTTAGCCATTGATGAGGAGTTCAGCCGAGTGCAGTTCGCTTCTACTCGATGTCTCCACCCTATTTCCCCAAATTGCTGGAAATCACGAAAGAAACCATCTATTGAAAATATACGATAGGGAAAAGAGTAATCTCTGAAGTAGGAGGACCTTTGAATGAAATCTGTCTCACAGCTGATAGGAGTCTAACGTTCTGCTAAGCCATTTGTTTGGTGCGGGTGATGCCATAGTTGTGAGAAACTACAACACATTGTTGAGAATCATTCAAGTACTACTTGCAGTTTGTCAATCAATGTGATAAATGGTAAGAGACACTGTCTTGGAACAAATCAATGCATAGCACTTGGTACAAATTCGTGAATTGAGTATTGAGTATTGCATTTGTGTTGTAGGTATGCAAAGATACATATACCAATCATCGCTTCTGTCTCAGAACATCAGCCGACAACTTGGGTCTCGTTTTTCTTCGACCTCCATGTTCTAATTTGTGCCTTTCCATATGGTGTGTATATCTGTGTCAAAAAGGTCAACAACGAAAGAGTTTTTGGTGAGCAATGCTGTTTTTGTCTGATAGCAAAGCATATTAATACAAATGATATTCCATCAGTACCCTAGTTACTACAGTAAACATATCTTCTTAGCATCAACGTACTTGAATGTATTCGTACAAGCAATAAGTGAAGAAGGAGAGTGCCAAACCTAAAATCTTCTTCACATTAGCTAGTCGAATCCTCTAATGTTATATTATATTTATTAATATCATAGAGAACATCTAACATTGACTTGGACTTCCAAAACTTTTATTGATTTGCGGCTTGATACCAGACGACTCTGGCAATGATTGGTAGCACCTTTGAAATACAATAATGCTTTATGCCTAAAATGCTTGTAAGCCCAACAGCAGCATTATTTGCGATGACAATTTCTTATCCTTTTTTGCTTTCAGTGGTACTGTACGCTGTTTCTGCGGTGTATTTCGCCGGTGTTATGGTTCGTTTGATGCTCACATTGACGCCAGTTGTATGCATCCTTTCTGCTATCGCATTTTCTTCCACTTTTGATATCTACCTGGATGACAGAGAATCCTTCGCCACTGTCGAAGAAGACACTACAACGTCTTCAAAACGACCCATCATTCCTGATATCGGTAAGAAGAAGAAAAAAGAGAAGGAAAAAGAAAAGGACAGAGATATGAGTGCCATGGTTTGTAATCTATTGCCTATATTATCTATTATCTACAGATATGTTTATATCTATAATATCTACTTTCTAAAGCATCTAGAAATTATGTCCGTTAAAGCACTGTATTAAAGTTGGAATTTGCTTCTTATTTGTGCAATTTTTTTAATAAGTTCTAGAAACGTTTGCAAGAGTCACAGTTCGTTGACCACTGTCCCTACTGGATGCATAAACGTTGTTTATTTAAGAATACTTCCCGTTCTGTGCTGAAAATGTTCTGTTTCAAGCAAATTTTGAATATTACCAGGATGCATGTAACTAGAATAATATTAATATGTTTTTACGCCTGATTTGGGATTGAGCTTTTGAAAATAAAAAGGAGACTTAAAGCGTAAGGGCGCACGAATGAAAAGTCGATTTGGCTTCTCCACGTTTGTATCTTCATGTTGCTTGCTTCGAGTTTGTATCTTCAACATGATAATAGCTGCTCCTTATCTACGTTCTAGCTCCTTAGCTCTTCACAGCAGCAGCATGAGAAATCTCCCGTCGAATCAGAAGCCGGTCGAAGTAACCAGCCTGAAGATAACGCAATAGGCTCTCACTTGAAGACCATAACTGTGATGTTCTTGCTGATTTTGCTCATGTTGTTTGCGATTCACTGCACCTGGGTTACAAGCAATGCATACTCAAGTCCCTCAATTGTGCTTGCTTCTACAAATTATGATGGGTATTGTTATTAACTTATACTTTTTATGTCAATGAAATGTACTTGATGTACCAGAATGTCTTATGACAACTTATTGGTATCAATATGCAGCTTTGAAACGCATCAATTCCACCTTTCACCCTTGCAGCAGGAAGCAGATAGTTATCACCTTGTTACACCATTTCAGCAGTTTCCATCTAATGAGGAGCTTTTTTTATCGTTCGAATATGATGTCAAACTTTGTTAGTGTTGGTTTTCTTTTAAAGCTTATTCAATCCGTTTCCTTTTGCATACATTGTATGAAATATGCTTTCATATTATCTTCTGATGAACTGGCTTGTTTTTTAGGAGTCGCAACATTTTAGATGATTTCCGAGAGGCTTATTTTTGGTTGAGGCAAAACACGGATGAGAGTTCAAGGTAAGACCATCGATAGAGTGCTTAACTTTTATCTTGAATATTTAGTCATCCATCAGTGTAAAACTTTAAGTTAAACAATCAATTTTAAAAAGTTGTCTGTGTTAAGTCGGCATGTTCTTAAGATTAGACCTTGCAGGAACAACTAGGGCATAAATTCCCGCAGGACTTCTGCGGAAACTAATCACATCTAATGAAATAACCAATTTTTGTTTGTTGTAGTGTATTTGTAATCTTCATGTTATTTTCTTTAGGGTGATGTCCTGGTGGGATTACGGTTACCAAATTGCAGGCATGGCCAATCGGACAACGATGGTGGATAATAATACTTGGAACAACAGCCACATTGCTCTGGTGAGCTAATCAGTGCATTGTGTTTTTATTTCATAAACAACTGCCCCATGGTCGCCTACAATCTTACACGTGGCAGTCGAGACAAATCCCTAACCACTTATCATGTTGCAAGCAAGACCGATTATTGTACCACGACTGCAGAACAGTTCTCTCCATGCAGTTCTAATCTGCTTCTTTTTGCTGTTTTTGCAGGTTGGAAAGGCAATGTCATCGAATGAAACTGCGGCATACGAAATCATGCGCTCATTGAATGTTGATTATGTGTTGGTTATTTTTGGCGGGGTGATTGGTTATTCTGGCGATGATATCAACAAATTCCTCTGGATGGTGAGAATTGCGGAAGGAGAACATCCGAAAGACATTAAGGTAAGATCATTTGCATTCCTCTGAGAGAGAGGGAGAAGGGGAGAGAGGGAGAGAGGGAGAGAGGGAGAGAGGGAGAGAGGGAGAGAGGGAGAGAAGGAGAGAGGGAGAAAGGGAGTGAGGGAGTGAGGGAGAGAGGGAGAGAGAGTCAGTACTCAATGAGATGGCAGTAATCTTTTGCAATTGTCTTGCTTCTCTCCCGGTATGCAAGTTCCTTTTCAAGGTCTGATGCTTCCATTCATTGTAACAGTCAAGGAAACACGTTCTCCGTTTTCTATTACAAATACATTTGTATTGTTTTTAAAATAGTTAACCAGATTGGTTAAATGTTGGGGACTAGTTGGGGTCCTTAGCCTTCCCCTGCTTTTGTGGTTTATTGATATACGTCAAGAGGGCATTTTCTATCATATTTTCAAATCCATTTCCCTCCATATTGTATTTTTTTAAATGGTACATCAGATTGATTATATACATTTTGGAATTTAATGTAGGGGCCAACCCCCTTTGCTTTAATGGTTTTGCTCGTGTTTATGTTTTATTGTACTTCAAGATTTGTGTAAACGGCAATGTTATTGGCACTCGAGCAAACCTGAGCCTAGTTATCATGAAGCATGGTATAATTTCCTGATAAATCAACTGCCTATCCAAATCTCAAATTCTCTTCCAAATGAGATATATAGATCGATAAATGCTTCTCAATTCAAGATGCTCATGAAATATTTAAAAAAGTCACAAAATGCATCACATGCTAAACTAGGATGAAAAGGTGTCTTGTTGATTGATAACATCTGCAGTCTTTAGTTTTCGCTCTTTTATCTGTCAGTCGAAAAGCTACAGTATGTTTAAAAATGATTGCTTTTTTCAAAGCCGATTTTAAACACTGTACCGCAAAAACTTATTAGCAGATAGCATTTGCGTTAGCTGGATTGACTTGCAATAGAGTATACCCCATCCGCTACTTTATATGTATCGCCTCACGCCTACTCGTCGTAGCTACTTACTCTCGACTGGTTGCTGCCTTTAAAGTTTTCCCAAATATAGGGATCGCCCTGTTTCAAAATAGCCTTTTTTATCATAGGAATCAGACTATTTCACCCCACAAGGCGAATTCCGTGTCGACAGAAGTGGTTCACCAACACTATTAAACTGCTTAATGTACAAGTTATGTTACTATAGATTCGGTGAAATGCAGGTATGTGAATACAGTTCCATAATGATATCCTTAGAGCAGATTGCATTGATGTAGAACCTAACATGCAAGAGTTGCATATTCTTCTGTGGCTACTAGTCCCGGCCTTCTTTGCCTTTTGTAAGTTATGTAACAGTTTTTAGTCTTTTGAAATAAAATCTTAAAATATCTACCTTTGTACGGTCCTGAGTTTAGTAGTTTTTTTAGACATAGACTAATATTTCTCCTAACACCCTTTCTTTTGCTTTGTTAAACGAATTTGTGCTTACATATTGTTTTGTCTTTATTAAAAGCAAGTCATTGATGTTGTAATACCCCAGTGCTGAAGTCGGCTACATTGGTTATTAATCGACCGCCATTTTCTTTCAGCTTGATTTCAGAGCACCCTCTGGTTACGATCGTACACGAAATGCTGAAATCGGTAATAAAAACATAAAGCTAACACATTTGGAAGAGGCTTACACCACAGAGCACTGGCTCGTGCGAATTTACCGGTAAATATTTTTTTAGTAATTATATCACACATGTAGCGAGCTTTCTTCTTCTCATTTTCAAGCCGAACATATACTCCTGTGGTTTTGTAATACGAATGGAACTTATTTTCAATCAAATGTTTCGTGTTCCAAATTTTGAAGATCGTTAGTGAGAGTTGATTTCGTAAAAGAGGCTCGACAGATTGAGAGCCTTGTTGTCTTTTAGATAAAAACGCTTGAATTTCAACGTAATAAATTGTATTGGCGATTTTAAATCAATCAAATATAAAAATATATATGTATATCATAGAGTTTCTCATCTCACTCATCTCCTGAAGAGTGAGTTACTCACGAAACAGGCTTGTAGAGATAAACCATGTAGTCTTATTTTCTTCAACTCTATGATATATCACGCTCTAATTGCTAACGTATTGAGCACTGTGCTACGGAAGTATCAAAAGACAAATTTCTAAATATATATGTATATTTATATCTCGAACTCCTAGTATTTTCATTTGTAAATATCATTTCAATTTACTAATTCTTATATTGTTGTAACATTCTTTGACACGAAATTAGTCCACCTGTATCTGAATGATTTATAGCATTGATTTTCGCTTTTTGTTAAAAAGCACATTCTATAGATTTACAAAGCTTAAACCGAAACTAAAAAGTGACATGCTGTCTCCCTGTCCAAACTATAGATATATCTTTGTTATTTCTTCTTTGACAGAGTAAAGCCTCTAGATAACAGGCCAAAGGGTAGTGTTGCTGTGAAGAAAGGGTCAAAGGCGAAATCGAAGTCATCCTATTCCAGCTACAAGGTATTTTATGCCTCATTCTCTTATTAATCTTTTTATATATTTTGTTTCTCCATTTTCGGCTAGCGGGTAACCCCATTTTTTCATCATCCTTCTGCTCTCTGACCTTTAGAAACTTTTGTTGGATTTTACTGAGCTCGTTATCCAATAGTCCTTTGTATGTATCTTTTAATATATTTTGGATGACAGTAAAATAATGCTGGCTCAACAATAAAATTTTAATAATTGTTCTTATGTTTATGTTATCTTTAAGCTACTGATTTATTTCAGGGGCGCTATGGCAAGTCGGGTTACATCAAGAACAAGACAATCGTCAAGTTAGGCAAGCGCTTGAAGAAAAGGAAGTCAAAAAAGTCCCGCAAAGCAAAGGCTTAATATAGCTTGCGTCATCAAGATTAAATGAAGGACTAAGGCGAGGGTCTTCTTTTCTAGATGTAGATGCTTTTAATTTTTTTTCTTTAGATTCGCTCTATCAATTAATACGAAAAGTTTTCCTTGGTAACAATCGCTCCTTTTCTGCCTGCGAGACCCAGCCCTGATCACGATAAATTTATAGCATTTCAAAGCGTACGTATTTTTTGTGCGAAGCTGAAATTTGCCTAAAATTGCAAAACATTGAAGAAAGATGAATAGGCTGAGAAAGTCCAATAAACAATTGGTTCGTTTAGCATGTGCGTTTCGATATTTTCCTCTATTCTATTACAGCCGGCATGTTTTTAAAGACTAGTCTTTTTTCAGTCTATCATCTAAATGAATAAAATGTGCCTTTATCATCTTTGTATTAGGTAGTATTGAAATAAAGTGTTTTCTCCTCAACTACAAATTTGTCACATTTATACCATGACTTAGTCTCTAGTATAATTTATATCTTTGAATTTCGCTCTTTTGCAATTGGGATTGTTAATGATCAGTGCTGCACAGAAATCGTAACTTAGATAAGTCCTTTAATTAGACTCGAGGCAGTGTAACTTTTGATACCTCCTACTAAAATGTTATGCATATGATTAACTTCAGGCACTTAGTAAACTTGAGGTAAGCTGTTCGTGCTACATTTTCCTAGCTCAGTCTTGGCAATACAAAGCTACAGCGTTACCCATATTTGCCCAAAGACTCGGTCGAGGGGTTTAGCGACAATAGTTGCCAACTGGAGGTCCCTGAAACATGAAAGGCTGCCCTCGCTTCTTTTTAATTCATTGATTTAGATTTTTAGAAAATGAGATCATAAAAACCTATTGTGGGTGATCTAAAGTTTATCAAAAGAGTAAAATTTCTTTCTTTAATTTTACCAATGATATAAGTGAGCTAAATATTGCATACATCTAGTAATTTCTTGAGTCGATTCGCAAATAATTCAGTGGTAAGTTTCTTGGTAAAGATTTTCTTATAATTTAGATACCAGTTATGAGAAAATTGTGACAATTCATTGGTATTGTCTATCGAGCTACTACTTTATTTTGCTACAAAGATTTGAACAAGTCAGACATTCCAAATCGTAACGAACTTTGTCCTGCATCCAATGTAAACAAGGCATAGCTTACACATTGCTGCTACTTGTGATGTTATTTTTGTATGCAAACGGAAGAAAAGTGCAATATATGTCAAGAGCATGTTAAACAATACCAAGGCACATGCCATTGCTAAGTTTTACCTTGGAGCGAAGATGCCTTAGTGGTTACGGTCGAGATTCCAGATCCAAGGGTCTGGGCTCCAAGTCATTGACATGTCAAATCCCTTATAAAGTGTATAAAGTGTGACCTATGTCTGTCGTCATAAAATCAATTGCATGAGCATTGCCATATTGTTCAAAACGAGGCCGTAAGTCATTTTTTTTATAAGAAACTGGCTATAAGAAACGAGTACTGGATAGTAAGAAAAAATTAGGAAACTTCAGTACTCGAAGCAAAAAAATTAAGAAGCTATTTAATCGTGATAAAACTGAGAACAACGAAATTTTGTAAAATCCAAGAACAAGATTTGGCCTAGAACTTGAGACACAAGGGATAAAAATGTACTTCCCACATCTAAATGACCTAAATACAGCATCGGAACGGAAGCGAATCTCTTGACAAAAGGTCACAAACATTTCATAACATCATTCATGACATCATAATTGAGAAACTCTTGACAACAATGAGTATTGAAGTTTGCAGAACATTAAGAAATTGGAGTACTCAACATCGACATTTGTTTACTGTGAAAATCTTAAAAAACGTCTTTAAAAGCCTGTACAACTTTAGCTCACACCCTTTTATTTTGGTCCATCGATTAGGTATAACATTACTACATAGAATAACAACTTTTTACAATCTAATGCACTAACTCTGAGGATAGTTTGTATTGGTTTTTGCACGAGTGTAAAGCTAATGGCCCGCGGGCCAAACCGCAGGTAATGATTTTTAGAGTAAAAGTGCATTAGTAACGAGAACTGAAATTTCTATGACAGACTCGCAAACAGTAAGTTGCATTACCGTAAATCCTCGAATAAGCCCCCACCTAAAAATCATTCTTGCAAATAACCCCACCCCCTAATAGAAGCATGATTGCAGAATAATATCTTATTTCAAGAAAGCCCCCACAGAACAATAGCTATACAGTACTTCCTTTGACTGGAGACCAAAAAGCAAAAAGCAACTCTTGTGATGATAATTAAATAATAACAATATTTGTTAGATCTTCATACAGCACTTTCTAACTCTTTTAATGATATCAGTCGACTTTTGAGGAAAATACCAAACTTTGAAATAAGCCCCCCCCCTCCCTCGAATAACACCCCACCCAAAAATTCAAATTATCTACATTCTACAAGTTGTCATGCAAATGGCAGGTTTCGTAGCTTATTCACGATTTTCAAGTTCATTGCATTTGTAATTTTATTTGTTTATTTTTTTCAAGATATCATAATAAAGTATAAATCAAAGCACATTTGTTCAGTGGTGTTTTCGTTGATGTAATGCCTCGTCTAAGTCTTAGATTCTTCCATCCGCTGTCGAAGGCGTTGTCAATAATGGGCTAAAATGGTGTATCTTTTCGCTGTAACTCGATTAAACCCACTGATCAGTGATTTTTTTCACATCACTTTTTTGCAGATCAGTGATATATTTTTTTATAGGGAATCTTTTCGAGGGGGATTATGTGGGGGGGGGGCTTTTTCGATGATTTACGGTCGGCTGAGGTCACCACTAATCTAGTGAAGGTCACACGCTCAGGGAATCCCTCGGGATGTCACTTTGCAGCCTCTTACTGGCTGTGAATTTATTCACTTCTGAATGGAGGCTAAATTCGTCATCTTCACCTTTTCACGTTCCTCACATTCATGGTTCAAGAAATGGCGGACTCAAGTAAGTGTTTCGTAGAACTTTTCTTTTTAAGGGGTAGAATACTAACTGATCTTTTACTATCAGGTGCTTTTAATATACCGAATTTTTTTCTAAATCTATTTTAGAAATAAGATGGCCTTTTTTAAAAGATCAAAGCTTTAATACTTAACTTCCTTTCCAATCGGTCGATTCGAGTTTAAGTGTCTCACATTTGTAATTCATTAAAAGGTTCTACGTTAACAATGTTTTTAAAATTTTGGATGCATGACTTTTTCTTTTTATTACCGTATCTTCTAGGATTCTGCCTATTTAGTTGAGGCTGCATTGTTTGTTTCTTTCCTGATTTAATCGGAAGTAAGTTCTGACCAAGAGTTTAGAAGTCGCATCCTTTTCTTTCTCGTCCCAGTGAAGTTTTATCGTGTCTTTTTAGACCAATCGGAGATATAAGAAAAGACAGTTGAGGTTTCATATCAATAATGTTCTGGAAAAACGATTTAAGAAGGCACTAACAATTTGGCCTAACAACCTAGCATGCTTCATTTTTAACCGAACCGTTATTGTTTCCTTTTGAGTTTAGTTTTCATTTTCTTCTTTTTATTGAATTCAATTTAATTAGTTGAAAACTAGGATGTGAAAAGTTTCAGAAATAGTAGCCTATAGCTGATATGCAGGAACGATACAATTGAAGCATATTTCTTATAATTATTTGTCTCACTTTCTTGAAGGTGTGGGCCTACCTAACTGATAAGCTCTTCAAATACTTCTGGGTTCATTCTAAAGAATTAAAAAAATCTGCCTATTGTAGCGTGACTTCTTTAGCTAAAAGATGGTATTGCCCTTTTCTTTCAATTTCTGGTTAATTTTCCCTATCCTAAATCTTTTTTATATTTCTGTTATATTATCTTTTGTCCCCTCTGTAGCAAAATTTGCTTTAGTAGCTGTGATTTTAACAGTAATAGGCACCAGAGACTTAGAGCAGCCTTTTCTGCAGATTTTGATAACAGACTATGAAATTTTTCTTTCAACAGAACAAAAACAGCTATGCTTGATAAATTTCTTTTTTTTTCTTAAAACTTCCACAGTGAAAAAAATTTCCTTTGCACCAATTAATTCCCTTTCAAAAAACTGGTTTTGGTTTTGTCTACAGTTTCAACTGTGCTAAAATTTATTTGTATTGAAATGTTATTTTTATTTGTGGCAAATCCTTTTAATTTTTGTTCAAATGGCACTAAAATAGGCTTTCAGACACAAATATCAAAGTTTCCAGTCTTGCATGCCTAGTTTTTCCTCCAAAAATATGGCTGCACACTCTAGAGCTGGTAGTATTATGGAAGTTTCAATTTTAATGTGTGCCTTCTGAATATTTTAGCTTTTATGAATTATTTTAGTATTATGAATGCAGTTTTCTTACACACCAGGTTTGCTCCTTTTGTTAAGTCATAAGCAAGGGAAGGTAGTTTAAATTTCTAAACCTGAATTATCTCTATCACACTTAAGATCTTGTTTTGTACATACACCAGTAGTGTGTAATAGACCAATGTAATGTATACTGGGTCAGTGGAAATTTATGATTTAGAATCTCTCTTTTCATATCTTAAAATATATTTGATTTTGTAAGATTTGTTGAAAAACACTTCTTTTTGTTGCTAATCTGTGTTTAATAATGTTTTAACTAATATTGGAGTTTTTTAGGTTAATATTTTGAATTCATAATGTAAAACTTAGAAATTTTCAGGAAAGCAAGTTCTTTTAATGTTCAGATTCTGTGAATACCTCTATAAAGTTTAATAAAGGATTTATTCTACTGTCTACTTTCATTGAGTATGGCACTGTCTAGTGTATATTTTTTGACAAACATAATCAAAGTCCGACTAAGAATTTTTGGTAGAGAGGATGGCCTTATGGTTAAGTGACATGAAAAAAACGGAAAAAATGGTTTGAGTGTCAGAAATCAAATACAATAAAGCTCCTTAAAATAGATTTCAGCAGAGCAATAACTGCTGTCTGTACCAGTGGCTCAGTTCATATTTTAATTTCACTGCTTACAGGTATAATAACTATATCATTCCATTGTCAATAATAACTATACAATAAATTAACTAAGCTACAAGAAATATTTACAGAAAATTAATACCTCATTTTTGGCAAATAAATGAATTTTTCAAATTGGAAAACAAGAGCAATGATGAATTATGCAAAGGGGTGAAGGGAGGCCTTCAAATTTGCAGTAATGAAGAAATTTATACTGTTACTATTTTTAGGTGTCCATTAGTGGAGGTTTGACTGTAAGACAAAATGGAAAATATCAGTCCCAAATATATGTGATAAAAATTGGCAGGCTAAAGCCCTACACCTATCCCTTTAGTTTCTTTATCCATTTCACCCTCATGTAGTATTTGAAGCCAGCAGGTTATTTTTCTTAAAATTTTACCTTTCATCATCCAGTATTTCAGGGTCCCAGAAGCCATGTCCCTCGACCCTGGGTTATTTTCAAAACCCTTTGTCGGGTGTTATAACCATGTAGCTTCAACTTTTTCTCTAACTTTTACTACCTATGCCTTTGACAGACTGAGCACCTTACAATTTTTAGGTGCTCAATTGAGAACTCAGAAAGATATGGCTTAATCAGATAGATTTCTTGTTTAATAAGTAGCCAACAGTGGTTTGAAAATAGAGATTTGTTGGCTCAAAATGCAAAAAGTAAATTATGTTTGAATGTTGTGATGTGTGATAATTTATTTGTCATGATTATGAGATATATAATGAATTAAACATAAATGAAATACATCCAAGATGAAAATGTTGGTGTGATCAGGATGTATGGTCTACAAACAAACTGCCTTTGTACATTTGCCAATTTGGAGCTTTGTCATTTCAAGTATAATATGTTTGCAATTCATTTTGAAGAATGTCAAAACAAAAATATTACCAAATATTATCAACTTTTGTCAATAACCAAATTTGGTTTCTTGCATTTAGTTTTAGAAGTGCCTCTCCTTGCAAGGCATGAATTTTTGGGAGTAAATTTCATTCATCAGATCAACCTTACTTTGGGTAAACTGCTTAAAAAAACTGAAAAATGTTTTGAATGAAAGCTACTGCTAAGCCTGGTTCATATTGGTGTTTAATCAACAACCTTTGAGTAGTTTTGCCCCCTAAATTGTCATACATTAGCTCATATTAAAGAAATATTTTTATGTTTTCCCAATAATATTTAACTTTTTTTGCAAAGATGCCTAAATTTTTTTAAGTGTTGAATGCAAGAAATTGCCAAAAAATTTATAAAATCTGCTACCTAATGGTTCTAATTATTTTGTTCTTTTTGCAATTAATACACCGCCTCATTTCAAAATGAATTTATGCATCCAATGCAGCCTGAACAACCCAACACTTGAAATGACTTATACTGTCAAAATTCCAGATTGCTGGATGTGATCTAAGACCATTTTAGGGTACTTAATATTGGGTCTCATCACATACAAATTAGATTTAAAAAGCTGGCATTTGGGACAAAATCACCCCAGAACTGCTTTGTTATGTCACAGATGATAAGGGCCCCAAAACCCTTTCTTGCTTATGAAGTGTGTTTCAAATAGCAAATGAAGAGTGCAAACCTCCAATTCCAATAGATAGCTTAGAGCTTTCAGTGGAGATCACAATTTCTGTGCAAACATAAGCACTTGCCTTAGTATTGTGTTTAACAGCTTTATTTAAATTATGCCATTACAAGCAACACCTTCCCCGCATTGGGTGGTCATGTGAATTTGAATATACTGATTTCTTGCCAATTGAGCCAAATAGACTGAATGATTGTAATTCTCAGTTTTCTAATTAACGGTAGCTTCACGTTCTAAATGGTTTTTGATACTATGTACATACCTAATTGTTCCTTAAAACTCACCATTGCCAGGTAAAAAGGGAAAAAAGAAGAAAGGAAAGACACTGAATCTCAATGAGTTTCTTTCCTCTGGTGATGGTAAACAAGCAGCAACATTTGCAAAGAAAAAAGCTGTTGACATTGAGGAAGATGACCAGCATGCTGGTATGTTGTTGAATATAGCATTTTGCTAAGCAACTTTGTATGTTTCCATTAATTCTATGAAGTTTTACATTACTGTTTGGTCACACATAAAGTCCTTTTTATGCAATAATTATTTCATATCTGAGTTGTCTTGGTTATGCACTATCCTTGAACCTTATCTCAAGCACATCTGTCCTGCATTGGTTGTGCTCTAAACACATTAAAATCAGGTGCTTCAATTGTTGCTCTGAAGTTGTGAAGGTCGATTTTTTGGCTTTTTGAAATTTCTTTTGCCCTTCTAGTAATAAAGTCAGAACATCATTATTTTAATATGATGGTTCATTTCAAAGTTAATATTTTTGGTCCTTAAAATTTACAAAGATAGATGAGTCTTCTTGTTGGATTTAGGATTTACAACTTGGTTATTAAAATGATAATAATTAGATGGACAGTAAGTTCCCAGATCAATGTTGTCAGTAAAATTAGACCAAGCTCCTCCTTGGAATGATTAACCTGTTTAAAAATACTTTCTTTGATTGCAATATGCAATCTTTCAGGCTCAATTACACAAATTTTCAATTTTTCAAAATGAAAATTATAGAGAAAATGATAAACTACACAATATGGATCAATTTTTTTAATAATTACAAAAAACTCTAAATTAGTTATATTGCTATATAAGACATGACTCAAATCAACCATACCAACTGCTTTATTGCTGGTTGCAGCATTTGAGAAACTTCTATTTAAATGAAGTTTTTTATCAAATACATTTTGACAGCCATGTTTCAAAGTCTTTGAGAAAAATGTTTATTCTTCCTCTGGACGAAACTCTCAAGGTGGATAAACCTTACACAAATTATAATGAGATCAAGGCAGTGCCTACCTCATTTCCATTGACTGTGTGGCCCTGGTAATGTCATTCACAGTAGGATGTTTTCTAAAGACTGTTGTATTTTATCTAATTTTATTTATTTTTACAATATTTGTAGCATATGACAGTGAAGAAGAAATAAAGAAGGAAGTTTTTGATTTAAGTGCACTTCCAACTGCACCTCGTGCATCAAGAAGCGCAATTGACCCAAAGAGTCTGCCGTCTGGGCCACCATACACCGCATTTCTTGGAAACCTCTCATATGATGTTGAAGAAGATGACATAATAGAGTTCTTTGGAAATCTCAAGGTTTGTTTTCCTCAGTCTGTTTTCAGAAGTATTCAAAAATCTCTTCTTGCAAATAACAGTGACTTAGAAGTGCCTGTATTAGTATCAGTCCATTTTGTGACATATTCAGACAAAAAAGACACTATGTGTTGTGTATTTAACAACAGTTGTACCACAATTCCTGACGGAATTCCCCTCCTTTAGCTCATTCCACTGATGAAAAAGAACGCTTTGATATATAAAACTTTTTTGCATTGTATCCTCTTAGAAAACTAGCTTGTTGACTGCCCGTGTCTTAATGAAATTGTCTTTTTGTCTCTTAACATTGAAAAAGGTTTTCGTTTTGTTCTATAAAAATTTCCTTTAATCCATTCAAATAAGTCTGCAGTGTCGCTGATAATCTCATTGTGTTTGATCCATACGATGTATGATAATCTTTGATACCATGAACTTAGTTGATTGTTTAATTTACAAATTTGAACTTAGTTGGCGTGACCTCAGAACTTTTTCGTATTGAAGTGAGGTAGAAATCAATTGATAATGGTGCCATTTTTACGCATAACCTTTTTTATTTTTGTAGTTGGACAAAGTTCGTCTCCCTAGGGAGGGTGATCGTTTGCGAGGTTTTGGATATGCAGAATTCGTAGACGTTGATTCGCTTGTAAAAGCTATTGAACTCAACAATGAGGTAAGCTAAGCTCACTCTTTATTCGTTTATCAATCTTTCTCTTGACTTAACCTCTGGTTATCTTAGCTATTTTTCCTTTCAATGACCAAATGTGATGATGTTTCACAGCGTGATTAATTCTAACTTACACATGTGACGATTTTAAATACCAACATCCTTTTTGTAGAATTTTGTAGAATACGTATCAGATACTTCGATGAGAGTTTTTGTTTGTCTTTTTGAAGTATTTGAAAGGGTAGGTCTTTTGTTAAACTCATGAAATGGGGACAAAGCTGTATAAACAGGCGTGAGCGATTTGATCTGTGTTTGTGGCCATGAAGGCTCCTTAGTTTAGATCAATAATAAACGTCTATACTTAATAGGGAAGTGCATTATTCTTGTCAGACCTTGTCTTCTGGGTTTGAACAATGTTTGAAAACACAGCATACTTCCAACTGGACTCTTCATACTAGCATACTTGAAAAATTGGCCCTGTTCAAACATACTTGGACTCATACACTAGATGGGAGGTTAGCCTATACCAATTGGTCACAATTAAGAAACCAATCAAGCTTGTTATTCTTCCTTATTCGTATTTCAGTTTCTGATTACTTTCAGTTATTTTCAGAAGTTTTTACCCCGAAGAGTGCCGGACGAAATTTTTTTTCATTTGTGAAATGTTTTTATGCGAGAATCATTTTTCTTTCAATAGACCCACATAATTGCTTTTATTTCTGTTTTTCTACCACGTTTGCATTAAGTAAGTACTTTAACAGCGACTTTTCTGTTTAGGCACTAAAAGGCCGTAGGATTCGTGTTGATATTGCAGAAAGTGGAGGCTCTTCTGGTACGTTACAAATAAAATGCTCACGAAATAGCTTTTTATTGTTTTTCTCGATCAATCGTGTGGGACGAAAACCTCTAGCATTTTCTGTTAAAGAAATACAAGTTAAAAAAGAATTTTCAGCCCATAATATTTCCTTTGTCGTAATGTAGGCTTTAGATCCAAAAATTTGTACACAAACTACAATCTGATTGCATTTAATTATATCTATTTACACACGGTTGTAAGTTTTTATAATGAGAAACCTTTGATAGATTTTTCTTAATCATTGTTCTTGGAAGTACCACTATAACCTTATTGTTAATGTAATTACGTTACACGAGATATGAAGCTCATTCTACCATTGAACAGCATTAGTATCCATAATAAAGCCTGGTTTTCATATGATCGCTGAGGATCGCTGAAGATCGCTGAAGTTTTGTAACGATCATATGGAAACCGTAGTTAAAACGTCCAGCGATCCTCAGCGATCGTGAAAGAAGTGAGTTCTATTCCAGCGATCGTGAACGATCCATAAAGATCGTAAGATCACAGAGTCAGAAAATCTAGTGATCCCGAGCGATCATCAGCGACCCTCAGCGATCATCAGCGATCCGCAGCGATCATCAGCGATCCGCAGCGATCATCAGCGCTCCGCAGCGATCATCAGCGCTCCGCAGCGATCCTAAACTCCAGCGATCCTCAGCGATCCTTAGCGATCATATAGAAACCAGGCTTAACTTTTTCGTTCAAATTTTACAGCTAATATTATACACAAAAATGACATGGTTTTGTTTTGAAAAAAGACTTTCTTTGCATCTTTGTTTTTATATTTGTGAATTTTATACTTTTGTATACTTCTGTATTTTTGAAATACACCAACTTTCTTCTTTATTTTTTAGAGGGAAGAGAAGACAGTCGAGAAGACAGGTCTACAGACTGGAGAAGAAAGGACCCTGGGGATTTTGAAAGGCGGCCATTTGAAAGGTTTGCTTGTTTTAGGGTCAATTCTACTAGGAATACTTTTTCTCAGTATGGCATACAAACTATCCGAAATGTGAATTTGTAATTGTTGCTCCAAGGACCTCAGGGGTTAACCCCAACTTTACTGTGTATATGAAAAACTTGAATATTTGGCAAGAGGAGTTTTTTGGTAGTAAGCTTTAAAGGACTGCTATGATCATCTCTTGTATGCTAGCTTCTGATTTTCAGAAATAAGTAACGAACAGGTTTGATTTTTCCATAGATGAACATTACGAGTTTAAGTTTTTCTTATTTTGTTCGTTTTTTGTCTTCGTGGTAAAGACCCGTCTTAGATATCTAAAAGATTTTGTCATTTTTTTAAGGTCAAGAGATGGTGGGAGAATGGATCGTGGCGATGGCGACAGCCCTTGGCGTAGTTCTGAGGCAGATGATGCTTCAACTTGGAGAAGAGGCGAGTCTTTCGAGTCTTCGAGGGCAGAGCCGAGACGGTACGAGTCGAGAGGGCAAAGTGATCGCTCGTGGGGCGATTCAGCTGCCGATAGTGAATCTACTTGGAGGAGGGGATCCCCTAATCGATCAGATGAACGTGCGAGATTTGGTAACCGCGATGGCGATAGAGGAGGTCGTGTAGGAGACAGAGGAGGTTTTGATGGGGAGGCAGACACAGCCTCGAGTTGGAGGAGTGAGCCTTCTTCTTACAGGGGTAGGGAAACAACAGGTCAAGATAGCAGACCTCAGCTTGCTGATGAGAATCCCTGGCGGAGACCGAGTAGTGACAGAACTGAGCCACAGCAGCAACCAGCTCAAGGTTAGTTCTTTTATCTCCTTCTGTAGATCGGCATGCCAGTTACAATTTCAATTTGATAATTTTCTTGTGTTGTTAGCAACTAAATAAAAGCAGCTGCTTTGTTTAAGACGTAATTCAAGCAACGGTTGACGAGCAGATCCTTCCTAGTTCTAGAGGAGGCAGATTAAGGACAACGAACTCTTTGTGCTCATAAAGTGAGTTAGGTCACAGTGTATTGCCAAAAATGCAACTTCGGGCAGCCGCGGGGAAGGGCAATTTGCCAAGCAATGGGCTAGAGAAATAGTTGTGTTATTGTAACGTGACAAATTGATAAACTGTTTCCTAATGATACAGTTTCAGTTGTGCTGTTCATTCACTTTCGTCTGATGATAATGTTTTGATGTACTAAAATCAGCATTGTTTTATCTTCACTGGAAGTCGGTTTTACAACTTTTCCTGGCTTCTTACAGATGATCAAATCACCATCCCATCTATCCATATAGTATCTATAGAGATTAGGGTTTTATTAACCAAGATTTTTGCCTTTTAGAAGCTCAGAGAGAGCGCCCAAAACTCAACTTGAAACCAAGGACAGTTGTCGATGCAAGCAAAGAAGGATCAACCTCGACCTCTTCTATTTTCGGAGGGGCTAGGCCAGTTGACACTGCTACAAGAGAGAGGGAAATAGAGAAGAAAATTTTACACTCAGAAGACACAGATGCAACCAAAACTACGCAAAATGGTTCAGTAGGGTCCGAAGAACCACATTCAGATCCCAGTGTTTCGGATCGAAAACCAAGCCCCCAAGCCAAGGACGTTCAACGGCAAGGTAGAGTTGATGATGCTCCTGCACGTAACAAGGAAGGAGCATGGCGATCACTTGGACAGGAAGGTAGTGTAGGTCGCATTGAAAGTTCGGAAAACAAAGAAAATAGAAATGATGTTGACAAAAAAGGAGACGAACCACAGCTGCCTCATTATGAAGAGGCAAAAGCTCCTGTGAGTAGCGTCATATTTTCTAGATATTGTTGAAGGTTCTGAAGTGTCATAATAAAGCTATTTCGTAAGTATATGCCAAGATGCTAATGTTTATCGTCTAGATTTGTGCTATTTTCATAGTGTTACTAACTTGAATATGTTTCGAGAATCTTCAGTAAGGCCTTGCAAAGTTTATGTACCTTATTACTGTTCCTGTTTCTGTTATGAAAAATTTAGTACTTTTGCTTGTCCCATTCTTCTTTATTTTGCTGCTAAAAGCACTGACATGAAATTGAGTGTCATTTGCCCCCTCTTCAATCTAACTTATCGTAAGTTCCAAACATATTTTGCTGAATCGTTTTAAAGCCAGGCCACTATTATGATACCTTGTTTTTATCAACAGGTTTTCGTCCAGAAGAGTATCTACTCAGTTCTTGCAGATGAAGAAGGCTCGAATGAAGAAGACTAAAGGAATTAGATACGATGATAAACCAGTGATAAAGCGAGGCAACCCAACTTTGCGGCTAACAGTCGTCCATGATGTATCATTCTGACAAGACTGGCATCAATTGGACACTTATTCTCAATTTTTTCAAGAAACGCTGTTATTATATTTTAAAAGGTTTCACAACAGTCTCAATACTTTCGAAAAGCTTCTAATAAAAGCACGAATTTAAGCATTTTCTTGTGAATCAGGCTTACCCTTATAATTGTATCACTCCCCACAAACTAAACGTTTTCATATTTGAAATTCACTAACGATTAAAATATATATACCATCTTCGTGGCCTACTTTTTCCAATGAGGAATAATGGACGTTTCATTTTAGGAATCATTTCAATGACAGAAGTTGCGTTTTAATGACTTTCTGCTTCGAAATTAATTGTGTGTTTTCAAGCTCAAATCCGTTATTTTATTCCTCCATGTATACTTTGTCGAATCGCTGCAGTAAACTTGAACTTTATTTGCTGTAGCGTTACTGTGTTTTCGTTGGTTCTCAGTTGGTTTGTTGGAAAAACCGTAAGTAGGGAATTCCGTCATCACAGCATTTGTTTTGTAACGGTTTTCAAATGAGATTTGCTGCAAGGTAGGATGATTCGGTAAAGATCTAGGGCTTTTGTTTTGCCCAAGCGAATAACCATCCTACAAAGTGTTTTGTTATCTAAATGCCATGGGTAAAAATCGCACAGAAAACAGAGTTATCACATACTTGGGTATCTCACCGACAGTCCTCAGTTTACGGCCAATGGAAAAAAATCATACTTTTTTTATCATCCAACGTTTTATAATCTAAGTATTGTCGGTAACAAAGTACTCAAGTGTTCTATGATTTTGTTTTTCCTTTCGATTATGAAATTTTTCAAAAGGCTTTTTAGCATTTGCTAGACATGCTCTTCTGGGCAGTAAGGAAAAAGTAGCTGATGATGGATGTTTTGGTAGGAATTTGTCGTACGTTTGTGATATCATCAATGAATTAATTCCTTGTTTCCAGATGCCTCCTTCCTTATGTTGATTTCTTTGTTTTCATGCACTGCCGGTGATTTTAATGTAAATCCTCGAATTAGCCCTCAGGAGTTCTTAAGTAGGGCAGGGGTTCTTAAGTATTTTGAGTGCCCAACCGAAAAAATATGTGGATTTTCTTCCGGGGGCTAATGTGTTTTCAACATTTACGTAGCTTGTGTGTAAATGTGGGGAGCTACAAGCTACTAACTATAGCATAGTATATCCAAAAATATTCTACATAAAAGTACGAATTTTTTAAGGTTATGACTTATTTGTCAGGGGCAAAGGTTGAGTTGATGCCCTAGAAGTCAGGTCCAGAGACGGTCAAAGAAGGACCAAAATGTAATGATTGTATCTGTGTTAAATAAAAGCCCCCCCCCCCCATTGTTGGCGACAAGAAAATTTTTAGAGTATGTTAATCTAGAGATGACAAGAAACTGCATCTAAAAAGAACTTATCAGAAGAAAATCGAAGACTTTTCTCATTTTTTTTATATTTAGGTTCCATTGTTTTGAATATTTTGATGTTGACATGAAAAGGGAGGGTCTTGCAAAGTTTTTAGGACTACTGAAGTATATCAGCGTATAAGATGGGGAAGAGAAGTAAATAGAAAACAGTTTAGCAATATACATTAGCTTGTGCCCCAGTCCACAAATGCTACCACATATGCTAAAAGCATGAACTAGATAAAATCTGATCGCAGAAAGTGGGATAAGGGGCAACCCCGTAGCTGTAGATTTCTGCTGGGTGGGCAGATTCGAGCAAGAACTATACCTGAGGGGGGACAAGCTTTTAACACAAAAAGCAAATAAATATCAAAAAGAAATATTTAGACCAAGTCAAGCTTACAAAGCCACTATAAGTGAAAAACAGAACAATGAATCAATTACAAAATGTCAAAAAAGGAAACTGCACGTTTTTCGTAGCCATTCAGTTAAAAATTCTTCAAAAGATGAAGCTCGAGTTAGGTTTTTTTGAAAAAAGGTGAGTCAAGGCACTCTGACGAAAAGGTGTGCTGCACTCTTTTTATAAGAACCAGTAAATTTAACCTCAGGCTAACTGTTCTTCGTTTTTTCGAAAATCTGAAGCTGAGTTGTTCTTATTTGGTTCTTAAGTTAATATGGTGTAAGCAGTGCAATTGTCAGCTTTTTTTCACTTTTCAGAAATCCCCTCTTCTAAAGCAATAATCCAGCAGAATTTTAATTATGCCATTTTTCAAAATATCATTTAGAAAAACTGTAGCCAGAGGGGGGAAATTGCTGTCAAAATTTTCAGTTTGGGGCACAGCCCCCCCGTGCCCCCTGCAGCTACGTGGCTGGTAAGGGGCGAAGTCACGGTGAGCACGTCAACGACCACTTGAATTAAATGATTAACTAGAGCATTTCCTGTTAATGTTAATGGTAAGGATAATGTAAGGATTTGTTCAATGAGCTATGGCTGTTTCTGACCTTGAGACTAGACTATTTTGCATATACAAAAAATCGAAAGCATACCCAGTTTTAGTGTTCAAGCTGGGGAGAAGAGGAACATTCTGCAAATCGAGCTTGGCAACACAAACTTTAGGAGACCACCTGTCCATTGAAAAGATGCTATCATGGACTGAAATTAATTATGTGGTCTTTAAGCGCCATGTTAGGGCTGGATGAGAGTTTATCAAGATTATAATGAAATTTTACTGTCGGGGCTTATTTGAGGGTGAAGGATTTTCAACAATTTTGGCCCCCAAGTTGGATGTTCATGCATGGGGCTCATCACAACCCCCATAACAGGGTTCTCAAACTGAAGACTTGACCTAAAGAGTGGGAAAGAATGTCTGTGAAGGAGCATCTGTTCTCGCCTAGAGTGACCACTTCCTTGTCAGATCTACCCGAAACTCGACTACGCACCATACAAAATGCTCTAGGGTGCATCTAGCACTTTTAAAGATTCTAAATATCATGGATAAAAGGACCAGTGTTACGGCTGGTATGTATTAAAGATATGTTAATCCCAGACAAAAGATCTAACCGTTGAAAAGAACGTTACACGTGCGCAGCCAGATTCTGTTGGCCTAAATGGCCTAACGAACTCGGAATCAAGCGATCTTTAATTGAGCCAAATGAATCTACTGTTGCAGCGATTCAGTCGCATGCTTTTCTTTATTAATGATATGATTTACTTTTGTAATTGCACCTGAAATTTGAATACAGTTAAGATATTACCATTGCTGGTATTACCTAATACAAACTAGAAATAGCCTCGCCAAAAAGAACCTCAACAAACGAGCTTCCGCCCCAGCTGCGCTTAATGCTCATTTTGGTAGATAATTTACGGTTTGATCAATATTATTGCCTGAAGATGTCAACAAGTGACACGTTTCGAGCTGTTATACTCTGAAGATGTTCAAGGCAACCTGTTTTGGCCGAAATAAAAGTGATTTATGTCAAAACAGAAGCAAGATAAAAAACAGACACTACTTCTGGAAAGATATTTTTGGTATGACCTTCCTTTCAAATTATTACGAGAAAAACCTGTCATGTTCATTCATTTAGTTTGGTATTCTTTTATTGAGACGTAGCTTCAATACAAAATAATATTTTGGAGTTCTAGTTTCTTCGCACCAATAAAGTTTCTGTTTCAAGTAATTTGTAAGGGTTTTGTCCATAGTTGTGTTAGATTCTGTGCAGTAAATTTTTATGAGCTATACATTACATGTTTTTATACATGCTTTTCTAAGGTTTGAAAGTTTGGTTTCTTTTTTGTGTTAGACAAGACACACATTGATAACATCTGTTCAATTGAAGTGTTTAATCCTATATAAAAATTTGTATTATTATCATTAGATACAAGTTAATAGAAGAGTAACTTCATTTGTGAAGACCTGAACCAATTTATGTTCTAGAGCAATATTAACTCTTCTAACTCTTGATAACTCTTCTAGAGCAATTTAATTAGAAGAGTGACTTGGTAATGTGATATGTCAAGGAAGCCTTCAGCACTATTGCTCACCATGGTAAAGGCATTATTACCATGGTAATGGTGTGTTTTATGAAGGAACCGTCTCTTTAAATAACTGTAGTTAATTGAAGTCATTTACTTTTCATTGTTTATTGATTTTTCAGATGAAGAAGCTGAATACTATGCCATCGAGCCTGGTTGGAAATCCTATTGTAAGTTTGGCAGACATCCCAATATTATTGTATCTGATAAGCTAATTTTATAAATTTAATGAATCAAAATATTTATTACATTCAATTAAGAATATACAAAGTTCTTCTCTTTTCTCTGATTTAGTAGTGGCCACTTATGGGACTCACAACTTTCTGGTTTTGTAACCCAGATCATATGAGCAAATTTGGTGACAAATGATTGTCTACTATTTATTTGCTTTGCCATAACATTCAAGTATATAATAGAATCTATTGTATATCTGCTATGAAAAGCATAATGGTAGTTTTTCCCCAAAATTGAGATAAAGCTGAGCTGAAGTATGTCACAAGATAAAGGACAGTATATACTGCATACTTCATTGTTTTGAAATAGTTTAAATAATCTTCTCTTGTGATTTTCAATTCCAGTATACCAACTTCAACTCAGGGCCCCCCAGCCAAAGCCAGTTGTCTGCACTAGAAAGGTATTTATTTGTCTTCATGCTTGATTAGTAGATTTATTAGATGAACACTTGATTAGATGATCACTAAGCTTCTATGAAGCTACTATGATCACTTGACGTGATTAGATGATTGGTAAGCTATCATGGAGCAAAGTGCTGGAATGACATTCCTGTAAATATAAAAAGGTCACCATCTGTTAGTGTCTTTTGTTCTAAGCGCAAAACCAGTGGCGTCAGGGGGGCAGGGAGGGGCATGGCCCCCTTTGCTCTCAAAATTTGATGGATTTTGGAAAAACCATTGTTTTGTCGGAAAATTCTCAAACTTGAGCTGTGGGTAATTCTCAAACTCTTAGCAACACAAATTACTTGGATTAAACTACTTACTGTAAATTCGAGAGGCAATTCACTTTTGTAAAGAAAATGCTAGATTTCCACAAAACAAAATGATTTCTCAGGATTTACAGATTCCTACCATAGAGTGATTTGCTTTTCGGAATTTGCCAGTTAAAATCTAAAACTTCAAGTGCCAAATTTGGTTATGGAAATAGGTCAAAATTGGTATAAATTATATCTTTATTTGATATTGAAGACCGAGACAATACCAATTTTGTGCCTATCACCAGATTTTTGAAAATTGTGTCCCAGATTTGAAAATGTTTGCAGTTATGTTGCGTTAGGTAAAACAAGGTAGAAGTCAATCAAATTATTGATTTTCCCCAGTGAATATTCAATTCAAGAATAAGATTTTATCATTAAAATTTGCTTCAAATAAGCAATTTCTTACGGATTTGAAGCATTAGATCATAAAAAATTTTCCCCTCGGCGGCAACCATGGTGCTGCCTCAGGTAGTAACTTCATTCTACCCTTATCCCAATCTACTTGGGGTGTTCACTGTAAGTATGAAGAAACAGAGACAAGATAAAAAGTGCATTTAAAATTTCTTTCCAGCTAAGGCAAAAGTTATGAGTTTTTTTACCCCACCCCCCTTTACACTAGCATGAAATGCTTCTATTTCAAATAAATCAAAGAAATTTTGTCAGAAAATTTTTCTTTCTGGCCCCCTCTAGAACTTACTTTTTGAAATAATAATTAGAAGTGTATTATAGACAGTCATAATTTACCTACATAGCTTCTAAAAGTATTATCTAAAAAAGGGTGTGCTTGCTCTCTCCTCAATTAGCTTTGCTACTGAGAGAGTTTCTTCCTTAATGAATCCCCCTTCATACAAATCCTATAGTGTAGTGTCCTTTATCTTTGTTCTATTCTATGTGCATTGTCTTATGTATTTATTATAATTGTTGTAAGTTTTTTAATATTAGAGTTTTTGTATGTAGCAGAATTCAAAATTAATGAATGAACTAAATTTATATTATTCAGAGAAAGTAGTATTTTTAAGGGGTTTATCAAGGCACAATGCTTTTGTTGAGGTAATTCTAAAAGCTTTCTGTGACAAGTTTGTTTTCTGTGATAAAGTTATAATTGTCAGACAGACAGACTTTTATCAATTGCTTAACGTTTGAGGCTGTGCACATTATGGTGTAATTGCTATCCTTAATGGCTAGCCTATCTAATAAGTCCTATTCTTGTTGAATACTAACTTGTTTAATTGGTACTGTTTATTTATATATTTTGTCTTGAAATTCAAAATCATTCAAAAAGATAAACCTGAAAATTCACCTAATGTGATATAGGCAGTATTCTCAACAACCCAATATTATCTACTTTGCAGGAAGAAGACCAGCCATACTTCTATGATAATGAGTAAGTTGAAGAATTTTGTCTAAATTTTTATATGTAGAATTTAATTATTTCTTGCTTGAGAACTAATTAATGAAATGTTACATCTCCTGCTTTATGTTACTTAATTTGGGAATGCCTCATTCTATGGAAAATTTTATTTTCTGCAGGTATCATGGTAGCATATCAAGAGCAGAGGCTGAACAGCTGGTTTCTGGTGAAGATGGGCTGTATCTCACTCGAAAAAGTCAAAATAAACCAGGGACTTATGCCTTGACATTTAGGTGAGTGGACTCAATTGTTAATGCTCTAGATCCTCTAGTTCAAAAATTTCCAGATCCAAGTTCACTCTGTCACCTTTTCTGGAAATACCATTAAGACTCTATTAAGCCCCCCCCCCCCACTCTATTAAACTCCTCCTTATCATGCAAAAACTTAAAATAAGCCCCCATTGTTTCTCTAAAAAGCCCCCCTCTTAGCCTTTGTTGTCAAGCAAGAAAACCATGTGCATTTAGTGGGTCTCTTAACGGGTGTGATGATGATAAGATTGAGGTCATGCTTACTTCTTCCCAAGTCTAGATCTTTCCTTCTCCATTAAATAAAACAAAAAACTGTTTGGAAATGGCACATTAATTGATGGATCGATTTATTTAGTGCTTACATTAATTGCTGTTCTGATGTACACTAAACATTAAATACAGCCCATGTAAAGACTTACTTATTTGCCTAAAAAGTCAGTCAAAGTTTTTTTAGAAGATGTCCTAAGGTTTTCAATTGATTCTGGTGATTCTGATGAAGATAAGGACCTTCTAATTGATTAATTAGACTTTCTAAGCTGCTAGCGTAGTTTTCTGATAACATTTGTATGACATTTTTATAACAAAAAAAAGAAAAGATCATTTTTAAAACATTTTTTACTTGAAATTTTTAATAAGCCCTCCTCTCTCTAATAAGCCCCCCTCTAGGGCTGAAAAAATAATTAACCCCCCCCCCTGGGGCTTTATAGAGCTTTTACGGTCAGTACCATTAAATGGCTAGCATTTGTACCATGTATTTTTCATACACTGTTATTTTCATTATCATTAATATGTTGCTCATCTGTGATGTGGGGTCACTCTGAAATAAGTTTTATTCTATTTCAAGTTTTGGTGGGATTGCAAGAAATTTCAGGCTTTATTATGATCATTCAGAAAACTCTCACTATGTAGGTAAGAAACAGAGCTCTGATTTTTCTATTTAGATATTTTCCTACTCTTCTGTTTAGAAAGATACATGTAGTCAGCACATAGAAATATTGAAGAAACATTTATTCATTGAATTTGAAATACAGAATATGTTTTCCTTAATGGTTCCAACTGCAGTTAGACATTTTTAAAAGATATTAAGACTAGTGCTTAAAATTTTGCTGTCTTGCCTTTCTGTAGAGTTTGCACATTGTCTCTGCTTTTCTTTGTCTCTGTGGTGTCAAAGAATTCTTTTTTATCTTCATATTATGTTTATAGATTTAAGGAAATCTATTTGGAAAAGTTTATCTCCACTATTTTCTCCAGGCTTCTCTATTCCATTTCAGTCAGCAAACTATTAAAATGTTTCTTTTTTGTGCAGCTGAAAAAAGATTTGAATCAGTGTATGATCTGGTAGCTGATGGACTGATTACAATGTATATGGATGCTAATGCCAAAGATTACATAGATGACATGGCAATAAAAGTTCTAGAAGATGGGAAAGTTTCACAAAATGTAGCAACCGAAAAGCGACAGTCACTGGAAGTAACCAGCAATCAGAATGACCAGGTGAATGTTGTTCGGTCATTTTCTCTCTGATGATGTATGCAGCACACTTTTTTTATATTTCTTTCAAGTAGAATCAAAACTTCATCTTCAATACAATTCTGAAAGCTTTTCAGTTTCAACATATTTGATTGAGCAATCAATCTAAAAATCACATAGTTATCAAGTATGCTTTAATAGTTCAATCTTCCTGTTCTTCTCTTTTTCCACTTCCCTATCAAAATCTCCCTTCTCTTCTGTAGTTCTATCTACAAGCACTAATTCACATAAAGGATTTTAAATATTTAAAAGTTTTAATTTGAATTCTGTATTAAGACATCCTTCTCTTCTTGTCATATTTTAAGATTCTAAGTTTTTATTTTGTTGTCGAAACTGCACATAGGATTCAATTTCTCTAAACGTTTTGCCAATCATTCAGTTTAATTTCTTTTTCAGATTGAAGGAAGACAAAAGTTAGATAGCGTTTCTAAAAGGAAAAGCATAAAGCCATCAGAACTGGAAAAACACCATAATTTCAAGGTTTTTGCGTTTTTTTAATGCTAAATTGAAACTTTTATTTTTGCTGCCAATTTCCTCATGCTTAGAAAATATTCACTTCATTTATTTGCTTTTTTCAATTAGCTGTTTTTCAAGATTTTTCTCACTCACTCGTCAAGAATCAGTAAAGCACAGGACAACAATGAGCCCCAGGGTTTTTCAGGGTGTTCCACAGTGTTATTGTAGTGTTATCGATAATGAGGTTGTAATTGATGAAAAAGAAACTGTTTCAATGCAGTAAAACAATATGATTTATTTGAAGTTGTAATCATGGCGTTGAATGTATGGTTAGTCACACGCCTGCAATTAATCAAGTGCTGTAGAATACTTGCCATTGTATAAGCTTAGCTTTGGGAGATGAGAGTTCAAGAAATTTTGTATAAGTTCTATCTTCGAAAAGATAAGGTACATTGATCAGGATCTTTGCTGAAGATTGGTTCAAGGGATCTTTTATCTTTGAAGGCTTTTTTAAAGAGATGCTTGCATTTTGGTTCATGAAAAAACCAACTCTGTCAGTTAGATAATGAATTAGATAAAGACAGTTTCCTGTCACCTGATTTAAAACTCTTCATTCATTCTTCAGTCTAACCTTCAATCTTACCCCTCTTGCAAGAGAGATCGGCTTAGACATCAAAGTTTTCCCTGCTCTTATTTATTACACAGTCAACACTGTGTCTTATAAGGTTATAACTCATAGAAAGAAATTCAACAGGTTGCGAACTACATTTCAATTACTCAGCAAGTGTTTATAAATGGCGTATCTGTTTCAGATTCATAATTTTTATGGACCACATTGGTGTGATCATTGCAAGAATTTCATGTGGGGTTTGAAAGCGCAGGGCGTGAAATGTCAAGGTTAGTTATCATTGGCCCTAATTTATCTTAAGATCAAACCATAATATAAACAGGTGTATGGTCAAATATCTAGTTAGATTGAAAACGAAAGTATATATCTCTTCGTCATTATCTACGATAACTTGTCAGGATTTTATCTGCAACATAATGCCACCTTTCGGCCTAAGCCTGCCGTCAGATTCGGACCGAAGACAGTTGTTGCCTGGAACCAGGCTTCGTTTTAGGTAATGTATGACAGTTTCTATGCCATTTCTTTGTTTTCTGGCAAAATAGATTTATTGTGAATATATTATCGCTGGCTAATTCTTCATATCTAGACTGTGGATACAACGCTCACAAGCAATGCTCCGACCGCATTCCTGCCCGATGTGCCCCTGACAAGCGTCTTGTGAAAAGAGGTATAATCCATTATTGTATTTTCTGCGAAGTATCTTACTAAGATAAACTGAATACCTCCAACTAAGATATGATGTCTCGGAATGCTCCAGGCTAAATCTCTTTTCTCGATTAATTAAAGTTTTTGTTAAGGCCTACCCCATTTGCCAGGGCATTGCTAATTTTATGCTAAGCAACTGGTTTATCGTGTAATTATATTTTTCGTGCATCTCATGCAAGAATCATGAATCCTATTTCATACACGAAATTACAGTGCTTTTTAAAAATTCTAGTTCCTTAAATCACAGCTGTAACGTCCGAACTAATTATCTCTACAACTGAGTATTGTATGGGAAATAGCAGAGCACTCGCTCTTTTCCCAGCTACAGAAAATAGATTACCTTATTACACAAAATTAACGCGGTACACCAAATAACGCAGAAGAAATTAATGGGATCACAAATAAAGGTGCATACCGAGATTTGATTTCAAAATGTGTGGTAATTAGCGCGAATCAACAAAATCTAAATAGTCAATAAGTATTTAATTAACGCGAATTTTTAAATATCAGCAAAAATACATTCAAATTCAGAAAAGGAAGAAAGCAAAAAAAAATTACAAACAAATTTCAAGTCCATTTGAGGAAACTTTTTGTTAATACTAAAAGATTGCACTTTCTGGTCCTTCCGTTTTAGCCATTTTCTATTATCCTAGTTTTTTCAGATATAATAATGTAATGTATTTAAGAAATAACTGTAAAATTTGGCTATTTTCAGTAGTTTTGAAAAGTTACATAAAAAATTAAAGTGGACTAAAATTCACGGACGTTTATAATACACTATGCGTTTAACAATGAATAAGAAATTTACGCAAGAAATTTACGCGGAAATTAAATTAACGGGGTTTTAATTTTCGCGGAATTTTCGATTCGTGCTAATTATTGTACCGCGTTATCTTCTTGTACAAAAAATTTACAATACACGATATCTACGCTTTATTTATTACAATAAAGTACTTTCCAACGTCCCTGAACAAATGTCGGACACGACGTACATCAGTTATTGTTGGCGTCAGAAACCTAGACCATCACAGTCGGCTTAAATTATGATTCTTTTACAAACAGTGAATTTAGGCGGATTAGATGAATTCCAATATTTTTCTCAATTGGTAGCCAGTATATCTTCAAGTTTGAGATAGACAACGATTCTATTCCAGTTGGTTAAGACTGTGTTAGCTAGAGCTTTATGCTTTGAGCTGGTCGACAGAATCAAGGGTTCAACAGAGTACTTCTGTCCTTTTACTATTAATGGTCGGCTGTAGTCAGTTAAAGCGAGTTTAAGCCCTTTATTCGAAACAGTCACTAAAGTCTTGCTTCACTGTACTGTCCCATGCAAATATGTTCTTACATCTTCAGGCAGCAGTTGCCTGATGATCTCATTGAACGCGAAACTCGGAGTAGTAACTTCGAGCCGTCCTGTTCTATACACCAATCGCACGTATAGCTCTGTCTACACGGCATCGAGTCCTTTATGACAGATCGGTAAACAGAAATTTTCACTCTTATAATTGTTCGATAAATTTTCAGTATTTGGTGTGGATTTAACGACGGTTGTCAAGGTGTACAATTCAAAGAGACCAGCTGTTGTTGACACGTGTATCAGTGAGGTTGAGAGTCGAGGTTCGTAGTTTGACGTTTCTTTGGTATAACACCATAGAGAAAAATTTCAACTTTAGAATTCGAAGTTTTTTTAATGGTCACCAGTTGGCAGAATAATAAATTTTTAGAAAATATTTGCTAGAAAATTTTGATGGTTTACATTTTTATGCTTTTGTCAATAGGTCTGACACCATCTGTGATAAAAATCTAACAAAAGCTGCTTAATGCAACGCTTTGTATTTCTATTGATTATGGATCTTTACAACAAAGTGTAACTTGTTTGTCTTCTTTTTTATACTCCTTTTATCGTCAAGTCTATTTCATCTTCGTTTGTCTTTGACTAATTCTGTAAACGTTTCAAGAGTGTGTTTTTATGTGAATACCAAATTTGTGCGCTTTGTGCTTCCTCGTGTCTATAACATGGTGTCTACAGACAATATGGTGTTTACAGACATGTAATTGAATTCGTCCCAAGTGTGGGCAGAAAACTTGGTATTATATTTTTGGAAGTGGCGACAAATCGCTGCCGATCAAAAGTCTTGATGCCTAGTTGAAATCGATGCCTAATTGATGATAGTGAGAAATCTGTTTGCTCTTGGATTCCATTTTGGGCATTTCTCAACTTTATTTATTTGAAGCACTAACGGGTATTCATCGAAAACCATTCTTTTACACAAATCATAATCCTGTCACTTAGCTTCTGCCCTCCACTAAAAGCCCATCAATTTTTTGCTAGACCATCAATATCTAACGCCCATCAATATCTAACGATGCAGGTTTGACCCAAGAAGGTATCTACAGGATATCAGGCTTTGCTGACGATGTGGAAAACTTGAAAAACACTATCGATAAAGGTACGAACATTTAGATTTTCACTGCATCGTCCCAACCTAAGACGATGCTTGATGATATTCAAATACCAATGGTGATTATATTTGAATCATCAATAAAATACTAGCAATTTAGATGCGAAAATCGTCTTGTTCTTTCCTAGTCTCTGATTGACTGTGCAGCCGAGAAGCAACTTAGACATCATATACATATATATGTATATATATTTATAGTTATTTTTAACTTTAGATTATGCTAAATAAGCAGATATTTGATTTTGAACAGGTAACTTAGATAATGATAATGTATTTTTACACTGAAAATGATAAAGAAGTGTCATTGGGTTTATAGTTTGGTCTTTCAGTCATAATTTCATGAAAAAAGCATCATTGTGTGAGATCTGGTTCAAAATAATGATTGCTTGTACTTTTGTATTGCAGATGGATCTGTGCCAGACTTGAGCGAGAAATCCTTTTCTGATATCCACGTTATTTCTGGAGTTTTAAAACTCTACTTTCGCTCGTTACCTATTCCACTTATAACATTTGAAACGTATGGAATTTTCATATCAGCATCAAGTAAGTACCACTATCTAATGTAAAAAGTTTCTATTTATTGTTTGCTTCTTGCTTACGAAGTCACAAAGCAGGAAATTGGAACAGCTGTTGAATATCTCGTAATTAGATAGTTCGGAGCTAGATTAGAGATGATTTTCACCGCAAACTGTGACCATTACTCTGTTGTTTGTAATGCACTCGACTTCGCAATGCTCTTCATTTTCTAGAAATCACCGACAACGTTGAAAGAATTAGAGCTTTTCACAGTGCTCTGATGAAATTACCTGCTGCTCACTACGAAACATTGAAATTTCTCATGAGGCATCTGCAAGGGTATGTTTTCAGGAGGTTTTTTAATGCCTGCTCAAATCTTATCTGTTCTTTTTGTTTATTGTAAGACTAAGTAATAGATAAAACTTTCATCTTGACAATGCTATCGAGTTGAATAAAGGTGTAGAAGCGTGGGTTTCTGCCTGAAACTCATCCATTTCAGGTTATCTGAAATGCAAAACTTCTGTTCGTTATTTGTATAGAAATGAATTGGCACATTTTTTATTAAGAAATGATACAAGATTTCAAGAGAGTTTCAGCCCTCCTGCCACAGAACGGTCATCCATGCACACTTAATTAATTTTCGGTATCACTTTTGTCGATTCGTATGCGATGCTACACAACACCAGAATTATGGCTTGTAAGTTCTTTTTTGATGGTTAGAGAATTTTTTCAAAAGACCAAAAATAACCTGTTCTTTACATGTACCTCAGACAAAAGCTTTTCGTGTACAGTGTTTACAGCATAACAAGACCCCAGGTAATGTAGCGATTGCCAAGCTGAGGACCTGCGTAAAAAGCATGTTCAAGTACTGGCCCGAAAACGTAGTTTCCATCGTTTTCTAGGGAGATTTGATATGCTTAGGGTACATACCACAAAGTATGAAGAGCCTCTCTATCCGTATGGAAACTGAATATAGTTTTTTCCTGAAAGTAACCGTTTAATACTGCAAGAAATATTTGTTACGGTAGTTTTTTATCCAGAACAGTTGTTAGGATGATCATACAATCATCCAAATTCTCTTATGCTAGTTGGGTTCGTTCAAAGTAGACCCTCTATTCTGTGACCTAGCCTAATCTTCTGTAGATTAGAACTATATGCAGAAAAAAATTGAGAGATATTTTACATCTATAAAATTATGTTCATGTTGTTTAGGGGCACCAACTTCTGTTTTTTTCCAGCAGACCTTCAACTAATATAGTTGGCAGTCGACCGATATTGTTTACAATACGCCACATTCTTCAATGAGATTTTGAGGAGAGGTTGTTTTCAAAATTAATCTGATCTTTTCTCGTTCTTCTTAGGGTTACACGGTGTCAAGCAATAAATCGTATGACGTCACATAATCTTGGAGTTGTTTTTGGGCCTACGTTGCTGAGAGCCCCAGACTCAGAAGCAATGGCTGCTATTGCAGACCTTCCTAATCAAAGACTTGTTGCTGAAATACTTATTAACGAGCAGGATATATTGTTTGACAATTAGATCTCTGCACACCCCGTAATATTTTCTAGCAGACTTTTCCTTTTTTGTCTCCAGCCCCCATATTTTTTTAAAAGTTTTTCTTCTTTAAATATCCAAATATTCATCTTGTAAGATGCAGAACTCTATGGTCAAGAATATTTAGGGAAATTATTTGTTATAAAGATTTTTAATGTACATAGTAAAGAAACTTTTGTCTGTATCAGTTAAAAGTATATGCCTTAAAAGGTTATCAGTAAAGTAGCCTAAAACCACCCCTTTAAATGTGGAAGATAACTTTTTCATTTCCAGTTAATTTTTTAATTTCAGCCTACTTTATCGTTTTTAAACACAAACAGCCTGGTTTTTTCTCGTAATTTCAAGGTGCTTTATGCTCCTAGTCAGTCTAAGAAAAGACCTATTAATATGTAATATGTTTTAAACACACGAATAAATAACAAACATTACCTGTTAGAAAACTATATAGCTATGTTTATCAATTTTCATGAAAAGTCTTCCGTAAAAATAATGTTTTGAATATGATAACGGCAAGTTAGCAATTTTGAATTTTATTATGACTAGCTTGCTGCCACAGTAAGCGGTTCATTCTGCGTGGTTTTGTTACCGGTTTAACTGTATTTTATATGACGTTCCGAACCGGGATGCTTGGGGCTGCTGCCCTCGATAATTATATTATGTTATTTCCATAACAGAGTCTAGCATTGGTGAAACTAGGTCAATTTCTCTTCCTGAAGACAAGCCCACTCCCCCCCCCACACCCCCCAACACCCCCCAACACTCCCCCCATTTAAATTTGACCAAATGGCAGTAGATACAGTTGACATCCGCTATCTCGACTTCCCGCGTTCTTGAATATTCCTTTTTTTATTGTTGTGATATGAGAGAATAGGGAAAAGATAAAAGAGAATTAGAAATGCGATAAAAAAGGTCCTATGCCATCTCGAATCCTTGTCATCTGCTGGAAGATCTGCTTTCTCGAGCCCATTTCGAATTCCTTTTGAGGAAAAATGCCTGTTATCTCTTCTTACTGAATTTCCGGCTGAACTAATGAAAAATATGTTTATAAGTATCGGATTACAATGCCGTGTAAATAAATTTCACGACCCCTTCAAATATCTTATGGAAAAACTGCAAGGAACGGCTCAGAAATTTCTCAACTCATCGCAAATGCAAATGATCCCATTAACGTTGATAGGGAAAGTATTAAACAAGACAAGCAGCAGATGAATTTGAAAAACCGCGGGGGAGATGGTTCCACAGCATCGCTTGCTTTTAGAGGATGGATATATGCTGTGTTAGTGTTATCTTGCAGTCAACGATCTAAATTAACCCATGATCTATGAGTTTTTTATCAAATTGGGCATTTGAAATCGTACACATTATTCAGTGCTTTATAGTTAATTTGCAACCTAAAATTTTTAGGACAAATGATTTTGGAAAGAGCTCTATTTTTTATAAAATAGTAGAAAGGCCCTTATTCGTCGGAGGCCCTGTCATAATTTTAGATTAACTTTTTGTAGATTGGTTTGTTCTTTGAAGCGCTTTCCAGATGTTGAAACCAAATCCCAGAAATTTTTATGCTACGTTCCCCTTTTTGGTCGCCATGCCTGTTTAGCAAGAAAAAAAGCACTGCGTGCCTGTATAATAATTTAATAATGGTGATTTACATCGGGAATATATGTGAAATGGAGAATCTCCAACCACAACTGGAGATTTGGTTTTGCCTAACGCAACATCATTACTAATTGAGTATGTTGCCTAAAAATTTGCCTTCGATTTTCTTGGAAATTTTAATATAGATTATTTAAGATAGATTATGATTGGACATTTTAATATACTCTCACGAAAATTTCTTGCTGAAAATATGGAATTAATTTATTTTTAATTCACCTTCTTATATTGAAAATCTTTAGCAACCCGTAGATAGCAAGTCCCAACTCTGACGTCACCATTGAGGCCATAATCGAGGTGAAAGGTGTTGTGGTGTTGTGGTTAGACTTTTGTCATTTGCTATGCAATAAAACCACCAGGCACTTTATCAATTGCCGTTTAAAAGCCCATCGTCATGTTCTATTTATATATGCAACTATATTGTCAAATATCATGATACTTAATTTTACTCAAATAAAGTTTCAGGGTCCAAATGTCCCCGCGAAGAAGACTCTGTTCTTGAAATATTTAATTTACTGCCCTTGTGCGGTGCTTTTTCTTCAAAATTAGCCCAATTGATGAAACAGTTCAACTGTCATTTATCTTACTACGTTTCATCTTTTGTGACTGCACTTGATGGTAAAGTAAATCTCAACTCGACGCGGACTTTTTTTGCCTTCCGCATTCTGAAGCCTCTGCCTGAAAAGTAGGTCAGGCGACCCAGTGTGTTGCGAGATCTAAAGTCGACTTGGTGAGAAGGGAATTTGCGAGGTATTTATTGACTTTGGATCAAAGTTTTGTTTGTAAAGTTGGATATCTTTCAGGAAATGTTCATATAATTCGCACGATCTACTTTTAAAGGTAAAGTTAAAGGTTTCATTTAAGTCACCAGGTATTGATTTTTGTTTTGTTTGTAAATTTTCCTAGTATGCCCTACAGAAATATTTAGGCCACCTCATTATATCATTGACGGCGTTGAACGGTTTCCTTTTTTGTTGGGACTGGTAGGACGATTGCATCCGAGTATTGCCACAGTGTAGTATAAGATTAATAAAGCCGATTTTATGCTTAATTAGTTTACCCTTATTCCAAAATGATTTCTTGAAAAGGGCAGGGGTGTGTAGCTATCAGAAAATTATCTCTCATCAAGTATTTGAAGGGTAGCTTTACGCTGTAAACTATTTAAAAGGTAAGACAACTTATGAATGTTCATCGATAATCTAAATAAATAGTAGTGACGTTATTTCCATGGCGTTGAGAAAACATAATACATATCCATGGAGTCGAGAAAACATAATTAATTCTCCTTGCGTAGCATTTCAACAATGGTGCCCCATGGAGAATTGTTCTCGTTTGAATGCAGAAATATGTAAAAATAGTTATTGCTAAACCAGCTTGTTTCGAGTTTTCAGAACTGTCTTTAATCACTATTTATGATGGCATATGCATTTAACTGACTCAGTTGAAACTCATTTTTTTGTTTACTTAACAATGTCTCAGTAAAACTAAAGCTTTATAGTACCTGGCATTTTTGTTCTGGTTGCAGCTGGTCTACTTAGATTTCTTATATTTTTTCTATAAATATTCGTTTTGTACATGAAGCAATACAAATAGATTCATGCTGTCACAGCTAAACCTGATCAATTAGGTAATATAAAGGAATTAATGAAAACTGATTTTTGGCAGTACAAAAACTAATCTTTTGGCAGTACAAAAACTAATTTTTTGGCAGTACAAAAACTAATTTTTTGGCAGTACAAAAACTAATCTTTTGGCAACACAAAAACTAATTTTTTGGCCGTACAAAATTCGAAGATTGCTTTGGAAAAGAAAACATTTTGCAACATACTTAAGCTTTTCGTCTAACACTCTTCAGGGTTTCGAATGTCAAAAAAAGGGCAGAAAGGATCAAGAATGAAAATATTTACCCAGCTGTAGATTGAAATAGGCCAATCAGAAAAAAACAAGCACATGGCTGGTATAGTTACCCAAAGTACAAGTGTCCCTGTAGAAAATATATGCATACCACTAGAGTCCACAGGTGAAAAGAAACTTGTTTTGTCTACACAATAATAACTTTTTGTTTTAATGTATGTGGAATGATTCCAAAACTGCTAGATGAACAGACAGCCTGGCTCTTATCAAGGGTGCTGTTCTCTTAAAGGGGTATTCAGTTATACAGTGCATGATGCTGTAAAGGCAAAGCTATAGAGTTTTGGTTCACTGCATTAGCCATAAAAAACATATGTGAATGACTATTGAATGTGTAACATCCAAATGAATATATCAGTGTTTCTGTATATCATACATGCACTACAGATTAAAGAATCTGAGGTTTGACATCCTGCCATAATCAAACTTTGACTTAGAGTGAAGATATTTGTAAGGCATATCTCTCTGTAATTCAAAATTTAAGAATCACAAGGCTTGGTCATATTAAGATAAAGGGCAAGGAAACGTAACATCTCAGTGTCATAAAAAACAATTAAAAGGGCATGTGCCACAAATCTCATTGGCTAATGCAATAGAATTAACCTTTTTGCTTAGTACAAGGTATAGGATCAAGGATGAAGCAAAAATGAAAAGTCAAGAAACAAATGTGATTTCACTCCAAATTTTGTTGTTGTATAAGCCAACTGTTAAAGCAACATATGGGTTTTAAGCCAGGCAGAAACAAATATAAAAATACACATGAAAACCTTAAAAATGATTGTTTTCACCACAACTGCCATTTAATTCTGCACCCAGTGGTAAGTGTCCAACAATAACAAACAATGAAATTTAGATGTTGATATTTCATTACAAATCACAATTTTTATTTTATCAAAATTAGAATTTCTGATTTCCAGGTTTGAAAGATGGAGATAAAGGTTTTTTGGTTTTTATGCATTGCTTCGTATCTGGTGTGCTTATTCTGCATTGGATCTGCAGCTAATGGTTTGTTTTTATATAAATATGCAACTTTATTTTGAATAACCTTGCTGGTGATTTTTAGTCTGTTTCATTTCATAGGGCATAACAATAGCTTAAAAAGAGCTTCTATGTCAAATGCGTGATGAAATAGAAACTACAGAAGTTGAAAACACATTTAATGAAAATTAAGAATGAAATAATATTGTTACATTACACTAGCCTATTATTAGTTGTTAATGACGGCAAGAAGAGGTTGAGACCAAACAGTATAATGTTGAATGATTTACTGACTCATTTTTTAGTTTTATGACATTTATTCAAATAGCTGTTTATCTTTATTCATCAAACAAAGAATTCTTCATAATTTATCATGCATCTTAATTTAGACTCCTGCACAAGCAAAAGTGGAGGATCATGCAGTGATTGTGTGAACAATTTTGATGTAAGTATTGTTGTTATGAAGTTCTTTCTGTTTACATGTTTTGCCAAATGCCCTGAAATTGAAAAAACACAGGACATTTCATTCATTTCTCTCTTTTATTTACTTTTTCTATTTTAATGATGCCAAATTATTTAAAAGTACTGAATTTGTTTTAGTGCTATTACTGTCAAGCAACAAAGTACTGTGGCAAAAGACCAGTGATAAAACCTGATTCTTCTGAATGCTCAGGGGACTGGTATTCTTACAAACAGTGTACAGGTAGAGAATCTTGGGATATTCATTTTTATACACTTCTTGAGCAAAAGTATTGCACAGGTTTGACAAATCAGTTATGGTGACTGCGTTGTAAACAGCAAGGCGATCGATATTGAAACCATTTTTGTGAAGCCAATAGCTGTCTTTTTACAGTTAAAAACCGATCAAATCAATTTTCAAACTGTTGGCAACACTTTTTATTTAAAGATTGAAAAAAGTCACTTTTTAAAAAGTAAAAACTTTTATCTTTTTATTAGACAGTCTTGCAGCTTTGAAACTTTTATGAGACTTGCTAGAAGTTTGTCAAAAAGTTTTGTAACAAGTTTTGTTAATCATGAGATGATAAGTTCAGAAAGACATTTGCAAATTACATTTAGGTGTTGGAGTACCCAGGTGATCATTAATGGTCTTGTATTTAAAGTGGCATATTTTAAGCCATTTTTAAGCCTACTATTTTAAAGCTATTGAGGCACTCGAGTAAACCTGTTTATCACAGGAATTTTGGTATTTTCATTTACTGAGAGAACGAAATGTTGTTTTATGCAATTTGCAGCGTTATTTGTTCCCATTATCTGTGTTAATACACACAAAAATAGAGTCATTTGATCCCAAACCAGGGTCATTCAACAATGCTGTTCTAAGTAGAGACGTTTGAAAACTGGGTCATTTTAAAGTCAGTCAGTCTTTCTCAGTTTCAAAAAGAGCTCAAACAATGGATTTGAAAAAGGATAAAAATGGAGTAATGAAAACACCTACATTTTCAAACATCTTCTGTAATTTTGTAATGGAGACAGTGCCTTAAAAGTGATTATGACTCCAGGAATGCTTTAAAGATCACTCGAACAAAAGAAATTTAAAAAACTACTTAGCTAAAAATTAAAACAGGAAAAGAGAATAGTCAGTCAAAACGTGATGCTGCTTGTGCATTGAAAAGCAGGCCTGGATTGTTTTAGGCGTGTGTAGGCATGCACTTAAGATGGCATGCCTAATATTATCTGGACTTCTTTCATGAATAATGCAAATTTTGCAACTCATAGCAGATAGCCAGATCAGATAATTACTACTTTGCACTGATCTTTGCACAATACTTTTATCAACATCCATATCTGAATAGAAATAATCAGTAATCAGTAAGATCTATGGAATGTATAACGAGTAAACCTAGAAAGTAAAATGGGAGGCATATGATGGCACTGGCACACATAGATGCACATGCTTGAAGTCGACTGCAAGAGCAATTGTGTTCTGGAATAAGAAAGAACATATCTAGAGAGCAGCAATTTGGGAAATGCAATATTAATAACCAGCTTAGACAGATAGAGTCAGATAGCGGCATCCATGAATTTGTTTAGCTATTACTATTTGAGGCATTTGATATAAAGATATAATGAAGTGTTTTTGATTGTCTTTGTAGACAGAAAGTCTTGTTCACATTTACTCCATTTACACATATGAATGGGTCAATATGTATTTGTTTCTGACTTTTTATTGATATAACTTATTTTGGAGCTAAAACTTAAAATAGGCTGGTGAAATTTTAGGCCATTCATACTTGAGGAATTATCATATGCTCAAAAGAACATTATAAATTTGAAAAGCATTATTAATTGGAACAAGAGTAATGTCAAAGCCAAACTTGCGAGAAAAGCAGTTTTTGAATTAATCTGAAATTGTCTGTTGTACAGCCAAGTGAGACAGGCTCATTCCTCATAAAATCACTTAATTTATTCTAATTCTGAAATTATGATCCAAGCAAATATTACATCCTTATTAAATTTTATGTTTTGAAATGACTGTATTTGCAAGCAATTTATAACACATTTCATTGATTTTTAATACCTACAAGTATTATCTTAAGATTTTATGGTCTAAATCCAAAATCTCTAGTTATAGATTTTTTCAACACTTATCACTTAGCAATTGTAAATTGTTAACCATTATAAAGCATTGTTACTCCCATTACAGTATGTTATTAGTCACTGAATGTATCAAGTGAATTGTGACAAATGCAGATTGTCTCTGAGGTGTACACTTTTTGCGTGACCGTGCACTGACATGTCTCCTTGAAGCCAAATGTGACATCTGTTTATCCTTGAAACTTTTTCATAATTTACAACTATTTATAGTTCGTCCATACTTGAACAATCATTCGTTTTTATGATATGTTTTTCTATTTTTTCCTTGTAAATGTCTGGTTTCAAAGCATTTATTACACATGTCCAGTATCAAATGGGCTGTTTATTTGTTTCTTGTTTATTGTTTGTTTATGGAAATTTGCTGATTCTTCACAGTTTCTGGTAATTTGCTGCTTATCATTGTGCCATGTGTTCTTGGGGCATTGCTAATCATCTTTCTCTTGGTATGCTACTGTTGCTGCTGCCGTAAATGCTCGAGAAGAAGAGCTGCAAAAAGGTACCAACTTTACTGACATTTTTCACCAAGGCAACTTTATCTCCAATGCATAATAATGCAATGAATAAAAACATTCAAAGCTATAGAAGTCGAAAATTAATTTCTCTTGATAAAACATTTTATAAGAAATTACTACTGCATTTATTTGACTGATGATTTATGGGCTAGGTCTCCAAACTCATGATCAAGGAAATTCTGCTAAGGCACAAAACTTCCGTGCCTTCTCTTTCTGCTAACATTTCTCCTAAGGCCCTTTAATATTTGATATTCAGGAAAAACTTTATTTGAATAAATTTTGCAGAACTCTCACAGTATAAGACAATATAATGTAAAAGTAGCCTGGTATCCTTTGAAGGCTTGCAATTTTGGATTCTGTTAATGTTTTCAATTTTTTAATGCCTTTTAAATCATTGCGAGCAAATATCAAATGGTTCAATTGCTCGGCTGACTCATTTTCATGTGTCCAGAGCTTTTTAGGATAATTTTGATAAGCTAACAAACATGTATCTGGCAATTATAAACTTGAATGTTAATGAGTGGAGTTGTTTTCATTTTTTTGTGTTATTTGTCTTTTGTATGATAATATGCATTTTTCAAAAATACTGTAACAACTGTATGAAAAAGCTTGGTTTTTGCTCAACTGACGGCAGTCCCAAAAAGTTTAAAACTCCACAGTAAAGCATTCATTACCTTAACGTGTAAACGTAAATTCAGTGTCTGCATTCTCTGAATAACTTAATTTAGGTTCTTCTTATGCATTCTCATGATACAGTACAAATTGTAGGTAAATGGGTAAAGTGTAAAAAGCTTCGAAAAATGTTATTGCAAATACTTTTTATCAAAATTTTGGTTTGAATTTTCTATATGAAAATTTTAGGTAGTTTTGTATTTATTATAATCAAAATTGGTAAATGTGATTTGAATTAGTTATAATTCTTCATAGATTTGCAAAAGAAGACGAAAGGATGTCTCGTGAAAAGGAAGAAAGAGAAATGAAACATGCTGAAAGGTAATTTTATTTCAGTGCAGTTATTTCATTTGTTCTCCTAAGACATTGATTGTAAAATTAGTTTATATTGTTAGAAGCATGCAGACTTTTTTTGAAGAAATACCTTAAGATGGTTTTTATTATTGTAAATAGCGGTATATAGGTTGATTCTGTGTATAGGTTGATTCCCAAAATAGGGACCAAATAACTTGTAGCCTAATTCAATCCTGTGTATAAGTCGACCCTGTGTAACAGAAATCCAGAAATTTTTTTTTCAATGAAAAAGTGTCTGATAGTCACGTCTAAACAAAACGGAGTTTTAAAGACAAAATCTCACCCAAGGCTTTCAAAAGTTCATAACGTTTTTTAAAGATTTTTATCTATTTCGGAAGAAATGTTTTTGTGAATTTTTCGTACGCCTGGTATAAGTTAAGTGCTGTTTTTGGAGCCTAATTTTTGGTTTTGACATTCGACTTATTCACCGGTATCTATGGTAAGCATTTTTATTCAATACAATCTCCAGGTCAGATCACATATTTCATAGGCTTATTGCATTGTTGATACATTGAAACATACAAGAATCTTGATTATCAACCATTGTTCGATGTGCTGCTACCATCTTTACCAAAGTTTAAGAGTAGAACACTATAACAGATAACGCTGTTGTTGTAGGAGTGCAGAGAGAAGGCAAAAACACGATGAAATAAGAAAAAAATATGGTATGTTCTGAAGTATCCTGTTTCATTGTGTTTTGGAGAGTACTGAAAGTAGAGATTAGACAAACTTTACCTAGCGAATATGTGTGACCTAGAATTGTTGTGACACGTTGCAACAGACATGATGATAAAAATTTTCTATCTAGATGTAAGTATATTGAAATGCGCAGAACTGTAATGCAGTGGAACAGCTTATTTATTGACAGTTGTTACCTTACCCAATTTAGCCCAGTTATCCTTAGTTGTTACTGTATTCAAACAGAATGCCTATGTTGTGCCTGCATCCTCTAGTGCATCACAGTTTAAAACTCAAATCGCTTTGAACATGGCTGTACAAAGTGTCATAGAAATTGATCAATTCTCCCAGAATTTATTGTTAAAAGTTCCCTACAAGAAATTTTTTAAGTTAAACCTATATAATTTGGTCATACAAAAAAGACAGGCAGCTATGAAATATTGCCTTTTATTTTGCCGTTATAGTAATACACAATAGTGGCTTTTTCAGACAGAAGAAGTTCGTTTTCACCTAGGACTCCATTTGTAACATTTTCAATAGGCAAGCAGCACTGATTGGGAACCTCAAAAGTAATGTGCTTGCGTTTCTGATTGGCCTATTTCGATCCACAACTGGGCATATGTTTTTTCTAGCGTGAAGTTTTCGTTCTACGTTCTGACGTTTTATACTCTGAAGAGTGTCAGACAGTGTCAGACGCAAATCTTTAGTAACCTGTTTCAAAATGTCAGCTTTTTTCAAAGCCATTTTTAAATCCTGTGCCACGAAATGATTGTTTGCAGACATTGATTATCAAAGGATTAAATAGCTGGTTCAAAACCATGCTTAATTTTGCTACACTCTCCGTAAGGGTCTACTTGTACAACGCCAATAGAAAAAGAAATTAATCTTTTTAAGCAGCATATAAGGAAAGTCCTATATGCTATGCCATAATATTAGTAAATATGCTATGGCTCAATATTTGATATTTATTGTTTTTACTGTTTTATACTGACTCTGATTTCAGTGTTTTTCTCTCCTTTTTTTCAATGTATTCGCAAGCATTTGTTTGCAGTTTTCCAAAGTAGACACAATACCTCCCTTTTTGTTGCACATAACATTAAAATGTCATATGATTTCAATTTTACTTACATTTTAAATTTCTGCAATTTAGATTCACTTTTCAAATCAATATCTCTTCTTTTTTTGATAGGGCTTTTCAAGGATGGCGAGGATAAAGATGGTGGAAAGTATCAACGCTTTGATGTTGCTTAAACTAGCACATTGCTGTTTTCTCTTATAGATTGCACTGCTTGTGATATAAGTATTTAGAAATTTGTAGCTGGTATGGAAAGGCATATGAGTTCCTGTGTTTGTTGGACTTTTGTACATCCTACGCGTAATACATATGTTATCACTATCATTTCAAATTGGGACATTTTCCAACGGTTATAAAACGTTTGAAATAGGTTTATTATAACAGAACATTTATCTGAAATCAGCTATTAAATGTTGAAACAATTTGATTCAATATTTCTCAGACCTGCTCTGTTTTTCTTCCCCAGCTGATAAGTGTGTGTCGGAAAGGCTTTTTGGAACTCCTTCTGATTAGCAAATAGTAAACTTTTTTAGCTGCAAGTAGCCTGTTGTATATTAAGGGTTTGGAATTGTTCATTAAAAGCTGCCTGAGAAGAAAAGTATCCAAACTTGTTAGACTTGTTGATTGCAATTAGCAGATGTAAACAAGTAGCATTGGAATGACGATCAGGGGATTTCTTATCGCTTGTTCTCATCGCAAAGAAACTGAAACAGCCTAGGAGAGAGCTATTTTTTTAAAAAAAAATAATTCCCAGATGATAGGCACAAGTCATAAAATCATTTACGATATTCATTCAAAGGCATTTTTTGATGTTATTGAGACTTTTATTCAATCCCTTTAGCCGAATGCACAAGAATGGGCTAACGCCTGCTTTAATTACATCACAATGGCTGCATGTGTGCTGAAGTATAAGATAAAAATGCCAGATTTGTTTGTAGGTTATCTGTCTTACGTTAATATATCTGATTTCTTATTAGGCTTTGCAGTTTATGTCACCATTGTAATCTCACGTAGTGTCGGTTTCCTAATAGCTGACAGTAACATTAACTTGTAGAAATCTTTGCATGTCTTTTCATTTTAATTGACTGTATTAATGCAACTGTTAATCATTCTTGCAAGGAGATAATTTTAATTTGACCTGTGTTTACCATAATTGTATGATAATTTATATACTGTTTATATTGAGTTGTTTGATAATGTTCGATTAATTTGTGCATCGCATGCGAGCATAATTATTACGTATGTTAGCTTCACTTTTGTCTATTTTTACGCGTGATTACCGCAGGCATAGATCGCGAATGGCTGCCCTACCTGTGACAGAGTGGCCAAACCATCCCAACATTATCCCAACATCATCCAACATCATCCAACATCGTCCAACATCACCCAACATTATCCAATATTTTTTATCAAGTCAAACTTTATCCAACACAACATTATCAAGCATCGCCCAACATGGGAAGCCAATCCGGCCCAACATTTATACCCAACATTGTTGGGATTTGTTAGAAGAAGTATTACACTGGTTTGGCCGGGGCTTATAAGATCACTTAGTGCTTCATAGCAGCGAGTCAAAGAATCTGCACCTTTCATCATGGCCCTTGGCACAGTTCTCAAACCACTCGCCTTTATATTCAACCGACAGCATGCTGAACGATATCAAAAAGTGAAATGCCAGTGATTTTCAGCGAATTTGCTGAAAGAAAATCAGAAGAATTCAACCCGCGGGTTCATATAAAAACGCAAATAAAGATCAGCTTCGTTGATACCCAGCACAGGCAGCCATATCTCCACAAAACCTCTGAATGGCAATGGAACTAGAGAGATCTTCGAGAATGATTCTGTAATCCTATTATTGATCAATGTTTATTTGATATTGATTATCCAAGGGATTCCCGATATTCAAATACAAATATCAGACGCGATTGATAGTTTCTTTTGCAAATTAATTTAGAAATTAGCTAAGGATATTGAGGCTGCATGTAATTTTCTTGCTATGGTGACTATGATTGTAATGAAAGAAGTGTTAGTAAAAATTCCAGGAATTTGCAAAGACACTGTGAAAAGCTTTGGGTATATGTATGTGTGTTTCCTAAAAAGGGATGCAGCCCACCTTGCTAAAAACTTTTTCTGTGACAGTTCAAACATTTTGAAGTGTGAACTTGCTTTATTGATTGGATAAGATTCAGAGTGGTTTGAACTTACGCCTACGCCTAAGGCCCACTTGTTAACTTTTTTAAGTATCATCATTGCTTGGGACTGAATTTTTTCTCCTGTCATTCTCTTATGTTTGCCTTACTTTTTATTTAAATCTCCTGCTATTCTATTATTCTTGACTTAACTTTTATTTAAAAGTATAGCCGCCAACTAAAGTTGGTGCTTAGGATTTCAAGCCCCAACCATAGTCACAAACGATCTACGTGATTTAAACAGGACGTCACTTTCTCCGTGACCATATGACAATTAGTTTAAAAAAATTACGGAAAATAGTTGTCTCTCTAGAAAACAACTTAAGTCATTAATAAAGAGTTTACTACTTCACAAATGGAAATCCAATTTAGAATGAATAAAGATTCTCAAAGGAAACTCAAGAAAATACACCTTAGTTATGTCCAGTCTCCCTCTGAATTTCTGTCCTCGTTTTAATATATGTATCCATAACAACCGTGGCTTTGTTTCTTCGCAGGCCTAGTAAATGGAAACTAACTTCGTTGAATCAATCCAAGCAACAAGATTTCGATACCTTAATTATTGATGATGTATCTAATGACCATAAATAACGATCGATATTGAAGAAGGAAGACAACAAATATTGAAAATGCCATCATTCGATTTGGCAGGATTGCAACTTCGTGATGCACACGGCGAAGGATTCTTCTCTGAAGAAGAGCGGAACAGACGCCATAGAGTGCTGGAAAGAATTTCAGCTTACGGTGGCAAAACTGACCAGTTATATAAGGCTAATGGTTTGGAAAGTCTACGTGAAGGAGCTAGTGTTTGGAGGCTAAGGTAATATGCCATATTCTGTCACAAAGGAAACGCTTGGAATTATTAGGCCTATCTTCTACTCTTTTTGAAAAACAGCCAGAAGGGAAAATCCTTCGATTTTTCGCTTTATCACTATTTCTAATATAGTCTGACTTGAATTGAGACTTTTCTCTTAACCTAATGAAAAATGCTAAATATGTTAGTCACATATCATCTCTGTCGTCAGCAAGCTCTTGTCGGTAAAGTAAATTGTACAAATTTAGCAGCTACTAAAACCTTGATGTCAATGAATCAAAGGATAGGCCTAATCTAAACATTCTCACCCCTCCCTTACAATTCTTGACTTTCATATTTGCTTCCAAAATCTGTATGCAGAATAATTCAAAATTGTTCACCTCAGCCAAACTAGTTAAGTTACTTCCTGCCACTTTTTCTAGCTCGGGTATTGATAGAAGTACGAAAAATTCTGGAAGCCGGATTAGGGAAATTGAAACACATTGGCCTGAAGTTGATGAAAAAGATGTGCTGTATCAAACAGAAGCCCTTGATGGAGGAGATAGTTCATCAAATGAGCAAGGTACATATTGTTTGAACTTAGTAGCTCAATATATTACTTTGCTGCTAGTCTGGAATAAGATTATCAAACACTAGTTGACTTACATAGCACTTCCTTGTTGGCTCTATGAATTATTCCAGTAACAGAAAGCAAAGAACAGCACAAACAATATATTAGTTGTATGTGATGTGGTTGACTAAATCCAAACAATATTTTCTAACACTTAATCAAAACAATATTTTCTATCTTGTAGCCATTACCCAACAGCCAGAAGCTCAAATGCCACCCATTGATGACAATTTTACTGAAAATTATTATGAAATCTCAAATCAGGTCAGATTTATATGAAATTCTTGCAATTTGGTCAATCTTTAGCTCAACAAATCAACATCTATTATTATGTTTTGTGGTTAGCTGAAACAGATATCTACATTTCCATCTATTGCTTTGCAGAATATTTCATAACTTTTACCAAGCCTTGTTCTTTAATGGCCTTATTGACCAGTATTTGCAAAACGTTTTATTTCTGATTTTTCAAGAAGAATTTTTCTGATATCAAATCAAGTTAGAAGAGATTGTTTTTACACTATGATTAGTTTGTTTGTTTGCAAATTATTTTTTACATGGGCAAATTTACTGTCAATGTAAAAATAATTAAAAATCTTTTATGCTCTTTAGGTAGAACCTGTGACTGAAAGAGATTTAAGAGATAAAATAGCAACAAAAGCATTTTATACATCAACAACACAGAAGTGAGTTTAGCATTTGGTTTTGTTTAGCAAAGTATATAAAGTTGGTGATGTAGATAAATATCAGCATCAATTTAAGTTAGATATGCAGCAAAAATGCTGGTATATTGTGTAAATAGCTGCTGGTTGAAATCTAGGCTCAAACCCTTGATTTAGACAACAGATATTTAAGCTTCAAAAATTATTTGATCGGGATTTGATCTTTTGGGAGATTATTCAGCTTAATTTTCAACAGATTTTATGATTTTAAAGGCCATTCCCAGTGTAGCCCATACCCTAAGGTTGTGCCTTCAAAGCAGATTTTTTCCTTTCCCAGCCTCGGGATGTAGTAAGGAAGGCTAATTCCTTTTCCTGCTGCATGGATGTATGCTCATTCTCATTTTGTTTTGTTTTAGGTTATATCAGGGAGTAGATTGGAGGAACTCAAAGTGCAGACGACCTGACCCACCTTCAACAGTGATTGAACCTAGACCAGACATGGTGACACAAAGAACAAAAAGATATGAATCAAAACCAGAAGTCTGGCAGGTAAACAGTTGTAGTTTTTAATTGACATCAATGTATGCACTTGTTTGAATTGAATTCTAAAATATCTTGATGACATTTAAAATTTTGTAAATTATTTTGAGAACCTCTGACCAAATTTGTTAGATGTCCAGATTCAATGATGGGGCAGGGCATGGCCGTCTTATCTTTCCAATGACTGATTTTATTTAATTTTGCCCAAAATTGATTAGAACATGATTGGGGGAAGGGAGTGAGTCTTGTTATTTTGACTTTGCTTCTGATAATCAACAATTACTTTTGAGCTTCAATGTCTAGTTAAAGAGTTTAAAAAGCCTCCTTAAAATCAGTAGAGAATGTGATATGGCAAACAGAGCTTGATAGTGTTATAGATAAATCTAAAAGTGCTGATTGTCAAAAACCTCCACTATTATGCCTAAAATAGACATGTCTTGATCATATGCGACATTGTTGATAAAGGCAAGGACTAGACAACTGTTTCATCACATTTTCTTTGAAAAATCTTGGAAAATGAGCCTCTCCAACACTTAAGTGGGCCTGGCACTCAAAACATTTCAGGGCAAGCCCCGTAATCCTCTCTTTACCCTACACATTCCCAGATGGCATCGCCCCTGGTCGGAAATTTTATCAAAACTTATTCTGTTGGTTGGATTTCCAAATTTAACTTATATAAACTGAAGTTTTTCCTCCTTGATAGAAATTTAGCAAAAAGCCATTTACGTGGGACTATTTGCAAACAAGAGATGGACATTATCTCAGAAGGCCATTTGCTTTGTAAGATTAATCTTGCTTTACTTCTTAACTTCCTCCCTGATATGCTTTGGTAGTATTTTCAAAATAAAATGTCATCCAAAGGGATTTTTGCTAAATAAGCTAAAGACAATAAACAAACTTGAGATTATGATTAGTAGAAAGCTGGCTCTTCTATATAGGAAGCTGATTGCCAAAAGGCAATTTCTGAAAACCTCATATCTTTTTTACAAAATAGTTTTGTGTAGTAAAAATCTAATTAGTAATTTTGCTTTTTTCCAATTTGAAGTTACAACATGACTCCTGTATAATAGAAATGGACATTAGAAAAATGTTTTGAACTGATAAACCTTTATTTATTAATTTTTTTTCAAGTTCAAATATACTTAACCAAGTTGAATATTTTGTTATCAAACTTAAGAATCTAAAATTTACCAAGAAAATGATTTGCTCATATATGCTTCTCTTTTAGCACTAGCCAGTGTCAGAAGGTTGGACAAATACCAAATTATACGTAAGATCATTTTAATATTTCAACCTTGCTATTTGTCATCTTTTTGTGTGCTGCCATATGCTACTGTGCATTGTCGATTACCGTAATGCCTCGAAAAAGCGCCTCCCTCGAATAAGCGCCCACCCCTCGAATAAGCGCCCATCCTTCAACCTTCAGAAATGGGCGCTTATTCGAATTTCCAACGAAAACATAATTGGAAAGCAATTCAACACGAAAGATTGATGAAGAACACTATTTGTACCCAAATCTACTTTTTAAATAAGCGCCCCCCTCGATTAAGCGCCTCCCTCGAATAAGCGCTCATCTTGGAGCCTTAAAAATTAAATAAGGGCCCGGGCGCTTATTCGAGGCATTACGGTATCCAAACCACAGATTATCCGAAGCTCGAATATTCGAACAACAATTGGTGTTGCTTTTTGTGGTTCTGGTCGCATGATATTAAGCAAGGTCGGCCAAAGCATCGCTTCAATAAATTATATTCCACAACAGATGCCTACATAGCCACATTTATTCGCTTGTTTTCTTCAGAGAAAAGAGTCTTCAAAACGATAACGTCTCAAAGGGCCATCCTTTCTACCAAAAACGTGCCGCCCTCATCTTTGCCTGACGTCCTGTAGGATCACTCACCTTTGATGATTCTTTGGATAAAGCTACTCTTTAGGGGACAGGGAAAAGAGCCGAAAAAGACTTGTTTAATTATTCGAATTTTGGGCTTATCCGACCTGTAAATTTAGTTCAACCTCTTGCATATTCGAGGAAGCATTGTTGTCAGAATCTTTAAAGAGCGAAATAAAAGCTCATATGTGGCAAACAGATTTGTGTATTTGAATAATGATAATGTGAAGCGAAATGTTTATTATAATTAACGGGAGCCCATGGCACAAATCATTTTGCTTCGTGGGCTTTCCAGAATAATATAAAATTCGGGCAGAGATACTTATTTCTCTCTAGAGGGGGTAACCGTTTTACAGAGAGAAATTTCAGGGCATGGCCTCTAAAACCGTGTTTTTATAATAAGTGTGTGAAGATAGGCTCTTTAGTGAAAATTTTCTAGATTATTTTGCAATAAAAGTAGAAAGTAATGTGAATATTCAAAGTAAGGAGAAAATGAACGTTTTATTTTATCATCAGGGGTCATGTCTCTGGAGAAGGTGAGAAAGATGTGGACGGTGAGACATTCACGCCTTTAACAATGATGCGCTCATCTAAACCAAAGTATACAATCACAAGCAGGTAAGTTATAACTTCTGCAAATAGAAGCAAGTACAAATATAGTCCTTTGAAAATAGTAAGAGTGAGAAGGGAACCCTGCTGTCCTCTAATTTTCTTTGCTGCGCAGACTGTTGTCATTCACATGTCAAGATTTTATTATGAAACAAAAAACGGGATGTTGCTTAGCAGAATGCTGTCACAGGAAGGATAGGAAAGCTTTGAATTTCTAAAAGGAAAGAAGCCTCCCTACTTTTGAGCAAAGCTATTCTGAATTTCATTTGTACTTAGATATAGAATCTATAACGGAAGGATCCCATGGTGTATCCAGGAGTTTCGAAACTTACTGACAAACGAAAGGATAAATTAATGTAATACTACAGCGAATATTGGATTTACATTTACTTGAACTGCCTACTTGAGCCTTCTTGTACTTTTGATTTTCCATTAACGTTACTGTCATTTAAAGAAACATTTTTGTGCAATATAAACCTTTTTTAGCTAGAACATTTTTTTGATTTCTTCTCTCTACATTCTTAGGCGAGGATACGTTCCTGGCTACACTGGGTGTGTCTTGTGGGCTAATCCGAAGCCACCACTCTCTGCTGAGAGGGAACCACGGCGTGAATCGACTGCCAGAGTGCACAGGTTTGCATTTTGTTTCTTTATACTCCGTAATTATACCATGAAATCTTTATTTTGACAGCTACTTTGAATCATTAGATATTGTTTAGCATGAAGCATTTTTATGTTTTAATTTATGATTTTTTTGTTTTGGCAATGTAATGTTTACATTGTGTAAATTGGCGCCAACTATTTGCTGGCATGTGGGACCGAGCGCCATGGAGAGTTTTAGAAGGGAATCGTTCATTCCTGTTAGGTATTAAACACGGAACTGGTTATCATATATCTGTAAAAAATAAGTTAAACATGACATAAAAATTTGCTTTTGTGGGGATAGAAATATTGAAGAAACATTTTGAGGGGTGACCTCAGCTAATTTCAGCATCGACTTTTTATAATAATATATAATCCCTTTTTCCCCTTTCCCTAAACAGTCCCCTTTATAATCCCCTTTTCTTAAAAAAATGTTTTCTTCGAATTGTTGGCGTCTGTGACCATGTTTATAACATCTTGACACTTGTTACTACTAGTGACCACTCATGTTACGTCTAGCTGCCATTCAGTACGACAGGTTTTCAAATATTCCTTTCAGACCATTGAACACCCCAAGGAATGACTCTGCATACAAACATCGAGGGCCTTTGTCAAGAATGGTTACACTTACACATCCATTCAATCCATATAACAAAATGCAGCCAGTCAATGGACGTACAGCAAGTGGTAACCGTGTATAGCTTCTTACTAATGACTTACTTACCATTTTACGTGTAAAAAGTGTAAGCCTTAACTTTTAAATGTACTCAAAACAAACGAGAGGAATCTTTATGTTGATACAAAAATCTGTAGATATCTATCTAATTTAGCATTTTCACCTGATTTTGTAATAATTGTACTCCTAGATTTGCATATTTGCATTTTTTATATTTTATCTATCATTTTAGTTAAAAAGGAATATCTTAATCATTGCCATCATCAACATCATCATCAATATTATCACGTCATCACCGCCAAATTTCCCGAATATCAAATTTCGATAAAGAATGCTACTCCAATCACAATGCCTGCCATAGGTCTTGTTACACTACATCAGTTTTAAAGGAAAAATTCAGCCACCCCCCTTCCCCCCTTTGAACAATGTTGGTTTACCACAAAACGACGTAGGGGATTAGGAAGTTCGCTTTTTTCTGCGCCTTCTATGGTATTTTTCTAAATTATCAACATTGTTTTGGGGGGGGGGGGTGCGGAAATAAGAGTATTCGGGAAAAGAATTGAAAAATATAAAAGCACAACGCAAGTTGCTGGGTGTTGTACTTTTGGCAATGATCGGAGAACACATTACTCGTGAAAGTCGGGAGTTGTAGCTTACAACCGTCCTGCTCTATACACCAAAGACGTGCCCACACGACATTGAACACTACTAAATGACAGACTAGTAGCGAGATCTTTTTTTGGATGAAAGTGTAAATAGATGCAAAAGTTATTGTAAAAACATTTTTCAATATCCAGCAAGAAGTATCTGATGCAGTTTAAGGGTATGTGGCAGACAATGATGTAATGCGACTTGAGAAATAATCGAAGTTGCACAAAGCTAACAAAAATTTTACATTTACGAGGAATTGTATTACCCTCTATCATGTACATTTTTTAGTAATTAGCATATTTAATGTCTTGATTACTGTACGATGGAAGTTTGGCTGTCGAGGCTGACATGTTAGAACGCATTATAGCACTTCACAGTTTTCCCCCAAAACCATTGATTGTTTTAAAGAGATAATTTCTCATTAAAGCATTCTTCGTGATTAAAAATTGCTTGAGGCAATGTCATCTTGAATGCAGAGGTATCTTATCCAAGAAAGCAGAAAGAGTTTCTAACTGTGAAATATCATTTCCCATTTCCTTTGCTATCAAATAGTATTAATCTTTATTAGTAGTTTGTAAGAAGTCAATAATTACATCTAATGATACATTTTTGAAAATCAAAATTAAATAGGAACATGATTTTATTCGCATTTTCGTCTTTTTTTATGTAACAGGGAGGACTTAGGTAAACCTGATTTAATTCGAAATAAAAATCTCACTTGAACAAACACGCCCCTTCCTTGGCTACTTAATTAACAGCTATGTCTTTTGCTTTTTCTTAAACTTGTGTTTGGTAATAAAGGAAGTTATAATACTGCCCATCCCTGCCATTACATGGAGCAAAGTGCAAAGATGCACAAATCAGCTACAAACAAATATAGCGAACAAGTCCTCTGTTTTTGTTAAAAGATGTAAACCCTTACTCATGTTTCTATTTCTTCTGGGTCCCTTCCGCTGAGCAAATTTATAGTCTTACTGACAGCCGCATTCAGCCACGATCATGTTCTCTAAGCTTCTGATCGCGATTCTACCAGAGTAGGAGTCCTTTATCATCGTTGTCAAGGGAACGTAACTCCGTGGGGAACAACAAGTGGACTTGGCCACGCGCTTACCGTACAGAGAATGCAGCAACTGTTGAATAAGAGAGTGCTGTGTTGGATTGGACATGCTTCCGAGGGGGTATCGGCAAGCCCCATTGCATTGTTTTATGTCGAAAATTGTCGGTGCAACCATGTCTTTATAGCCAAGGCCAACAAAATTGACAATTAGACTCTTACGGTGACACCCTCTCTTAGTCAGCTTCTTGTGATTGTCAGCATCTCGTTTCGTCAATTCTTGTTGGTTGGTAGGCAATCTGAAACGCAGGAATGGAGAAACAGGATACTTCTCACTGCTGAAGATGACGATTTCTACTGGGCTGCTAACCTTTCTGCGCCAGCTGGCCTTCACTTGACTTTCTTCGTCACGTTGGCTAATTAGTACCATTCGCAGCACCAGCGAGAATGTATTTACGCTGCTCTTTCTTCTTAGCAGAGGTGTGACTGGAAAAAGTTGGCATCTGCTGGTACCAAATTCTGTCTTTGTTAGGCGCATTGTCTTGTCAGACCTTACGTTTGTGAATTCTATCGATGAGATATTTTTCAGTGTTTCACGCTTCAAACAAAAATGCAGCATTGCATGAAGAATCTTTTCCCTTTTCGGAATATGGATGTTGAATTTTAAGATGAAAGAGGTCTTTTTCGGTCTACCTAAAGTCAAGATTAAATAGATATTTAGGATTTTACACAAAAGATGTTGCAAAAACAGAATATCCAGCAATAGCCGTATTTTTTCTTGTGAGCCACGTTTTATAATCATATCTTTGCTCAGAAGGCCATTTATCAATGAAGGTGGATTGTATTCTCTCCGCTTGAGAAGCACTACATGCAATTTTTAGTTCGAGAGAAAGTTTTGCTTGAGCGATAACAAGCTGTTACTCAATAGAAACTCCCTCCCTACGTATAGGCTGTGCTAATATGATGAATATAATAATAATAATATAATAATAATAATAATAATAATTGTAATAATAATAGTAATAATAACACTGTTTAGACAGGGTAACCTCTTCAACACACAGAGTGCTGTTATCAACGAGGGCCCTGTATATAACTGTTATATACTACAATAAAATGTTACAATCAAAGAAAAATATAATGAATGGGATAATATTGAAGCAAATGATGAAGAAAATATTATGAATGCAATCTTAAGCAATGAATAATTGAAAGATTAAAGAGAGCTTTACTTTAATAATGATCTTTGTGATTAAATTCTAGGTTTATAGTTTATTTGCGCTTTTTCGGCTTCCTCAAATTTTCTCGGTAATGTAAACAATTTTGTCTATTTGGTGAAATTTGATGTTTGGATATGACTGTGAAAGAATTTCAAGTAACATATTTTTTCATTTTGAAACCAAACGGAACCAGATTTTTAAGAAATATTGAGCGAAACAAACAAAATAATAATCAAGTTTTTTGGTAAATCTAGTATGCCAGTTACAAGTTTTGTTTTGTTTTGTCTTCAAAGGAAGTGTAGAATTGAAGATTATTGATAGACAACAACAATTTTGATCTAACTCTGATTATATATTTCATTTTCAAACTTTTCTAAGAAGCCTTTACGTTTTCGTTTTATAACATGGCTCTAGATCAATCATGAGATGATTGATTCACGACAGATGGGAGTTTCCCACAAATTATCTATAGGATTAATTTGCCAATATATTGCTCATGTATTTTGAATCACATAAATGAAAGTGTGTACGTTTAAGTCGTACCACCTGTTCAATAATAATTGCGAATTCTTTCCGGGTTTGCATGTATAAAAAAATCTAGAATGCTTTTGCCGCAATGTAAGTATCTTGTTGTAAAATAGTTTTGATACCCATCGTTTTTTGAACACCCTTTTTTAAGGTCCTTTTTGGCCTGTATCTGACAATTAGTCATTTTTAGATGCATCAATTGTGACTCCCTTTTTGCCCCTTATTTTCATGTTGGTCCAAGAACTCTTTGTAATTACTAAACGACAAAACTAAAGAACAACGATGCTATAAAAGCTGCTTATAAACAACATTATAATGGAGAGAGGATCTAATGTTGATCACCTGCGAAAATTCACTTGAGATATTGGACATTTTGGAAGCATTGAAAGAGTGTGAGTGTGACAAACGCTATCTCCCAGCCCAACAGAGATGAACGTGGGAATGAGACTGCAGTTTCAAACACTTGCTCGAAGCAAAGGTGCGTGACAACACCGCAAGTGATGAACAGGTGAACATTACCTACATTGTTGGGGAATTGCTATAAAAAGACCTTGAAATGCATAGGTTGTGATATCATGATTAGATATCATGATGATAATGATGACATAGATTCTCTTATTTGTTTTTTTCAAAGCTAGCCCTTAATATAGTTCCCCCGCGTTAAATTTGCTGTCGAAGATAAGAGATGCTTGCATCATTCTTTTTGTCACACAAACATGATAAAAAAATCCCTTGTCATTTTCAAATTTTTAGATAAGGCTTTTGGAAGGAGTGTGGTCTTCTTTCGTTGTTGTATCTGTGTTTATTTCTTTGCCCAAAGGGAAACTCCAGCATTTTATGAATGTTGTTGGGATCATTGTATTAAAGTTATTGGAGACAGTTCTTTTGAATGCTGATAGAATCGCTGAAGCATATGTTCTTTGTTGTCTGTCCGAAAAATGCCGAAACACTTCAAAGCAATTCGAGACGGTTTGAAACATTACTGCACACTTGAAAAATTGCGGTCCTTTATGATCAGCAAGAAGATCATTAAAAGTGTTTAGCGAGGATGAATTAAAAAAGGAAAAAGAAGTCCCGAAAATAGGAATACAACAAAACTGCTTGCTTAAGAAGCAGCAAGAACACTTCTGGTTTTAAGAGATTATAATTACTTGAGGGCTAAGAATAAATAAATCATCAACCTGTCATTTTCTTCAACATTGGTTAAAAGAAACGAAAAAACCATCACAAAAAGGAAAAAGCGTTCGAATTTTCAGCCCATTTAATACTCTTGCTAGCTCCTACCATGGTAACAAGAACATGCCTTTACACTCTCTTTTTTTATAAGAACAATTTTATAAGAACACGAGCCTCAAAACTGGTCAAAAGTTAAGAACAAATTAAGAACAAGCTGAGGTTGAGCTTCTGCAAAATGCAATTTTGAAAAACGTTTTTTCTCAAAATCGAGGATTTTTAGCGATGTGTGGATGCCTTTTCTGTGAATATTCAAATTTGTCAGCAAATAAAGGCTATCTCACTCACTTTGTTGGCAAATGAGCCCTGAACACCTCCTTAGAGCGAAAAAGCTAGCAATAGCACTGCTTACACCCTCTTAATTTAAGAACAAAATAAGAACAATCCAGCCTCAGATTTTCGAAAAAATTAAGAACAGTCAGCCTGAACTTAAATTTACTGGTTCTTATAAAAAAAGAGTGTATCAACAGCGAGAGCCTCTTCACGAAAGTTCTGATTCGAAAAGGAGAATTTGCTCTGCAGATGTCAGTTGTAGTACACTGTGTCATAATAGCTTTGAGAACTTACTTTTCAAACTTAGATTTGTGATTTTACGGCGAGAATACCTACAAAATTTGATGGCTTCTACTAAACTCCCTTTACCTTCAAATTAAGCTTTCGATTAATTATTTTGAAAGAAACCTATTTTATAATGTATTTCAAAGCAGTATAACATGTATAACAAAATGCAAAAGATAGTTGCTACTTTTGCAAGGAGGATAAAGTTGCCATTAGGGGCTGTCTATAGCATTGCTCGTTATATGATACGGTGAACATACATAGATGAAGAATCTGCAAGACAATTATTGTCAAGACGGCAATACCTCTAGCTGGAAAACTTCGCACGAACTCAGCTCCATACGGCAATGGACTTGGATTTTTAGCCAGCGTCTTGTATAAATCAACTATGTAGGGTGGTGTTCCATATAAGTTTTCTTCGCCGGGTTGCTGGCGAGGGAAAGATGATGCTATTTCCTCTCCCCGTTTTATTGATTGTAAAGACGGCGCTCGTTGAAAAGCATAAGCAGAGTAAGCAGCTGCTAGAATCAAAACACCGATGAACATTTTCAGACTTGAAGTTCTACAATTGACCACGCTTGATGAGAGAGTTTCCTCGCAATAACTTATATAGCACTTGATGTGATAATCAGACCATGCAGACAACTTGTACCTACCTTGAGCGGTGGGCGTCTGATGACAGCTGGAAAGCCAGTGGATGTCCGAGATTTTGGTGTGTGATATACATGAGGTTTTGTTCTCGTATCTTGCTAGATGGTTTCCTGAACAGGTTTTTCTTGCGAAGAAAGTCCTGGAACACACATTCATTCCAAAAATGTGCACAAAAACTCTTTAAACATTTTCCTTTAGATTTTAAAAGCGTCCAAAAATACAGAGTCTCGACAATACAGGGTACTTTTTTCTGTAAAATGTCACTCAAATACATTCTAATACATTATTCAACTCAAATGTGTTCTTAAGCTACCTACTGTAAGGTTTTAATAAACGTGAAGGTCGGAAAAAGCGGGTTGTTTTAGAGCTCAGGAAATATTTGATAAGCCCTGGGGATTGGAATTAACGGGATGTGGTTGGAAAATTTATCTAATTAGTTATAAACAGACATAAAATTGATTCTCAAATTACTTTTTACCAAATACTTCTAGGTAGTAATATGCTTCATTCAGTCAACCTTCAAGTAAAAATAACATAAATTCAATGGTGGGAGAGGGCCCTGACAAGAGCGAAGGGTGGGAGGTGGGGGGGCTGGAAAAATTCTGAAAAACTGATAAGCGAAAAGTGCCCATTCAGGCACTTAGGACTAGGAGTTTGTTCAACATTGAACCTACTAAAGGCATGCAATGTTTATCACATAGATAGACCTAAATTGGAACAATCCGTTGCGTAATTTGATTGCAAAAGCAAGCAACTCATCAACGATAAGAAATTTAAGTTTGAAAACGAATTTTGCAGGCAGGGTCTGCTGCTAAAATAATATTATCTTGCTATCTCTTGCTTTATCCTGAACTTCCGACCTTTTAGGCACATTATTCTTGGCTTTATCTCTTACCGCAAAAAGAATAAGAAACGATAAATCACTTTCCCTGACGTAATCCGTAATCCATATTTCAGCTGTTCGTTTTGTCTCAGTGGTACAGAAGTCACAAATATTTTGAACTTGAAATCATGGGAAATCTGTGAATTTGAAATCATGGGACAAATTTTTGAAAATCAAACAATAACCTGGATGCTACATTCATTTGCAAATTGGCTAGATTTTGACGCTTTTTCTAGATGTCCCTTACTGTACCTATCCATTCTCTGTAAGTTGCAGCGTCGTAGAAAGTTTGAGCAAATCGCAGTTGTCGTCAAAGCTAAACATTATCATCTATTTATTTTCCGTCCGAAGAATGAGAAATAATATGTTGATACTGATTAGCTTTGGTGGCATTCACAGACAAAAATTTTTTATCGGGAAATGTGTGCATGTCAATTGTTATGCGAGCACCGGCGCACCCCTTACATACCACTGAAAAAATATTTAGTAAATATTTTAGTCATTTTGCCAGAGCTTCATGAAGAAAATTTAGACAACTGAAATAAGGACTAAAGCAAGGGTAGCGACACGATGCAGCTACATAGAATGCTGATGATAGAGTATAAACAAAAGCATTAACGCAAATATCTTATTAAACTTGAACTACAATCCCGGAGGAAAATAGTTGAGGCTTTTCAAAAAACAAAGATAACGTGCCAAAAAGCAA